TTAAGTAAAATATTCCACAACAAAAAATACTAAAAATTATTTTTGTTTTGAATAAATTTTAAGCTTATAATTAAACTAGTAGAGAAAATATTTAAATAATTAATTATCTAAAAATAATTTTATTTAATAACTAAAAGGTGCGCAAAAATATTAAACACATTTTTATATTTCGATCAATTTATTTGGACATACAAATGAATAAATAAATGCGGTTGCTGAATTTTTCTTTTTTTTTTGTTTTATAACCCCCAAAATATCAATTAAGGAATGTTTTGCTGTTTGTAAAGGTAAAAAAAGAAAATATATAAATTAAGGTCGAAAGAAATATTTTGACAAAAAATTAAAAAAATTTTTTTTGAGTGTTTGCTGAAATATTTATTAAATTAAAGAAATATTTATTAGGTTTTAATAGATCAGATAATCTGAAATTTTCAAACAGATTTTTGGAAGAGCATACAACAAAAAATGATGAAATGGAAATTAATATGTAGTAGTTAGTAGTTAATAAAGTTTTAATTTAAACTTACATATGTACATGAAATAATCAACAACAAAAAATTTCTCTAGGGTTAGATAAAAATTGCTGCAAATAATTGGGAAAGGAGAGAAAGGTTGCGAGCGATTTTGCTTTTAATTTTTTAAATTTTATTTTCTGTCGCAAATTTTTCTTTTTTAAATCTTTTTTGTCAAAATATTTCTATTGACCTTAATTAGTATACATATATTTTCTTTTTTTACCTTTACAAACAGCAATTGCAAAACGACTTTTATTTAGTCAAAATAATAAAAACAAATAAATTTTTTTTTAATTTAAACAAATATTCCAGTATTTCTTTTTCTATTTCTTGCATTTCGATTACCAAAATCGTCTTTTCCTTTTGTTGGATCAGGAAGAAAAGAAAATCCAGACTAAAATAATTTTTAAAATAATTTTATTTTCCCCTTTATTTCTCACCTTTTGTCCACTTCCATTATCAAACAAAACAGTTTCGATAGAAGGACGTTGACTTAATAATTGGTCAATATAAGGAATTAATTTAAGATCAGCAGGGCTAAATTTAAAAATTAAAATGAAAATTTAATTAAAAATAAAAAACATAAAAGCCCCAGCATGTAATTGTCTAAGTAAACGGGCTGAATCTGGGCCAGCATCTCCTCTCCCTAATTTTAACCTTTAAAAATAAATTAAATAGAAATAAATTTATTTATCAAAATAACATTGTAAGAAGCGATCCAAGGTGAAAACCACGTCCCAATGTGTGAATTCCTGTAATATAAATAATTATTTCTTATAAATAATTAATAAGAATTGGAATAAAGAAAAAAGTTTTGAACAATTTTAAAGTATTTTAATTATATTTATGTCCTCAATAAGTTGACATGTTACCACAAGTTGCCCCAAAGATTTTTTTTTAATTTTTATAAAAACAAACTTTCAATATAACTATAGCCAACCATATCTACAGTCTATAAATAAATAAAATAAACAAATTTAATTAATTTACTCTTAATTAAATTACAAGTGTACTCAAAGTTAGCCCTACAAAAATAAATAAAATCCATCCAAAAGCTGTTGTAGTTGTTGGGGTAATATTATTTAAATTATTAGAATTATTGAAAGAAAAAGAATAATTTCCTTCAAGTGTCGGACAAAAATCACCAAAACCAATTGTTACATAAAAAATAATTTTTTATTTAAATTAAAACTAATTAATTAACTAAAGTAATTAAAGTAAAATAAATTGATTCAAGTAAACCCCAATCAGGCTGGACATGCCAAAAGAGAAAAGCCATTGTCTTGAAAGGAATAATTTTAGAAAAAATTTTTTTTAATTATTTATTTACCATCATATAACCAAAAAGCAGAAAGAGAACAAAACCCTTCAAAATTTGTTTTAAAATATTTTACTTAATTTTGTTTTAATTTTTCAAATTTTATTAAAATTTTTAATTTATTCCCCAAACAAAAATTTGCTCCTATTTCAAAAAAAAGTAAAATAAAAAAATATTTTTCTTAAAATATTTTAAAATTCTTTTTTAAAATAAACTTTAGTATAAGGTCCAGGTTGTCTTAAAATACCACCCGTTTCCTCATCTTCATCCTCTTCCTCCTCCACATTTTTCCTTTCTTTTTCCCCTTCATTTTCCTCGTTTATTTTAATTATTGGACTAGAATTATTTTTATTTTTAATTTCATTTTCTTCTTCTTTCCTTTCATTTTTCTTCTTTTTTCCTTCAAATTTCTTCTCTAGCCAATTTCCAATATTTAAAATTAAATCACTTAAATATTTAGCTACATCGGCTATTGTAATTAAAGTTAAAGGAATGCCCAGAAATGCATAACAAATACAGAAAAGACGGCCAAATGGAGATATTGGGACTTGAAAATTTAAAAAAGAAAATGTAGAAAGAAAAATAAATTAAGAATTTTTAATTTTGGGTTCGAGTTAGGGATATGTAATCTAAAAAATGGTAATTCAGGGAATAAGGGAGTAACTCCCCTCCCTTAAATTAATTTATCTTTTTTATTCTTAATCAAAACAATTTTTTAATTCAAAATATTTTTATTAATTACCTAAATTTCCATAACCTATAGAAGTTAACAATGTAGCAGTAAAAAACAAAGAAGAATGAAAATGCCATTTAGGCAACCGACGATGTAATAATAAATTATTTTCTTCTTCTTCCTTTTCCTGTTGATTTTTTAAATTATTTTTTGAATTAAAATCTTCAATAGCTATAGCTAATTCGTCTGCACGAATTCCCTGTTCGAATGCTGAAATAAAAAAAATTCTTAAATTGTTAGTTGAAAGGTTATTAGTTTTTGAGAAGTTTTTCCGTTATTGGTGGTGGCTTTAATTTTATTTTTAAATTATTTATCTATACCTTCCATATATAATTTAATTAAATTATCAATTGCTTTTTCAATTAATATTTCCTCTTCAATTTCAATATTCTTGCTTATATTTGAAATTTTTTGAGAAGAATTTGGAAAAACAAAAAGTTCATTTTGTGCTTTTATTATAGCTTCTGTGTGTTCTTGTAAATGTAAAACTTCAAATGGACGTTCCAAACGTTGAAAAACCTTTATTTTATTTTATTTATTATTAAATGATAGTAGGGAGGTAAATTATCCTGCATTTTATGTCTCCATTCATAGATTGAGGAATGATTTTATGAAATTATTATTTAAACAATCCTCCCCTCACCCCTCCCCTAGGTAGGAAACTAAGCATAAAATCTTAAATAAAAAAGCTAATTTCAGGAATAACAAAAATTAGTCCAACTTTATTAATCAAAATTTAATTTTTGTTAACTCACCAATGCTCCAAAAAGTCCATAAAGTATTGTTGAGAGAAAAAGAAGAACTTAAAATTATTTAATTAAAAGTTTTCTCAAATTCTCTCTCACCATGAGGAAGAATAACCCTAATTTTGTGTGTAATTCCTTTTGGAGAATTTTGTGTTTTAACTTTTTCTCCATCATCACCAACAATATTATTTGTAGTTTTTCCATTTGCTGTCCCTTCCTCAATTTTTGATAAAACTTTTTCTTGGTCCATTTGACGTAAAAGCGTTGAAAAATAATGCCTTCCACCCCCAATTGGAGGGGGATTTATTGTTGAAGATGGAGTTGTCGCGGCAACGCCTCCTCCTTTAATTTTCACAGCAGGTGATGAAGAAACGGAAGAGGGCATCAACATTTTGTTGCTAAAATCTTTTTGGATTTTTCTAGTAAAATTTAACAAACTTAAAGCTCAATTTTTTATTTACAGATATTTTATTTCTCATAAAATTTATAAATTTGGAAAGGGATAATAAAAAGAAAAGTAAATTTAAAGGAAATTTTAAAGGCTTCCATAAATATTTGTATTTTTGTTTTTATAATTTTTTAATCAAGCTTTTTTAATGTTCATACATAATGTAAGTAAAGTGAGGGGATTTATAGGCAAATGCCTTGGATATAGTTTAGCATACCGGAGTTTTAATTTCGATACAAAACCCATACCATTCGATTCGTCTTGAAGAGCTAAGTCGAACTGTACCACTCTTTTTTCCGAGATATATGTAGTTCCCCAAAAATCCAAAAACTATAGGGGGGGTAAAAATTCGAAAATGCAAATGTTGCTCGTTTTTAAGTTTACGGGGGGGGGGGTATTGTAGGCTTATGAAAGTTTTATAATATTTAAATTGTAACTAGCCAATAGAGAAGTTAATTTTAAGAAATAATAAAATTTTTATAACATTTTTAAATATCTAAATCTTCTCGTAAAGTTGGTGTTTTCAGAAAATAAAGTTTAATGGTAAGAGGTTTTGTAAAATTTTTAAGTTTAAATATTTGTGGTGGTTTTTTTTGCAAGTAAAAAACATTAATAAAATTTTGGAAGTTTCTCTCTCTCCTCCTCCCTTGCTATAATTTTAGCGTTAATATTTTTGGGCCAAATATCCAAATGCCCATCATCAAATTGATGGTTACTTTTCTACTCCCAAATTGCCTACCTTTTTTAGCTTTATTTTAAAGTTTACTCGGTTCAATGGGTTGGAAATGCTCATTTTCTATTTTCAATTATTCATTGCATTTAGGTAAAATAAAAATAAAAGCTTACACAAAATTGTTGAGCAGTAGAAGTTTAAATAACGCAAATTATTTCTCGACTTTTTCTGAAAACTGTCTTCACCTTGTATTTAAAATACTATAAAAGTCAATGCATTTTCCTTAGATTTACTAGGCCAATTCTCAGATCCCAAAGTATCTACGCTCATCTTCAACTCATCCGCAGGAAGAAGCAAACAGCATCATGGGAGAACGTAACGTCGACTTGTCTGCCTACGTGCCGCCGGACGTCAGGAACACTGGAGCACTCGGTGGTGGGCAACTCCAAGTTGAGCTCGACGATGAAGACGATCACTTCGGCGGCGGTCCACCTCGAGCACCTCAGGCAAGTTTTGATTTTTTCACATTAAGGCTTCTCTAATCATCTATTTACATTCGTTTTGTTTTTACAGCAATCTACTCCGAAGCCGCCTCCTCCACCGCCACCTGCCCCGGCGAAGCCGAAATACTCCAAACCGTCGAGCTACACCAGCTACCAGGCCGGGACAAGAAGGTAGATGTAGGAACAGAGCTGCCGGAACTATAGTCCTGTGAAGAATCCAAGATGTCAATTGCGTATCCGTCGATAAATTCCCTCCCCGCTGCATATATGTATAGTTTGCTTGTACCCTCATTGTATATATAATCTAAATAGTCACATTGTATATTTAATCTGTTATGGAATATTTTTTGTTAATTGTATGTGATATGTAATTTCTAGTTGTAATTTATAAATATTGTTGAATAAATTCTGTAGTGATTTGATTAATTTCTTAAATTTCGGCGTGAGATTGTTTTATCTTGAGAGAATATTTTTAGCCTTGAATTATCTCACGTAGGAAGTAGGCCTTCAATGACTCTAACGGCAGTGTCGCAGGGATGGCTTTGGTCTACCGTACACTAGGATGAGTTAGCTCATTTCGAGAAAACTCATCGAGGGTTTGCCCATAATTCGTCCCACCCAAGACAAGTCCTCCCCAAATTCGTCCTATCCAATATTCGTCCCCCTGCACAAAAACCCACGATAGTTGGACGAATTGAGTATTTTTACTCTGTTGGACATTTTGAGACGGGACGAATTTTTAGGTTGGACGAAGTGTGGGTTGTGTTCTAGGGGACGAATCGTAGTTGACGAATTTAGGCGCCGCGCTTTTAAATTTTAAAAGAAGTGATCATTGATTATTTTTAACATTTTCCTATTTGTACCGCTTTGAAATTTACAATAACCAAAATGCCTTTTTCAAGAAAGTTAAGATTTTACATATCTAGATTTGTTTATTTTTATGTTTTTCCCAATTGATGATTTTAACATTTTCATTAATCCTTGCAAATTTTAATAAAATTTTTTTGTTAAGCAGATACATACATATTTTAAAAAACGTTAAAATTTACCTACAATGAAAGAAATACCAAATTATGATAAAATTATAAAAATTCAAACGAAGTTTGACAATCTTTTAACTGAATTTAATCAAGAAAAGGAAAAGAATGAGAAAGAGAAGAAGTTAGTTGAGGATGAACATAAGAAGGAAATGAAAATTTTAGAGAAGAAAATGAATGAGGTAAGGGGGGGGGGGGATTCCGTATATACTCTATTAATTACCCTGGGTAATTTATTCCCAATCTTTCTTTTTTCTAAAACAATTTTCAAATAAATTTTAGGAAATTCAAAAACTCAAATCTGAACATGAAAATGAAATTAAAACTTTAAAAGAATATTTTCAACAATTAATTGATGAGAAAATTGAAGAAATTAAAACAATTGAAAAGCAAAAGATTGTGGAGTCGACGTCTGAAATTAAAAAATTGGGCAATATTGGGGTGGTTAGTTTAAAATTTTAAATATTTAAATAATTTTCTTTAGAATTTTATTCAGATTAAGAATAAATGGAGTAGTATTGAAAATAAATGTTGTAGCAATGGATGTATTAACAAACAAAAACCTGTTGGGACTTGTATTAAAGGAAATGGATTTGCTAATTTAATTGATGAAAAAAATATCAAATATATTGTCGGAGAAGGTAAAATAAAGACTGGTTAGAGAGTGTCGTACGAGAATTGATATCTCGGTCCGGTTGGGGATATACTTTAGCCGGTGGCCACTCCAAACCCTTCGATATGTATACCATTCCTAGGGAGCGAGAATGGTCGATTGAAAATCTAAAAACGATAGGATGGACCAGGCTCATTTTGGGATAAAAAAATTCGAATAAGCAAATAATAGCTCATTCGAAGGAGCTCGTCGAGCTGAGTGAGTTGATTGACACCAGAATCAACGAAATTTGATTTGAGAAAGTTATAAGGCCTCCATGGACTTTTTGTGTTCCGAACGCCATTTTCTGTTCGCTCATAATTAAGTTTTCTAACTCATTTTTAGTGTCGAAGGTGAATATTTTGGGAATTTATAGAAAAGAAAGATTTTAGTTACTTCAGGGATCCTCTAACAATTCCTCCTGCGTTCGCTCTTGTAAATCAGCTTAAAGTTATTAGATTTTTCAAACTCATTTTGTCTTTACAATCCAATTATTTCAGGAGAAAATAAATCTGCTGTTGTTGCCGCTGAAAATAAATTCAAAAATCCAAAGGAGGAAATTAATTATTCTTTGTTTTATTTCGAAATTAAATGTAAAATTGAAGGAGAGAAAAATAACAACGTTGTCGTTATTGGTGTTAACAACGGTAAATATGGAATTTCATTGTATATTGATGGTGCTGTTATAGCATGCGGACAAAGCAAGAATTTTAAACTTCCAGAATCATTTTCTTGGAATGATGGAGATATTTTTGGTTGTGGAGTAGTATATCCACCAACTAATGTTAATAAATTACCTTATGTTTTCTTTACTCAAAATGGAAAACAAATTGGTTTGGAGAATTAAAAATAATTTCTTAGTTAATTTTAAAATTATTTTTAAGGTAAAGGATTGTTAGTGAAAGATAACAAGCAGGATAATTATGAGCCATTTGTCATTTTGAAACGTTACCATTTGGAAGCTAATTTTGGGAATGACTTGAAGAATAAACCGTTTATTTATGATATTTCAAAGCATTCTGTTATTGATGAATTTTATGATGACGATTCTAACTCTGGGGATGATTCGGACTCGGATGATTCCGATAGTGGTAAATTTTTTAAGAATATTAAAACATTTAAAAGAAAAATTAATTTTTAATTTATTCTTTCAAAAACGAAAAAATTTCATTTAAGATACCATGCGGCAGATGATGCAAATGATGGTTGCGGGAGCTATGGCTAAAATGTTTCTTAGCTAATTAGACAACTTTTTCTGAAGTTATTTTAAATTTATTGGATATTATTTTTGGTTTGGAAAAATTAAGAACAATTTTGATTTTAAAAAAATTATACAAATTTTATAAATTTGTTTGATAAATTTTAGTTATTTTTAATAATTTAAGAGTTATTGGTAAACTTTTAACCTATCCATATTTTTATTTCTTAAAAGAATTATAGACCAGTTTCTTTTGCTGCAAGTTTGGTAGTGGTAAGCATCCTAATTCCCCAGCTTTTGGGGACGTTCAATCGGCTGTGCTCAACTAACCCGAAACGAGAAAGCTCGTAAAAATGGTGAGGGGAATAGAGATGCAGAGAAATTTCTTGGCGACTCCACTAAAATTTTCTCGGATTTCTTTATGGGGGTGGATTTCAATAGTTTTAGCACTTTTCTAACATTTTGGAACGTGATCGCGAAAAGTCTATTAAAGTACACCTTCCTGTGCCGAATTATAAAAGGCCAAAAAACAATTTTTTGAATGTTTTTTGCTTACATTCTTTCAACTGTTCTTTTAATTTTTAGGTTAGATAAAAATTTAATCTTTTAAATTTAAAAAAATGGTTACGACAACAGCTACTAAAGCAACAAAAGCGAAAGCTCCAAAGCCGAAAAAGGCTGCACCAAAAACAAAAAAAGATGGTAAAGGGGGTAAAGCAATTAAAGGAGGTGCTAAAAAGAAGAAACAAACACTCAAATTTATTATTGAATGTAAAAATCCTGTTGAGGATGGAATTATGAAGATTAATGCGCTTGTATGTATTTTTAGATATTTTGTGTTTTTATTTTAAATATAAATTTAAGGAGGAATTCTTAAATGCTCGAATCAAAGTTTTTGGTAAGACAAATCAACTCGCCACTGGAGGAGTTAAAGTTGAAGCTACAAAGACTCGGGTTTCTTTTATTAAATTTTTAAAAACAAATTTTTCTTTAAAAAGGTTATTGTTACTTCTGAATCAGAGTTTTCTAAGCGTTATTTGAAGTACCTTACCAAAAAGTTTTTGAAGAAGAATATTTTGCGTGATTGGCTTCGAGTTGTTGCTAGTGCTAAGGATACTTATGAGGTTTTTTCTTAAAAAATTTGTGAAATTGTTTAGGCATCGGGAAATCCTTTTCCTTTTAGAATTTAGCTTTCCTTATTTGTTCCAGAACTTATATCACATATCAAAAAGATTTTATCTTAAACGATTTATAAAATTTTTTTAAGTTGCGCTACTTCCAAATTACTCAAGAGGAAGAAGAAAGTGACAATGAGGCTTAAATATGTTGAAATGAATGTTGGGAGGTTTTATAATATTTGATGTTAAAATCTTCACAAAATTGTTAGCCCCCATTTGTTGATTAAATATTTTATTTATTTTTTTTTCTTTTGAGTTTTTGGTTCTTTTCACGTTTTTAGACCCTAAATATTTCGTTGAAGTTTTAATAAACATGCAACATGCCCGTTAAGGATCGAGATTATTACAATAGTTAATTCTCACCATAAATGAAAATAATTAGATCTCTTAAACGGGTGGTTGGGGTAACGGCTTCCATATCCATGAGGAAGGATATTTTCAGTTATCACTTTTGGATAGAATAAGGTTCTGCTCATCAAGTTGTTTTAATCTTATTTTTAATTTTTCTAATTTCAAATTCGAATTAAATATCAAAAATATTATCCAGAGAATAGACAGAAAATTAAAAAAAAGAAATTAAAAACACAAAATTTATCGAATGACAAAGGATTTTCTCAATTCTTGTAGCCGTTTTCTAGCATCCAGAACTCGACGTTCTTGTTGTGAAATGTCTTGCTCGGTTATTGTAGGAATCTTTGAATGTATTGAAAAATATATTTTATTCTTAAAAAATATAATTTCAATGCAAAAACCCTTTTGGGTTATAGAGGGAATAAAAAGTGGTTGTAAGAATTTTGACCCCTTCTATACAAAATTAGAACCCAGTCCATGTTGAGGACTTGAAATAGAATTTCGATTGGTGACATCAAGATAAAATTTAAGTTAGATGCTTTATCCGGTATGATCTTGTCTCACCAAAAGCTTGACTCACCAAAGCTTGACTCACCAAAAGCTTGACTCACCAAAAGCTTGACTTACCAAAAGCTTGACTCACCAAACCCCCAAAAGCCATTAACTCACCAAACCGTGGAAAAAAGCTTGTTTCACCAAACCCCCTAAAACTGTTGAATCACCAAACAGTGGAAAAAAGTTTGAATTACCAAATAAATACTAAGCTACAATTTCGTTTGGTTATTTATCTATGTACACTTAACGACAATGGGTTTTATCACAACAATAGGAGATACATATGGCTAAACTGTATCTTCGCTGAAAAAAAGTTGTTCCCGTCATTGGAATGTCATCCCCCGTTGACGAAACAACTTCACCCGTTGACGGGACAACATCCCCCGTTGACGAAACAACTTCCCCCGTTCACGGGACAACATCCCCCGCTGACAGAACAACTTCCCCCGTGGTTGGTATTTCGCATTTGGTATTTCAAGGGATTTTGGGGGTTTGGTAATTCAAGCTTTTTTACACTGTTTGGTGATTCAACAGCTTTTGGGAGTTTGGTGAAACAAGCTTTTTTCCACGGTTTGGTGAGTTAATGGCTTTTGGGGGTTTGGTGAGTCAAGCTTTTTTCCACTGTTTGGTGAGTTAATGGCTTTTGGGGGTTTGGTGAGTCAAGCTTTTGGTGAGATAAGACGCTCCGGCTTTATCCCACCCCTCAAAAATTTGAAAGTTGTACTCTAACTCAATAAATTTATGCATCCTCAAATTGTCGAAATATCCTATTTATATATCAAAATAAGAAATTTTCAGCCAAATTTCAATTAAAACAAAAAGAAAAACCTGTACAAATGGCTGGTTAAATTTTAAACTGTCAAAAGGGTTCTCTTCTATTTGTTTTCTAGTAGCTGTTTGACCAGTTAATTCGGTTCCATAAATATCAAAAGAATGTAAAGCTGTACAAAATGTTGCTGCTGTTCCTTCTATATCCAATGAGGGAGCCTTGAAAAAATTTTTTTAATTTTTTCAAAAATATTTAACCATAATTTCCATTCTTGGGGGTAATTCTAAACGTTGTGGAATGTATCCACCGGCGCCACCTGGCTCGGGCAAAAATTTGTCTGCAACTTTTACAGGTACCATAGCACAGAGACCTTCTAGTGATTTTGCCCAAAATACCTTAAAAATAATTTAAAGCTTTGAAGGCAAAGTCCGCAAGTTTTGTCCGCAAATTTAAAAAAAGATTTGCGGATTCTGAAAAATAAGATAAACCAACCTGTCTCACTTTCTCCCGATCATTAGTTGCATTCTTTGATGGTGTTTTTTCTGTACCATTAGAAGTAGTATGAATAAGTGTACATGGAAGTCTAAGTGAATAAGCAACTTGACGCTGCCACGGCGCGTCCATTCTTCCATCAAAGCCTGTCTTAATTGGAGAAGTATGTGAAGCTCTATCCTTCCCTTTTCCCTTATTTCCTCCTTTAAGGGTTAAAGATTCACTTGTTGCAGCACATTTTGTTCGTCCCATTATTTTGTTGTTTTTGAAAATTTTTACTGAAATTTGGGGGGAAATTTTATAAAAAAAAATTAAATTTAGAGAATATTGATTTTAACAAGTTTCTCAAAATATAAAATAAAATTTAGAGATTTTAGAATATTAAACATTTTTTGGCGTTCTTTGACAATAAATTTATTAAAATAATTGGCATCCTTTCAAAATTTTATTAGGACTTTTTAGCTTTGACCCAAAAGATCAACACTCTAAAAACAACAAATCTTTTAGAGTCTGAGAATATAAGGAGAATAAAAATGAGTTGAGGTAAAAATAGGACTCTAAAATAGATTAACAGATTTCAACTATCAAGAAGGTTAGAAATTTAATTTTACTTTTCTTGTTTGATAAGTTTTTCAATTTATTTTTTCAGAAATGTCATTTAATAATAATACAACAACCAATATTTCTGTTACAAAAAATTCCTCTTTAAATATTCTTGATAAAGTTAAACAATTTTTACCTCAAATCGCAGAAGCAAATGAAAAATTAAAAAACGATGAGACAAAGGATTCTGTTTTAATTGAAAAATTTGAAGAAGAATCTAAGAATATTTCTGAAAATGAGACGAGTAGTAGTGAAGATTCTGATGAAGTATCAAATGAGGATTTTTGTGATTCTGATGATGAACTTCAGCCAAAGTCGTCTGACAAAGAGGTTTTCTTTGTTTTTTTGAATATACAGTCGTCGACATAAAGATAGGGACAAGAGTAATTTAAATAGAAATTAACTATTTTTCGGTCAAAAAATACGTTCTATATAGCAATCGAAAGCTCTATTTATATCTCAGTTGACATGTTTCTGCATTTTTTATGAAAATGAAAATTGGCCGAGATAATCCGGATCTACCGGATATACCAAATCCCACAGCCTCGGGAAAAATTTTCGGAAAAAATCTAACAAACCCATTTGATAAAGCATATTTTTCTGAGTATTTTCCACAAAACCGCTTAAAAATATCTTTTTCCGGAACGGAGATATGAATTTTTGAAAATGGCATTTTTCGCCTTAAAAATTGAATTTTTTGCAAAAATAGGCGAAAAATGCCATTTTCAAAAATTCATATCTCCGTTCCGGAAAAAGATATTTTTAAGCGGTTTTGTGGAAAATACTCAGAAAAATATGCTTTATCAAATGGGTTTGTTAGATTTTTTCCGAAAATTTTTCCCGAGGCTGTGGGATTTGGTATATCCGGTAGATCCGGATTATCTCGGCCAATTTTCATTTTCATAAAAAATGCAGAAACATGTCAACTGAGATATAAATAGAGCTTTCGATTGATATATAGAACGTATTTTTTGACCGAAAAATAGTTAATTTTCATTTAAATTACTCTTGTCCCTATCTTTATGTCGACGACTGTATTGGAGTGAGTTAGTGGGTATGTGACTAATAAAAAAATAATCAATCCCCTTGATGTTCAATTTTGGATAAAAGTGCCCATACAATTATTTTTTTTGAAAAATTCGGGAAATTTTATTTTTTGGACCCAATCCTAAAATTTTTATTTTTAACCCCTAATTTTAATTTTATATTTAAATTTCATTCTGGTTTATCAGTTTAAAACCTGTTTTGGAACTAGAAATTACATTTATTATTTAATTTAATAATTTAGTCGAAGCAGTTTGTTCAATTTGATGTTCATCTTTTTGAAGAAGAAGATGAAAATAATAAAGGAAAAAAACTTGTAATGGAAACGAGTAAAATTGATTAAATTTCTTTTATTTTAATTATTTTTATTTTTAATTAAATATTTAAAAGATTTAATTGTTTTTATTTAAGGTTATTTCTGACAAATATTTTTTTTTGTTTTTTTCATTTTTCTTTTTTTACTCATTTTTTTAAATTAGTGGTTGTTTTCTTCATTTATAGTGTAAATTATGGAAGATTCCTCTAACAAAATCATTCGAAAACTGCTAGAGGACTCGGCAAGAGACAACGTTGCTATGAACAATACAGCCGTCTTTGCCAATTCTTGCGGTGGATATGAAACTTTAATAAAAGAACATTTGAACTCAATGAATATTCGTGGTCCGGATAAGGATTTTGAACATCTGATTGAACCCCATTTGCGGATTTTTAGCACAATAATAATGACAAAATTTAACAACGCCAATGTCGATTGCCACAGATTATTCAACATGCGCAACATGGGACTGAATCCCCATAATCATCTCATCACTCGATTAGAACAACTAGTTATAGATGCTATTGGTCGTACTAGCCGATTTCCTTCAAAATCACATAAATATGATTGCTTCCCAATTCCATACGACTTTAAGTTACCAGACGGCAATCGAATTGATTTCCAACGTGATTGTAACCTTAAGTACTGGTATCGAATTCGTTATCCGCTCGAGCAAATTCAACAAATGAAGGATTTAGCCGAACAAGAAGGTCGTCAGCTAGATGAAGACATATTGAATCCTACGTGGAAAATACTTCCATTTATTGGCTATGAAGTTAACTATCAGAATTACCTGAACGACACAGCTGCGAGTTTTAAATTAATGTCCTTTCTTCAGAGAAAATTTCCAGAGGTTGTTATTTATGGTGGCGTGTCACGCGAAGATTATATTGGACTTGGACTACGCTGCCAATTAGTAAATAGTGACGAGAATTATGCATGGTCAAGTTATAGTGTAACATCAGTTGATATGATACTTGGTGCAGCACTCGGCTTTGGTGAGAAGTATGAAGAAACACCTGCACTCCGAGAAGAATGCTGGCAGTGTGCGGTAGATCAAAGAATTGGTAGATATTGTGCAAGAAGTAAGCTTCTGAGCAATTTACGAGTTTGTTCGTTTCAATTTGATGAAGATAACAAAGAAAGAAAATTTCGACGAAGAAAACGAGGAAGAAAACGAGAATAAATAAGACAAAAAAACAGTTGAAACAATTTAAATTGATTATTTTTTATATTTTTTCATTAAATTTATTCTAGGATTTGGTCTTTTTATTCAAGTTTATGCCTAAAAATACTTTTATCAGCTTTTTGTTTTTAGATTTTATTTTTTTCTCTTTACTCGTTATTTAGTTAAATATGGTGGATTTTACTTATAGTTCAAATAATGCAAGATCTCTACTTGATTTGTGCAACGAATTAATTGCTATTAGGCCTAGATATACTGACAGAGTAAGATGATTTTTGAAAGGTTCTTTCAATTTTAAAAATTTTTAGGATGAATTTGCCGTAACAGTCATTCAACAAATTTTTGCCGATCCTTTATTAGATTTATTGGTAATCAAGCCTAGGGCTGATACTGTTCATGCTGATGCTTTAAATCGTTTAAATGCTCTTGTTGGATTTGAATCTACTGTTTTTATGGTTTGGATATTTTAAAGAATATTTTTAAAAATATTTTTAGTCAATTTATTCAAATGATACTCTTTTTAATGAATTTATTGATACATTTTGTCGTCATTGTATACGTTCAACAGCAAATAATTATGATGCTTCGGAAAGTAGTAAGTTTTTGTGGAATTAATTAAACGGATAAACTATAATATTTTATAATTATTCCCCCAAAAATTTAATCCGGAAATTTAAATTGCTTTTAAATTTTAAGAGTTTCTGATCAGAGATGGGACGGGTTACACGAAGCCCCGACTTTTCTCAACCCGATCCGAAGAAAATTTTGAAAACCCGCCTCGAATTTTTCTCAACCCGTCCCATCCCTGCTATGGATCCGGAAACTGAAAGGTTAGTTAGTTATTCGTTCACTTTAGGTTCACTGATATTAAGCAATTTTTATACTTGTCTGTTAATTTATTACTTTTTAACTAAAAAATGAAATGTTTTGTAGTCATTAGTTTTCCTCAAATTTAATATATTTTCTCCTTCCATTTTTTCAGTTTTTATGTGGCTTTTGAAGCAATATTTACAATATTTATTACCAATTGATGAACAACGTTTAGCACAACTTAAAAGTGGAAATTGGTTTTCTGGTGGAGGTTTATCAGCGTCTTCTTCATCTTCTTCTCTTTCACAAATGCCTACATCTCCCGTGACTTCTCCACGTCGTTTACTTCGACCGGAAGTTTTGGCTGCCTCTTCGCCTTTAGAACATATTCCTTTGCGTTCTGGGTCTATTCGAACTCTTTACCCGCGAATGTTACAATTTGTTGTTGGTATTGTTAATCAATTGGCTTCTCTTTCAAGTAAGAATAAAATATTTAGAATGAGAATTTTTTCGATAATTTTAAACTGGAATATATTTTTATTAGAAAATAACATCTGAAATAAGCAAAAAATTTATTTTTTTAACAGATTGGCCCAGCGTTGCACAATTCCAAGTTCTTCGTAATGTCCTCAATCATTACAATGAGTTTATTTTGAGTGAAACGGAAGATGCAGAATTTGGTTCTCTCAAACTTCTTTTGCTCAGGTTTACCTATACATTTATTTTGTAAATACATTTTTTTTAATTTTAGAAAACCTTTATTTAATGCTTTATTACACAATTTTCTGGAAAGATTATTAAAAAATTGGCCACTTGGCGATAGTTATTGTTTACTTATAGGTTCGTTCTTTTAAACATCTTTTAAAAGCGGGAAGGATTCGTTAAAATGTGTTTTTTCATACTTCACTACAAATATTTTATCCGCAAAAAATATCTAAAATCTGTTCTTAACTTCTACATCCTCTCTAAATTTTTTTTTATTTTTAGATATCTGGCTTGTCCTCGTCTCTCCAAATCTGACATTTACACATCGCCAAAAACAAAATGGAACTCTAATGGAAATGAAATGTTCTGATGAGAAACGCCGTCTCTTTTCTGAATCATCAGTTAATTATTTTGTTGAATTAATTGAAGTACAAATACGTCGACTTTTGGATTCTGGCTGTGCACAGATTATTGAAACTCCTGTTTTGGATTTTCTCAAAACTGAGGTTTTTCAAAATGAACCGCTCATTGGAGTATTTGAACAACATGACCTACCTACTTTGGAGTATCTACGAGCTATTGTGGTTAAACTTGTTCGTTATCGTGATGAATACCAGAATAAATGTAAAAAGGTTTGTGATTTTTTAAATTCATTATTTAAGAATCTGGGACAAAATGTCGAATTCCTCTAAATTCCCATGAAACGAGAATTTAAATTTTTTGATCATTTTGTTCGCCTTATATCTGAGATTGCAAATTTAGTTTTGGATACCTAAATTTTATATTTTTATACAATTTTTATTTTTTTTCCTAAAAATAGATTCAAAAACACCAATCAAGCACATTTTGGCCACTTTTCTTTCGTTGGATATTCAATATCGCAGAAACTCCACCAATTGATATGCAATTATTGGAACGTCAAATAAATGAAATTCAAAGATTAATAAATTGGTTAATTGAAAAAATGGGTGGAAGAAGAAAAATTTTTAGAGAAGAAAGTGAAATTAGTAATTTATTTCAATCTAAAGAAGAAATTAAACCTTCACAACACTCTTTACTTCGTCCAGAGGATCCAGAACATTCGGTTTAATTTGAAAAAGGATTTTTTAAATTAATTTTTAAAGGTTGATCCATGGACAAAAATGCTATTTTTAACTCCACATGGACGTTTACAGGTAATAAAGAAGTTGATACTTGTTTATTCAAATACAAAAATAGGTACTTGAACGTCAGGCACGTTTTGACTATTCCAAATATTCTCGTCAAATAGCTGACACATTCCCAGCTATTGGATACTGGGATATTGGTCCTTTAGCTCGATGGCTGCACAGATTGAGTATTCGTTGGACTAATAGTGGATTAGTGAAATATCTACGTCAACATAAACAAGACTCGGCAATTACTCGGATTGCAGCTAAAGGTTTTTTAAATTTCTTGATTTTGATCGTGCCGGATTCATATGCACATCCGAAGGAAATAGCGATGATAGTGAAGGGAGCAGAATGATATAAGCTTATTTTTCTATCTTTTCTTAAATGATTTTCTTTTCTAGCTTTACTTAGCGGCCCATCACCTCCACGTTATGTGCCTGTATTTGCTCGTTTAGTACCCAAACAACAATCAACTTTGAATCTTCGTCAATTTGCACGTCTACCAATGCTAATTTACATTGTTTTTGCTTTCTTCTTTTTTATAATGTTTATTTACAAATATTTCCTTTGAAGAAATATCTGGGGAATTTTTTGTTTGATTTTATGTTATTTATTAAATTCCAAAAATCATTTCATTTTTTACTATATTAATTTATTATGTTGATGAAAACATTAAAAATTAATAAATTTAAATATCTTGTGTTTTTATAGCTAGTCAGATTACGAAAAATCTGTCAATACTTTGATTGAATTACCTAACTTGACCCAAACTAGACGAGTCAATAACTAGGTTGCCCAAGCCCGAAGCAAAAAAATCTAAACTGACCTAAATGGGCACTTTATTAATAGTCGAAAAGATCCATTACGATCGTTTTGTAATTTTACCCAGAAATGAGGTTACCGATTTTTAAGTTCTTATAGTGCATTTTATTCGATTTTTGTCTTAAGAATTTTTTTTGTTCTGCATTTGTTCTTTACCTCTTATTTTTTTAAATATTTAGGAAATGTTAAAATCAGCAGCTTCTCGTCTAGTATTGCTAGGATCTCCAGTAGCTGTTGAAAGCAGTGGACGTCGTGGAAAGTCAACAACTTCATTGCCTGTCTCAGTTGCTTCATTTCAATTACGTGCAGTTTGCCCTCACAAACAACAAAATTTAAATAATTTATTTTCTTCAATTAATTATTGTTCTATACCGATATCTGGACAAAATAAACAGAATTTATTGAAGGAAGAAAGTTTACAAAACAAAAATGAAGAGCAGCAACAATGGATGGTTAATGTTACAAAATGTGGAATACCTAAAGAATTTCAGGTTTTTTGATGTTAATTAGAAGATTAAAGAGAATATTTTGGTAAAAATTAAATTTTTGTGGGGGGTTTTGTTTTAACCTTTAAATTACTCTTAGATTTTGTAAAAAAAGGTTATAGTTCGGGAGGTACCCTGCACTCTTTTTTCTGACCATTTTTTCATTTTTCTTTCCCTTTCTTCCAGAACTTCTCTCACGCATAGGTAACTACATACATAATCTTTTTGATACTTGCTTCATGAAAAAGAAGGGAGAAAGGGCAGGAAAATGAAAAAATGGTCAAAAAAGAGCGGAGTACGAAACAAACTATTATTGCAAAAAATCTTGAATTTTTAAAAATTTAAGGGTTCACAATCTGAAGCACTACAACAACAAAAGCAATGTGAACGCGATGTTTATGGAGATGATGGTATACTTTAACGATATATTTAAGCCTTATTTTAAATTTTAAGCTTGTTTTATTGCTAGCCATGAAGATACTTATGTTGCAGGTTTATTTTAAAAAGTTTTATTTTAATTTTCTTTTTGAAGGTATTGCCGATGGTGTTGGGGGTTGGCGAAGGCACGGTGTTGATCCTTCCCAGTTTGCTGCTCAATTAATGTCAAATTGTGCTGGAATTGTAAAATCTGGGGATTTTGAGTGTACACGTCCAGATTTAATAATTGAATGCGCTTATAATAAATTAAAAATGTTAAATAATCAGAGGCCGATTGGGTTTGAATTTTAATTAAAAATATATATTTAATTTTATATTTAAATAGTTCTTCAACTGCTTGTGTTTTAACAATTACTAAAAAAAGATTGTACTCTGCTAACCTTGGTTTGTTTGTTTTTTTAATTTATAGGAATATTTTCTTTAGAAAATTCCAGATTAAAAAAGCTTTATGAACTCTAATTTAAAAATAATTATTTTTATAGGCGATTCTGGTTATTTAATTTGTCGTGGTGGAAAAGTAATTTTTCGTTCACCAGAACAAACACACTACTTCAATGCTCCATATCAACTTACAATACTTCCAGGTTTTTTAAATTATTTTTTAAGAAAAATATTTAAAAATTTAGAACAAATGCTCAACGAAAAGAAATCATTTTTATTAGACAAACCAGAATGTTCAGAATTGAGAGAACATGAATTGCAATCTGGAGATCTCATCTTAATGGGTTAGTTTTTAAATTTTATTTAAACACAAATTATTTTTGCGATAAAAACAAAAATCACTTTTTTTTTGGCAAGACTTCCGCTGGATTTAATTTTAAAAAATTCTTCTAAAACAGTTTTGGGGAGGCTTCTAAAAATTTTTTGATAGATAAAAATCTAGAAAAAGATCTGAGGATTTTTTCTGGATTATTCAAAGAGAAACATTTTTGGGACAGAATTTTTTATTAAAATATTTAATGAGTATATAAAAAAATCTTTAACACCCCTCCACATTTAATTACTTAAATATCCTCTATGGTTAATTTAATTACACAAAAAATTCAATCTCTACAAAATTCTTTTTTTATTTTAAAGCGACTGATGGTTTATGGGATAATTGCCATATTGGAACTATCGCTAGACTTTTATATGGAGATGAAGATGAAAATAATATTAATGAGAAAGAAGAAACCCAACAACCAAAAATGTCACAAGCTTCACTTCAAGCTCGTTGTAATTCTTTAGCATTAATTGCCAGACATTTATCGGCTGATGAAAATTATATTTCGCCTTTTACACAAAGAGCATTAAAACATGGAATTAAAGCTCCTGGAGGTAAACCGGATGATGTGACGATTATTTTATTTCAAGTTTCTTGAATTTTTTTGTTTTAATTTGTTAGGTATTTTTTGAAGACTTATTATTTAAAATATAAATTTGATTTTTAAACTTTCACGATTGATAACAAAATTTTGGATTTTAGCCTAACGATTATAACCTCCAACTCTAAAAAATTAAAACATCGCTCAGCGGATCTCATTAAGCTATTGTGTCTGAATCCGGAATTTGATTGATAAATAATTTTCTTGACTTAACTCCCAAGGAGTGGGACTGAATGGCCATAACTCGGCCCAGTCATTTTGCAAGAAAGCGGATATCATTTAACAATAGAAAGCCGAGGGTTCTCTCGAATGGTACCAAAAATATATGAAATTCGCAGTTATAGTAAACGATGTTCCCCTGTCAGTTAACTATCGACAGCAAAATTCTTTTATCATGAAAAAACAAAAAGGTAAACTTTTAATTAAAATAAATTTACGAGTAAAAAAACTGAAATTTTTTAACACAAATATTTACCAAAATCTCCATACAAAGTCATTAAAACAAAATAAATTCATTGATTATACTTCCATTTTAATTCATTTTATCCATTAATTTGTAAATATCAATTCCTTTACTTTTAGCAAAGTCATAATACATATCGCTAACATCCATAAGTGGAAATTTCGTTTTACCTTCTTTAGTAATAAGAAGCACTAAAATTTTAAAAAATATTTAGTACATACAAAATATGGAAAAATTTCCCGGAACTTTAATTTTTCAGTTTATTTTATATAGATCATTTGTTTGACTAAAAAAATTCCTTACCCTGATTAGATCCTCCAGAACCAGAATCTCTATAAGTTGCATGCATAATTGCTTCTCTCCCAAGCTTTATAGCCTCCTCATCTGTCATTTCCTCTTTATAACGGCTATCCAAAACTGCATAAGCATTTAATGAGCCAGAACCAACAGAAACAAAATCGGGCACTTTGCAACGCATTCCAGAGCTGTCAACCAAATAAATGGAGGGCCCTTTATGATCATAACCGGCAACCATCGAACCCTAGAAATTAAATATTTTAAACAAGAGAAGATTAAGCTATAGCATTTAAAATAATTAAAAAAAAGGCAAAATAGCATCTGATAATTTTTTCATAATAAATTTAAAAACAACGATTTTTAGTTAAAAATTTTAAATTTACCAGATTAAGCCCATTATTTTTGTTGCTATACATAATATTAGCAAGATATTTGGACGTTGCAGAAACAGTTATTGGCCTTCCTTCACGAAGTTCAAACAAACTTCAAAAAATTTTTTGATAAAAATTTTTCATAAAAATCCTAAACAAACTTGCAATATCTAGTAACTACACTAATCCAATATTGACAATCTGCAGCACCACCAGCCATTGTTGCAACCATTCTTTCATTAATTGGCAAAATCTTATTGACGTCCTTGCACACTAAAAAAATTAAATAAATTAGAAAATTGGTTTTATAATGAAATATTTTTATAACGATTAAAAATTATTTTGTACTATTGCTGTTTGTATTTTGTACTAAATTTGTACTAAACCCAGGCCAAGGCCTGGGTTTTTCTTGTACCCAGAGTCCAGGCTCAGGCATTTTTTGACCTTACTGATTGTGAGCCTGAGTTTTTCCTGGACTACAGGCCCAGGATTCGGTCCAGGTCAATAAATCAAACCCGGAACAGGCCCAGGCTTTTCAAAAATTCCGATCTCTAGTAAATAAGTGTGAAAATTTAAAACAAGAAACATACTAATAAAGCTTCCACCAGAAGCTCTAGAGTCGACAGAAATCACAACACCGCCTTTGTCATTCGGAGTCTTCGGTTTGTAATGAAATGCTAACGTTGTTGTACCTTTGTTGAATTGAGCCATAGGAAGTTTAGAATTTGGACCAAAATGGTGATTGACAAAAACTTTTGGCTAAAAAATAAGAGGAAAATATTTTTCATGGAAATGATTAGAAAATTTAATTTTTGTTTAAATATTTTTCTAATTTAAAAACCTTAATCCCCAGTGGAGGGAATATAAATTCTTGTTTAGTATCATCCATATTTGCCAATTTCTTCCAATCATCATTACATTCATCAACACGGCTGTCACGGTAATACATCTTTAAATGCTTAAATTAAAATAGTTCTTAACTGAAAATAAATTTTTAACTAAATTAGCTTGAAAAAATTATGAAAATGATGAGAATTTTGATTAAACCCAAAATAATTTTAGAAATTTCGCTTTTAAAACACAATGACAATTTTAGTAAAAAATGACAAAATCTCCCCAGCGAAATTTTGAACTTGCTTTAAAACTTTCTGATTAACAATAGGGTAGGGGACGATTCAGTATCGCCGATTCAGTATCGCCAATTCAGTATCGCCGATTCAGTATTGGCCGATTCAGTATCTGGGCTTTTTGGCCATAACTTTTTGTTCGATCAATATTGTAGGAATTATTATATATGATTTGATAGGCCTTGGGGTGCTGCATCTTTTTCATAATTGGACTGACCTGATCTGATCACTCTACAAAAAGTTATCACTGATAAACGACGTCACAGGCATAAAAAATCGGTTTTCACGTTGTAACTTTTTTTGTGATCATCAGATCAGATCGGGCCAATTATGAAAAAGATGTAGAATCATGAGACCTTTCGAATGATATGAGAATTATTCAAATCGGTCAAATATCAGGAAAGTTATGGCCATATACTGAATCGGCGGATACTGAATCGGCGATACTGAATCGGCTATACTGAATCGGCGATACTGAATCGTCCTTAACCGTTAACAATAAGCTTACTTAATTTTTTGAGGTAAAGTTTTTTTTTCATTTCAGTTCTCAAAAAATGTCATACTATACGACTCCAATTTATACCGAACAATGCCGATGTGTTCAGTTTAGTAAATTTGTGACACTTGCTGGGTCGACAGCATTTGCTTCTATAGCTTTATATGTAAACGCCGTTGAACATCCGGCTTTGCAAACTTTGGATGATTCAAGTGCTTTACAACATTGGAAAGCAATGTATTCTCGTGCAGCGCCTATTCAGGTTATAAATTTATTTTTTTAAATTTATTAGTCTTTCAGGCATCACTTGCACTTTTTACTAGCTTTGTTGGGACTGGAATGACTTATCGTACTGGAAACAAAATTTGGCTGCTTGGGGCTGGTTTAATGTTTCTTAATTTGCCATATACGTTCATCTTCATTATGGTTTCTTTAGAATTTTTTTCATTAAAAATGCTTTAATGATTAAAAATATTTTCGATTTAAATTTATTAGCCAATCAATAAACGTCTTAATGCAACTGACAATGAAAAAGCTGGACCTGGAACACGTACTTTAATTTCCAAATGGAATTCCCGTCATGCTATTCGCTCCATTTTTGGTGTGGCAGCTGCTGGAGTGTTTATGTATGCATTAATGAAGTGAATGAATGATTTTTAATATACGAATTAATAAATAAAGGAGGTTATGACAAGATAATAATTAGACACACGATAATCAATTTTTATAAAATTAATTTCTAAAATTTTTTTTCAATATTCAATAGCATTTTATAAAATTTTGACTTTCTTTGTTTTAATGTTTTTTCTAAAGCATAATGTAATTTTGACGACATTTTAATTTTTTTGAACCTTCAAAATTTGTCTTATTTTTGATTTAGAATTTAAATAATTTTTTACATTGAAAAACAAAATGGGCTCTTTTGATGAAATTCAACAAAGAGCGAATAAATTAACTGCCGACCTTCGTTTTGGTGATCCAACAGAATTACGTTCTTCATCTCAATTTTCTGGCAGTAATGTTTATTCAACTCCAGCATTTATCGAGACAAGTTTAGATGATATTTTTAAAAGAAGTGAAGAAATTTGGAATAAAAAACAAACTTTAAAACCAATTGTTGGAATGAATGCTACTTTGAGAACAATTAAAGATCAAAATCAATTAAACAGTACTCGACTTAATATTCAACAAGGGAAAGAATTAGCAGCAGAGAAGAAGCAACAAATGTAAATTTTTTTAATTTTATCAAGTTATTTTCTTGCACAAAATTTATTTCTGACAATTACCAAAAACTTAATTTCTATCAATTCCTTTTTTAGTGTTTACGATGATCTAGGCGCAGATCAAACTCAAAGCGATGAAGTTGAAAAACTTGTACAAAAAGCATTTGAAAGAGCACGAATAGCAACTGAACGTTCATTTCTTAATCAACAAGTATTGGAACGAACAAGTGGAGGTATTTCTTCAACATCTGATTTATTCTCACCAAGAAGAGGAAAACAAATAGGCAAAGAGAATACTTTAGAAGGAAAATCTGTGTTTACTAAAAAAGTTAAAAGTATTGGTAATTTACCATGTGCTCCACTTGCACATGAACAAGAATTGTTTGCTAAAGAGGTTTGACATTTTTTAAGTTGTTAATATTTCTTGAGAGATTTCTGTTTCCCCGTTTTCAGAAATTGCTGTATTTGTTTCACGTTTTTTCGACCCCCCCCCCCTCAATTTAAATTTTTTTTAGTTCACGTGACCAGGAATTACTTATTTTTCACACACAGCTAGAATATTTTAACTAAACGATCAATACCTTTTTACCTTAATTTCTTATTTTCTTTTTATAGCTGGACAAAGCACTCTATCAGGATAGCAACTCTCAATTACGTCCGATAATTAATAAAGTTATTGAAAAATTAAATTCTCGGGAAGCAAATTATATTTGGTCAAAAGTATTTGCTATTTTACCTGAATCACGGATGTCTAGAGCCAATCAAAATGTTAGGGAATTGCGTTCAGAAAAGCGTTGGCTTGACAATTTAATTAATTCTGGATCAAAGTACTTGCAGGACGAGTATGTTTAATTATTCTATTATATTTTTGTTTGAGTTTATCCGCATTTCAAAGAGTTTTATAACTCCCGTATTTTTTCACACACAGTTATTTTCTCACTATCATTTTAACTCCATAGATTTATTTTTTTTATTCTTACTTCTCGCTTCTTGCTCGCTAGTTTTCTTTCATTTTCGATAACTACTTTTTTCAATCGGGATGGTAACTAATATATATTTCTAGCATTGATTGTCAGGAATCCTACTACTTAAAATAAATTTTAATTGAAAACTAAAAATTTCTTAAGATTTAAATCATACATGGAAAATACTGTCGAGGGAAATCTATCAACTGCTTCCCGTGGAGGAGTTCCAGGAACGCTTTCTCTTATCGAGGCTTTTTTGAAGGTTAAAAGGCTGCCTACAAATTTTAAATTTGAGGTTCTTTTTAATTTTTTTTTTGAAAAAAACAATCTCTAGGATGGTCGTCATGGTTCTCACCCCAAATGGGCTGTCCTCTTTTACTGCCTTCGCATTGGCGATATTGCTGGAGCTTCTAAGGTAGCTGATGGATTGGCAAATAATGCTCAATGTTCCGCTCTAGTTGGTGTTCTGTCGAATTTGCCGAAACTGACCAGGTTTTTCTAAATTTCAATTAATTTTCTGTTGAATATGTCAGTTGCAAATTAAAAATAAAATTTTGTTCTAAAAATTTCCAAGCTTTTCATTTTTAATTTTTCAGTATTGATGAGGAAAGACGAATAAAAATCCGTGCAGAATGGAAACAAAATTCTCAAACTTGTTCTGATGATTACAAAAGTGCTGTTTATGGGTTATTCCTAGGCTTTGATTGTCCAACTGTTAACACAACAATTGAGGATTGGCTTTGGGCTATATTAATTTCTTGTAAATGGGCACAGGAATCAACACGTGCTTTTCGACAATTACAAACGACTATTTGTGCTCAACATGGTTTGATAATAATTTTTGTAAAGTTATTTCAGTTCGTGTTTTAAATCACTCCCACTAACAGAGCTCGTTAAAATGAGAAAAATCAGATAACTTTCAAACGTCTGTGTTGACTATAAGTTAATTCAAAATGTTGCCATCGATTAAACTAGCCTTAATCTCACATCTAAGAGCATGTTCTAGAGTTATTCTAATAAATTACCTTTATTAAGGTGAACGTTATTTTGTTGTCGAAGGAGGTAGTCATCTTCTTTATTTTGCTGTTCTTCTTTTAACTGGTCAAATTGAACGTGCAATTTTTATTTTACACAAATCTGCTGAATATTCAGTTCACGCTGTTCATATAGGATTGTTAGCTCAACAAATTGGTGTTTTATTGTGTACTGATAGTGTTTCGAGTGCTGATATTTGTGGGTGCTTTTAACGATTTACAAAATTTTTATTTAAAATTTTTATTATATTTGATAAAATTTTAGTAGTTCAAGACGTACATGAACCAAGTATTTGTCAACTTAATTTGGCTCGTTTGGTTTTATTATATGTTAAAGAATTTGAATTGACCAATACTGCTTATGCTCTAAATTATTGTTTTTTCTTACGAGACTTTCAGTTGGAGAATTTAATTGACGGAAATGGTTTCTGAAATTTATTTTTAAATATTTAAAATTGACTAGTTTATTTGCAAATTTAAAAAATTGTCTGCGCAATTTAGGCCTTCCTTGATGAAAATTAGTTTTCTGAACAATTCACCGGTAGATAATTAACTGTCTTCTGCACTTTTTTAAAAATTTCTTTCAAAAATTTCCATTTACGGGTACAACTATCTCAATCTAATATAAAATAACCATTTTAAAATAATCATGTCTTCTTTTCAGTTTCCACTACTGGTAGATCTGTATTCGATGCCTGTGTCAGTCGATTGGTATTTTTAAACAAAGATGAGCGCGACACCATTCTTGGGCATTTTAATCAACAAGATGAACGCATGCCTGGTTTAATCGACAAATTTTCTGGAAGTTTAAATGTTAAAGATGTAATTGGTCGTGTTGCTTTTGACATTAGTATTGAAGGAGATCCTTTGTGTGCTTGTCAACTTTATGCTCTTTCTGATGTATTTATTTAGAATTTTTATAGGAAATATTAGTTTTTTTTGAGTTTTTATAACTCTGAAATTTAAATTTACTGGGTTGGTACTCGAAACTAATAGTAAGAATAACCTTAAATTTAAGAATATTATACGTTATTGCCAAAACATTAACTATTAATTCCTTTATGGGGACATGGAATATGGGGAATTTTATGTTTATTTATGCAAACTAAATTTATTTGTGTACATTACTAGAAAAATTTAAATAACTTAAGTGTTTTTTTCCTTTTTAGCGTTCAGATGATGCTATTCAACTTGCTTCTACTCAACTATCAAAATATATTTCCAATCCATCTACTGAACAAGCAATTCAATCAGTTAAATGTGCCGAATGGTTAGCACGCCGATATGGAATAGATTCTACCAGAGAAAGCTTTTTATACCAAACTTTATGCCGTCTTCTAGAATTGTACACATTTTTCTTTGATGCTGAAGCAGGCAAGCATCGTGAAGCAATTGAATTATTACTTCATCGAATGAAATTTATTCCAACTGATCCCGAAGATGTTTCGGCTGCTGTAGAGCAATTCCATATGGTGGCGGATGAGGTATTAGAAATTTTTAATTGAAAAAAATGAAAATAGGGTTGTTTTTGAAGGTTGGTTGTAGGTTGGGTTGTTTTTGAATATGTCATTCGAGGCATGATTCTTTCTCGACCTTCCTTGTATTTTTCTTTTCTGTATTTGAATTTTCTACAATTTATGTCCTTTAATGCCATTACTTTAATTTTTTACAGATTCGCCCACTTCTCCCTGATATTTGCTCTCAATTAATGCGTTCAATTGTGTGTGCACACGAATCAGCACCTAGAGGCTCGCCGGAAACTTTATTGCTTAAACAATATGCAAAAGCATTGATTCTTTACACAGCACAAATACCTTTTCGTTTTCCTGTTTCAACAAATTCACTTTTGCTCCAACTTCGATCTCGAATTGTTTGAAATTATTATATGACCTATTTTGTTAATTTAATCTTTCTGCATTGTTTTTTTTAATTTTTTAAATTATTATATAAAATTTTTAAAGCATGTTGTAAACCCTTTTATTTTTGTACTGTTTTATTTAGACTTTTTATAAATTACCTTATTTTTTGGCATTAGAATACTTTTGTTTTATTAATAAAAAACTTATTTTCCTTCAATCAGGTTGTTTTTTGCAAGTTAAATATGTCTACAAAGAAGAAAAGTAGTGGCCGTCAAAGTAATCTGTTTACGTTCTTTCAAAAAACGCCAAAAACTGAAAAATCTGATGAAATAACACCAATTAATGGTGATTCTGGCAAAGACAAAATAAATGATGAGGTTTGTCAATTTTTATCAGGAAAATATTTTAATTTTCTTATTCTATTGACAAAAGGATTTTTCAGGCGATTGATGATCTTGAAAATATTCCTGCTAAAAAAGAGATTACAACACCTTCAAATAAAAATAGCCCTAAAATTGCTAATGGAACAAATAAACCTAAAATAACAACTACACCATTATCTGTTAAAAGAAAATTATCCAAAACTGAAGAAAAGCAAGATGTTTCAATTATTTTAGACGATGATAGCAATAGTGGAGAGAATGTGGAGGGGTTTTTGAGTTGTGCTGGGTCTTCATTTACCGATTCTCCTGCCTCTCCACAATTTTCCTTTAAACGTCGGCGTGCAATAATTTCTTCTGATGAGGAAGAAGATGATGATTTAAATAAATCTAAAAGTGAAAGAAAAATTAGGAAAAATGAAGATAAAGTTGATACTGAAGTTAAGAAGGATTTAAATGATGTAAAGAGAGAAAATGACAGTGAAAAGGTTATTTTTTATAAGATTAAAAGAAAATTTTTTTTAATTTAGATGAGCATTTCTAATGAAAAAATGGAGCAAGATGTTCCCATTGTTGATGACGATAGCTGTCAATTGATTAGCCAAGAGAAAGAAAATAAATCTACAGGGAAGGCTCATTCATTTATTGAATTATTTGTTAGTTAATTTTTTAAATATTTAATTGGCAACTAGGGAAAAGTCAAAAAATTAGTTTATTTTGAGATCCATGATATAATTTTTAAAAATTAGTCGGAATTTTTTTTATTTTCCTATTTTTAGAGTTTTTCTAATAACGATGGGGAAGAGATTATCTCAGACCAACAACAAAAAATTAAATCATCTTCCAATGTCTTAAAAACCCCAAAATCAGCCAAAGCTTCACACGATGAAGAAAACAAAGACGGTGAAGATCATTTTCCCCATTTGGATTTTGAATTTTTAAAAAAGCCAAGAGATGCGCAAAAAAGGAAACCAACAGATCCAGAATATGATTCTCGAACACTTTTTGTTCCTCCAGATTTTCTTAAACAACAATCACCAGGTTTTATTTTTCTGATTCTTTCATCTATTAATTCAGGTCATCAACAATGGTGGAAATTGAAATCTGCACATTTCGACACTATTCTATTTTTTAAAGTTGGTAAATTTTATGAGCTTTATCATATGGATGCTGTTATTGCTGTTGAAAATTTGTCTTTGGTTTATATGAGGGTAATTTTTTATTTTAATAAGTTTTTTTTATTACTGGAGATTTCATTGTATCCCTATATATTTACATATGATATCATACCTAATTAGGTTACAATCCATTTTATATTAATTGCTTTAATACAAAATTTTAAGTTTTTTTATATTTAATTTTTAATTAGGGAAAATATGCTCATTGTGGCTTTCCCGAAGCATCCTATGGTCGTTATGCTGAACAACTTGTCAATAAAGGTTATAAAGTTGCTCGAATAGAACAAACAGAAACACCAGAACAATTAGCTGAAAGACAGAAAAAATCAAAAAATTCAACAAATAATTGTTCTTCGCCTCGAATTGAAAGAGAAAAAGTTGTTAGACGTGAACTTTGTAGATTAACAACTATTGGAACGAAAACTTTTGGAATATTGGATGGAAGTGATTCTAGAGATTCTAATGATGTTGCTGTAGATCCAAGTCCAAATTATTTATTGGCTTTGACAGAGAGGAAAGTGAGAAAATTTTGTGATTTTATTTTTATTTCCTAAATAATAGTCACTCAAAATAATTTTTAAGTCAGATAATCGCTCAAATGATGGCTTCAGTCGATTTGGTGTTTGTTTTGTCGATTGTTCTGTTGGAAAATTTTTTCTTGCTGAATTTGATGATGATCGTTTTCAGAGTAATTTACGAACACTTTTCGCACATAATTTACCTGTACAGGTTTGGAAGATGATTTTCAATAAATTAATTAAAAATGGTGTTTTTAGTTGATATATGAGAAAGGAGCACTTTCTTCTGGTACTACAACTCTTTTGGAAACAATGCTTTCTAGTGTCCCAAAAGAAATTTTATTTCCAAAGAGGCAATTTCTGACAGCCGAGGATACTTTGAATTTGGTTAATTTTTGCTGTGTTTATATACATATTCCTTTGGAATTATTTTTTCTTTTTTTTAGCTTTCTGAAGAACTTTATTTTGGCGCAAGTATTGACCAATGGCCGAATACTTTTCGCTCCTTGTTGGATGACTCTCCAATCCCTAAACCTTCAAAGCAACACCAACTTTGTATCTCTGCTTTTGGCGCCACTTTATGGTTTTTATTTTATTTGAAGAAATCGATGTTTCTTTTTTAGGTATTTACGTGAATGTTTAATTGATGTAGATACAATTAGTATGCGTCAAATTGAGCTTTATTCTCCACCTTCTCTTAATTTTGATGGCAATAATGTTAATATTTGTCCGATGTCTTCGTCTGAAGCTTGGAAAGGAAAGCACACGTAAATTAGTTTTTAAAATAAATTTTAAAAATTCAATTTTAGTATTTTGGATGGTTCTTCTTTGCTTAATTTACACATTTTACCATCACTTTCATCTAATAATAACACAAATTCGAATACATCATTTTCATTATTTAACACTCTTAATCGATGTTTAACCGCTTCTGGTAAACGTCTTCTTCGCCAATGGATATCTACCCCAACTTGTGATAAAGAAACCCTTTTGGGAAGACAATCTTGTATTAAATGGTTGATGGCAGATGAGAGGCGACCACATTTAGCAAAATGGATGGAATTGTTAAAGTAAATTTTATAAAGTTTTAATTAGATTTCTCTTCTATAATATATTTATTAGACAATCGAAGGGTTATGTAAAAATTATTTAGGGTTTTCACAAGAATCTAACATTTTTTGCCAATGTTTTTAAAAATATTTTTTTAGGAAAATACCTGATTTGGAACGTCTATTTCAAAGGTTTTCTTTTTGATTTATTTGAATAAATTTATTTCAAGAATACATACAATTGGTTCAAAACATCGAGCAGATACAAAACATGGAGGTGGTGGTCATCCTGATTCTCGAGCACAATTTTTTGATAGTGACAAATACAATAAACGAAAAATTCGTGATCTTTTGGTTGTTTTGGATGGATTAGGTTAGTTATATTTTTGTTTAAAGAAATTTTTCTTTAATTTGTAGAGGATTTAATGCGATTAAAACGAATGTTTTTAAACGCGAGTGAAATGGACGCAGATAAAAGGTTTTTCTTTTTCAAAATATTTTTTAAATTTATTTTATATTTCTACAGTGTTCCTTCAATGTTAACTAATTGTTTTGGTTCAAATTATAAAGAAATGAGTGAAGATTTGGAATTCTTTAAGGTTTTTGAATTTATTTTTTGTCGAGATTTTACTTTGTTTTTTGGAGTAAAAGGTTATAATTTTTTATTTTTAGAGTGCTTTTGACCGTCAATCAGCTTTAGAACATGGAGTTATCCAGCCGAATAAAGGTGTTGATGAAGAATATGATTTGGCTTGTAATGATGTAATTAGTTGTGAATCTCATCTTAATGAATTTCTTGAAAAAATGAGAAGAGTGTTTAAATGCTCGGTTGGTTTTTTTAAATGTTTTGAGGGAAAATATATGTAGCTTTGAAAAAAAAAATCTTTAAAATAAAAGTTTGAACTCTAGGAGACCCGAACCTCTGCTATTTTCTCTTTGTAAGCAAGCACACTAACCATTTGACCATAAGTGTTTTTACTCGTGACTTAAATATTCTCTTATATTTTATTTTATTCAGACAATAAAATTTGTTGGTACCGGCAGGAATTCTTATCAATTAGAAATACCCGATGCTTTTTGTAAATCTTTGGGTACAGATTTTAGATTAACATCACAAAGAAAGGTTTACCTCTTAATTTAATTTAAATATAATTTTTTTTATTTTTCTAAGGGATTTAAACGTTATTATACTGACGAACTTCAACAACTTTTTGATAAATTAACAAATTCTGAAACTCAACGTGATTTAATTAGTGCAGAAGTTACAAGACGTGTTTTTGCTGATTTTAGTCAAAGGTTTTTTTTTAATTTTTTAGTTATTTATTTAATTATTGGATTTTTTAGAAAAGATAAATGGAAAAATATTGTAAATAATTTAGCTCAATTTGATTGTTTAATTTCTTTAACGTTATTTGCTCAATCTTCGCCAAAGAAAATGTGTTTCCCAGAATTTTGTTATGATTCTGAAAAGGTTTTAATTCCAAAAATTTTTGCTTCAATTTACTACAATTTAATCATTATTTTCAGCCATTTCTGTCAATTTCTAAAGGATTCCATCCTTCATTAATTGATGCAGTTGGTGTTGATTATATTCCAAATGATTGTGAACTTGGCGGTAAAAATTCTCCTTTAATGTTACTTACTGGTGCTAATATGGGTGGAAAAAGTACTTATATGAGACAAATTGCTGCACTTGTTGTTATGGCACAAATTGTTGGTTTTTTTAATTGAAAACTTTTTAAATATACCCGATAAAAGTAAATTAAAAAAATAATTTTTAGGGTTCAATGGTTCCAGCAAATTCAATGAAATTAACTCCAGTTGATAGAATATTTTGTAGAATTGGAGCTAGCGATAGACTTGTTGCAGGTTATTTTTTTATAAAAAATTTTCTTCGAGTTCCTTTTTGGACTATTTCCATCTTTAAAAAATATTTTATAATTAAAAATATTTAATAGGCCAATCCACTTTTTATGTTGAACTTGCTGAAACAAATATTATTTTAAGACAAGCTACTTCATATTCTTTAGTTCTAATTGATGAACTCGGTCGTGGAACGAGGTTTTGTATTTTTTAGAGAATTTTTAGAAAAGTATTATTTAGTACTTTTGATGGTACAGCAATTGCTTGTGCCGTTTTAAAATATTTATCAACAAAAATATGTTGTAGAGGACTCTTCTCAACACATTACCATGCTTTATGTAAATTTGTTGCTAATAATCCAAATGTTAAATTGGGGCATATGGTAGGGTTTTTTCGGGAAACTAATTTTGAAAATATTTTTTAAAAATATTTAAAGGCTTGTATGGTTGAAAATGCAAATTTAGAGGATCCAACAATGGAAGCAATAACATTTTTGTATACATTAGCTGAAGGAGCTAGTGATAAATCTTATGGATTTTATACAGCTAAAATGGCGGGAATTGACGTTGAGGTTGGTTATTTTCTTGTAAATATTCTTTAAAAAGAAAATTAATTTTTAGATTGTTAGAAAAGCTTTTGCTGCTTCCAAAATGTTAGAGGAAAATAAATTAAATTATTAAAGAATGGACTGACTGATTTTTATAAGCAATTTACATTTTGATATTTTTGAATTTTTGTTTAAAATTATTTTGGAAGTATCTCAAATAAATTATTGGTATAATAATTATGGTAAAATACTATATACTTAAAAATTTATTTATGAAAAGTTGATGATCAAATGAGTGAACAAAAAAGAAATTATTGCATTAAAAAATAAAATGGCAAAATAAAATATATAAATTTAAATTGAAGAATATTGGCAGTGATTTTTGAGGAAAATTCCCTTCCTTTAGACACAAATGGGGAGCTTTGAAGGTACCCTTGGTTGGAGCATAAGTCATGATTTGGAAAATAAAAATATTTGTGGACACAAAATAAGAACATCCTTCCTCTAGGGATCCCCAAACAAAAATGGGTATTTAATTTCACTGCTCAAAATTCCAAGAGATTTCTATGTATTCAACAATAAATTTTTATTTTCTAATAACATCATCAGACATAAAACGTTTTCCCAATTTTGAATCAACATTAAATTTAGACATAACCTCTACACATAAAACAACAAAACGGCTAGAAAAAAGATATTTTTAAATAATTTCTAAAAATTATTTAAAACTTATTGCAATTAGCCTCTTTAGATTGTCCAGTAAGTGAATGACGGGAATGTAGGGGGGAAGCATTTCCAAAAGAATTTGAATTATTAGAATACCATCCATCACAAAAAGCTGTTGAAGTACGGGAACCTTCTGCTGTAGAACCGTGCCAAAGCCAGCGGTCGGGCCTGGAAATGAGGGAAATTTTCAAAAAAAAATTCCCAAATCCCCACCAATTATTGTCAGAAATAACGTCCCTTCTATTAAAAGAATAAATGGGAACGTGTGCATGTACACTCCTTTCTCCATCAAAAACGCTATTCCAAGAATCAAAAAGGCGTTCACCACGAATATTTACAATTGGGGTATAATTTCTGTCATCTTCATGTACTACTTTATTCAAATCTTGAACTCTAGATGAAAGAAAAGCTCGAAATGTTGTTGTAAATCCAAACTAAAAATTGTTGAATTAAAGAAAGGGAGAGGAGTTTATTTATTCTACTTGTCTAGCCTGTTTATAACATTCTAAATCAGCACCACGTACACCACCAAAATTTCCATTTAAAGGTTCATTTAAAGCAATCAAGTGAATCTTTAATTTGTTTAATTTAGTAAAAAAGAGATTTAAGAATTGACTGTTAAAGAAACAAGACTTTTACTAAAAAGGTTTTAATAATTAATCTCTCACTGTTATTTTATCGTAACAGTCTTAAACTAGTTGAGAGACTAAAAAGAGAGAAAGTCAGTTAGGAGAAGTGTTTCTTACAAAATAGAGAACTTGGAACAACATCAGAAATTACCTCCCTGACTCCTGTAATTTTATAAAGATTCTAGTTTCACGTTAAAGTTAAAAGGAAATTTATGTGCATGTAAATTTAAGAATCTCTCAATAAATTTTCTAATAAAATTAAATAAAAAAACCCCTCACAATTCTATCTTTATGCCTTTTCTGTTGAACACTAGGTACTCGATTCTTTTGCTTTTCCGCCTCTTTTTCTTCTTCAAATCGACGATTTTCTTTAGGTGGGAATCGAGGTTGCCAGCGTTGTTCAGGGGAAGGTAAAGTGTTTATCTTTTAAAAGGGGAATAATTTATTTTTTAAAATTCAAAAAATCCCCCCAAAGCTCTGTTAATTTTTAGTAAATTTTGTTAATTTATTTTTAAAAAAGCAAGCTTTTAATTACCATTTCATTATCATTTCTAAATTCCTCACTGCTAGGTTCATCCAAAGCCAACTTTATATATTAATTAAAGCAATGTTAGAAAAAAGCAAATCAAAATTTAAAAGAAAACTTACCCAATAAGAAAGTCTATTTAATTCATCAGAATCAGCAGCATTATTATTCTGTTTTTAATTAATTTTTAAATTAAAGTTGCTTCAAGTTTATTTTAGGTTTCAACAATTCCCCCCTTCTTTGTTAACAAAAATTTATTTTTATTTTTTTAATTTGTTTAAATTTAAAATAAAAATATTTACATAATTTTGTTAGAAATAAATATATGTTAGTGAAAAAAGGAAATTATTTTTTTTTAATTTTTTGTATTATTAAGCAATATATTTAATCCTTTCCTTTATTATAATTAATTATTAATTAAAAAGCACGCGTAACCCAATATTCGAAACAAAAAAATTAAATTTTACCGAAATTGAAGGAGAAGAAACATAATCATCAACATTCCTTTCTTTTGTTCCAGATTGGGCGGTAAGAAGATTTCCTCCAAGCTGAGAGGAAAAAATTAGAAAATAAACTTTAAAAACAAACACTCACAATAATTTGTTTCCAACCAGAATTTACTCTAATAAATAATTGTTGAGTAGAGAGGGCAAAAGCCAAAAATCCTAAAAGAATACAAAAACTAAAAAATTTTGTCTAAAAAAGAAGTTAGTATGTAGGTGTTTATCAAAAATGAGTACCCACCAATAGGGCAATTAGGTGTAGCAGCTAATAATTCTAATGCCGTTTGGAATATTCTAACACCAGAAAATGAAGGAGATTGAGGCTATATTTAAATTTTTAAAAGAATATTTTAAAATATTTTTACTTTTTCAATTAATTTTCCAGGCAATCCTGGAGGTCCTTGTTCTCCTCTATCTCCCTTTTCCCCTTTTATTGAATTACTACTTCCATGTACTTTTCGATTGTAAGCGGGTAATTGATCACTATTTTGTCCATTGAGTAAAACAACTTCTTCCTCTCCTCCATCTTGATACTTTAAATGATTATTTTTGATTAAAAATAATTTTAGAAGAAAATAATTTTTGAAATTCAAATAATTACATTTATGTTTAGGGAAGGATGAGAAAATAGGTACTGATCAAATCAATAAGAAAGACCAGAATTTTATAGGGACATCTAAAACAAAATTATGTATAACCTTGTGGACTACAAATCAGTTTAGATCAGATAAGTAGAAACAAACAAGTTATAATGTTTGGGACTTTAATTATATATCAAAAACCACGAAAATACCACAAAATTAAATAATTTCCCTTACCCCTTCTCTGTAGGTTTGCTTAGATGTAGTTTTATCACAACATTCTCCTCTATCCCCCTTTTCACCCTTCACACCAGGCCAAGCAGCTATTCGACGTAAATCATGTTCAGTAAGACCTGGGAATACGCCTGGAGGGCCTTGCAATCCAGGAGGGCCAGGTGGTGGAATTCTACATTCTGTGGCGGCACACTAAAAATATTTGGGTGTTAAATACAGAAAATTATGTGAAACGATTGGGTATTTAGAACTTACTTTTTTTGTCCCTCACAACAAAAAAATTAATCGTTCCTTATCCACTACTATCTCACTATTACCAAATAAATTTCCAAAAAAATCCCCCAAATAAATTCCCTCACAGTTCCAGGTATTCCAGGTTCTCCTCGTTCTCCTTTAGGCCCAGGAATCATTTGTTGTTGAATTAAAGGAGTGTGTAGTGTTGGAGGTAAAGTTGTTTTTGTTTCTTCTTTTTGTTGTTTTGTTGTTGTAGTTAATGTGGTTGTTAATAAATTAATGTTTTTAGGCAAGAAACGAGCAGGTCCAGAACCTGGAGGGGTTGAAGGAAATCTTCCTTTTCCTTCCTCTTCTTCCCCTTCATCCACTCTTAATCCATTTTCTTCTAAGGAACCAAAACCAGAACTGACAAGTCCAGATTTTTCAGAATCCTCAAAAAATGAATTTAAAGAAAATAAATGGAAAAAAAGAGACGAGAATAAAAAATAAATCCACTAACCAACCAACCAACACAAAACACAAAAAGTCAAAAAAACTTCTTTTAAAAAAGACCTGTGGTTGGTAATCCCCTTCACGGGAGAAATCCCTTCGACGTTTCTTCCACTACAAGGAATTTAATTTATTTTTAGTTTAGGCAAAATAATTTTTGAAAGTCTATAACAAAATAAGCCGAGGAGTTTCCGATTTTTTCTAAAAATTTTTCTGCCATTCCTCCAAAATTTTCTCCCATTCTTATATTTTTTAAATATATTCTTAGTAAAGTTATAACAAAATTTTAGAATTTTTAATTAATTCTCAAGCTTAGAAACTCAAAAAGGTGTGACATTTTTGAATATAAATTTAAAAATATTTAACTTTAAAAATTCTAATAAATTTCAAAATTCTAGTTAGTCTTTAGGTTTTTTGAGGTTTTTTTTGTATGAAGTGGTGTTTTAACGTTTATCTTCCCAATTTTGTTTTTTTAATAATTAATCAAACTCTACATTTAAAAATATTTTTTCTTATTTTTTACCCAATTTTCATTGCACTGATTTGCTGCTTCTGCAGGGTCATCATGCAATTTAAGTTCTTGAATTGCCCCCTAAAATTCCCAAAAAATTATTTTTTAATTTCTCACTTTTTTATTTTTTGTTTTCCCAATTTCCTCATTATCATCTGCTACTTCAATTGATTGAAAACTTTTGATAGAGAAATTCAAAGTGTTCTCACTGATTTTTAAATAAAATGATTGAAAGAGAGAAAGGAAAGGAAGGAATTAAAAATAATTTAAATTAAATTATCAGATTTTCTTGTAAAAAATATTTTCTGCTACAACTTTTTGTTTCTTTTAAAAAGAACCTAAAACACTACTATTTCAATTTCTCTAACCAGAACAGAAAATACAACCGGAACACATATCGAAAATATGTAAAATCTTTCCGGAATCCTTTCCGGAGCACTAGAAATTGTTGCAGACAATTCCGGAACAATTTAAAATTTTAATTTAGAAATATTTGCATAATTAAGAGAAAGAGAGGAAATAAATACCCCCAAAACATCTCCCCCCAAAAACATACCCATTTTCTTTTGAAGCTAACCGAACCCCTTCACCCCCACTCTCAACAATTTCTAAAATCGTTTTCTCTTCATTTTCTCCTTCCTTTTCTTTGTTTATTATTTTTATTTTCTTTTCTTTTAAATTTTCCGGAAGATTATTTACAACAATAACTTTAAATTCTTCATTGTTATTGTTTTCTTGGTATGAAATTGTTTGTGGGGTTGTTGTTGAATGTCTGTGGTGTTGACGGTGTTTGTGTTGAATTATTGGTTTTGTTACTTTCTTTAAAGTATTTTTTGCTTTAGTTTCTGGTTTTGTTTCAGTATTTATTTTTGCTTCTATTGCTGGTTTTGCTTCAGATTTGGGTTCTACTACCTTTACCAATTTTGCTTCAGTTTTTAGTTTTGTGTCAGTCACTGGTTTTGTTTCGAGTTTTAGTTTTGCTTCTGATTTTGGCTTTGCTTCTTTTCCTAATTTTGCTTCTGGTTTAAGTTTTGCTTCAGATTTTATTTTTATTTTTTCTTTTTTTATTTTTGTTTCAGGTTTTATTTTCACCTCTATTGCCGGTTTTGCTTCAGTTTTTAGTTTTGAGTCTGCTGTTGGTTTTGATTCTGATGGTTTTGCTCCTTTTCCTAATTTTGCTTCTGGTTTAACTTTCACTTGCATTGCTGGTTTTGCTTGTGTTTCTGATTTTGCTTCGGACTTTAGTTTTGCTTCTGGTTTTACTTGCTTTTTAGATTTTGTTTCAGATTTTGTTTTAACTTTTTCTGTGGATTTAGATTTTGCTTCTGATTTATTTGTTGATTTTGTTTCTTTTAAAGATCTAGTAGTTAATTTTTCGGGTTTCGTTGTAGTATTAAATTCTGCTTCAGTTCTGGCTGTTGTTGCTAAAGTAGATTTTAATGTAGTTGTTAGTTTTGTTTTAGATTTAATTGGTGATTTCGTTTCAGTTTTTGGGGTTGCTTTAGTTTTTGTTTTAGATATTTCTGAGACATTCGATTTTGCCTTTAATTCTGGTTTAGCTGTAGTTTTGGATTTTACTTGTCTTTTAAATGTAGTTTTAGTTAATTTTTCTGGTTTGACTGTGGTAGTAGTAAAAATTGTTGTATTTTTGAATGTTGTTTCAGTCTTCAATTTATCTTGAATTAATGGCTTTGATGTTGTAAATATTTGAGTTTTTGTTGATTTAAATAATTTTTGGGGTTTAGAAGTAAATATTTCTTTAGTTATTATTTTTGGTTTGGCTGTCGTAGTAGTAGAAAGTGTTTTTTGTTTGACTGTTGTTGTTGTAGCTGTTGTTGTCTTTGTTTCAGTTTTAACTTTTTGTTTTGTTTTAATTGTTGTACCTACTTTAGTTTTAGGTATTAATTCTTTTGTTGGTTTAGTTTCTTCAACTTTTGTTTTATTTAAAGATTTTGTTGTTTTCTCAGTTGTTGATAAGAACTGAGAAAAAATTGTCTCTTTTAGAGAATTTTGTAATTTTTCTTCAATATTTTCTTCAATATTTTTAGCTTCTTTTTGCCTAATAAAATCTTTTTTTGCTTCAGCTTCATCTAAAGATTTTATTTCAGATATAATATCATCATCAGTTTGTGAAGAAACTAAGGAAGAATTCGGGGTTGATAAATTTTGAGATATTTTTGTTGAGTTAATTGCTAATATTTTTGGGAAATAATTAAGTGAAAGAGTAAAATATAAATAAATTAATAACTTCAAAAAGTTGTTGTTCATATTTTTCTTAAAAATTAAAAAAGAAAAGAAGAAAATTAGGGAAGGGAATAAACCCCTCTAATAGACCTCTCTAATTGAAGGCCACTTTCTAATAGAAAGCTTCTAGAGTGCTGAAATTGTTTGTTGAAAAAGTTCTGATCGTCTAATAGAAAGGAAAGGGAGTACAAAATTAAAGTTTAAAAAATTTAATTTTAATTTAGTTAAGAAGTAAAGATCAAAAATGATTTTTATTTATTGCTAAAGTGAAGGTTTACTTATGTAAATGGAAGCAAAACAAAAAATGCTTATATCAAAATACATTTTTTAATAAAAAGGAGAAAATAAAGAAAATGATGAATAATCTGAAAGAGAAGAATTTATTTAAAAGTAATGTATACAATCAGTTAACAAAAATCTTTATTAAATATTAAATTCTCAATAAAAATTATAAACTTGAAGAAAAAGAAAGAAGCAATTAATAGAATCCACATGGAGTTAAAAATATTTTTTTAATACAAAAATATAACTTAAATAAATGCAAAAAATAATAATGATAAAAAATGTTTAAAAAAAGGTTTAAGTGGATGTGAGGAGGGAGGGGGAGGATATATATCTGAAGTAGCAGATAATGAAGAGAGGGAACTTGTAAAAAAACAACCAAACAATATTTTTCTCTTTTCTATATAATTTTTGTAAAAAAATAAACTTTACTTCAAACCCCCCACCAATAATAGGACCAGCATTTGCAATATATAATTTAGAAGCATCGTCCATTTGCAGCTGTGTAGGGTGTCTATACACCTGTGGGTAATTTAAATACTTTTTTAAAAAGTTTAAAGAATATTTTTAAATAAAATTTTATTTAAAGTGTTGGAATTTATTTTTTTTAATTTATTTTTTACAAAAAATCCCCCTTCTCTCCTTACTTGTCTAACGGCATATCTCATACATCTAAAATATAGCCCAACAGTCTGTTCATGTACTTCCAATGCAAATTGTGTCCATTGCCCAGCAAATACAGGAACTAAAAAGGAAGCTAAAACTCTGGATGTGCTACGTTGTTCTGATGAATCGGTTGAAGAAGAATCGGTGTAGAAAAGGGAAATGTTTGTTTGTGTTGGGCCTGGATTTTTTGAGGAATTAAAATAAAATCTTTAGAGGTTATCCTTTATAAAATCTCTAAAAATGGAATATCTTATAAAGAAACAGCAAATGATAAATAAAAGAGAAAGACAAGAATCTCTACTTATAATGAGCAAATTAAAATAAGTACATATTAAAAAAGTAGAAAATAAAATTTTAAATAAATCTAAACTAAAATTTACAAGAAATCACAGATTTTAAAAATTCCAAAAATAAAGATAGGATAAAATAGAGATTCCAATAAAAAATAAATTATTTGCCTGCAGATTGTAACTGAACACCCAATTCCACAATTGTATCAAAAGCATTTAGAACAGCAAAAAGAAAACCACCCAAATTATCGGAAGGGCGAATAGATGCAAGAATAGCAAAATTACTTTAAAAAATAATTTTTAATTAAATAAAAATTTCTTTTGCAAAAAAACTGACCGATAAAATTTCCGAGGTAAATATATTCTATAGGGGACAACTATTTCTACTCCACGCTAAAATTAAAATTAAATTAAGAATATGTATTTAAATTTTAATAATTTTAAGGTATTATTAAGTAAAATTTTAATTTTAAATTAAATTATTTAAGATTAATTAAATATTTGTGTGTGCAGTTTTATTTAATTGAGGGCTCAAAGAAAGAAAATAAAAATTAACATTTTAATTTAAACAAAATTAATTATTTAAATTAAATTTCCACCTTAATTCCAACAGCAGGAAGTCCATCAAGTCCAGCAGTTCTAAATACCCTCGGATCTGTATCGATCAGATTTTCAACGGGGATGAGCAAATTTGCTTCAGTTTCCTCATCTTTAAAAAATTAATTTAAAAGAAAAAGATAATCCTTTAAATCTTTTATTTTAAATAAATAAATAAATAATTATCGTCAAATTTCCCCTAACATTTGTTCTTTTTCTACCCTCTATTAAAAACATTATTTATTCTTCTATGGATTAAACAATTATGCAAATTTAAAAAAAATAATTAAAACAGAAATATAAGCTTAAATCAGAATTACAAAAATCAGAAATACACCCCCTTAATCAGAATAAAAAAATAAAAAATAGTAGATAGAAAAAATAAAATAAACCTAAAATCGGCAAAACTTAAATTAAAAACAAATTCTTTTCAAAATTTCAAGCTGTGAACTAATAAATGCTATTTAAATAAAATATATACACATTCTAATAGTTTATAAATTTAAAAAATATAAAATTTTATTTAAATTTAAATTTAAAATATTTATTATTTTTACCGCCCGGTATTTCAAATGATTTAATTGTTCCAATAGAAATTACTGCACAATGAAGGCAGCAAAAGGCAAAAATATACAGCATATAAATAAATTTTATAAAATTTTATTCCAAATTACATTTAAAAATAAATATTTATTTAAATGTAAATAATATAATAAAATTATTTTTCATTTAATTTTTAGCTTAAAAGGAAAAAAGATTTAGAAAAAACAATAACACATGTATAAGGACTTTTTGGGAAATTGTTAAAAATCTCACTATATATGTAGTAGAGTTTCAACGGAAGTTCCGGTTCCGAAATGTTCCGGCATATTTTGGTTCCGGTTCCGGTGAAACACTAATATGTACATAGGTCTCTAAAAAACACGAGATGTTACGAGATACAAGACCGACTATTTGACGCCGTCTATTCTTAACCCGTAACATTAACCCGCGTTTGAGGCATTATTTAAAATTTGTTTCTGTTGTGAAATACAATTATTTTAGAATTAATTTTCATTATTTAAGTTTAAGTTTAAATTGAAAATTAATAAAAAAAAAGGGGGAAAGGGTAATTTGAGATTAAAATGTTTCAATTTTTGCCCTTTGTATTTAATGAGTAAAGAATTTATAAAAAAATATATAATTATTCAATAATTTGGCTACAAGTAGAGAGGAAGGGGGGATGCCCTAGTAAATTTTCGGCTGCCAAAATGGGAGTGTTTTGTTTTGAAAATTTTTTTTAAAAGGATGGAGTATAAGGAAAATATGAAAATAAAAGAAAAATGAAGAGGGGGAAGAGCAACTTTTTTGTTAGATATGAGAGAATTTTTTGGCCTAGAAAGGAGGAAAAATGGGGGCACGACCACCTTTATGGAAGAAAGGTTGAGGAAGTAAATTAGGGATAAATTTTTTGATAATTAAAAATTAAGAGAAATAATTTATTGTTTTTCCTCTAAATCCAACGTTCAATTATAATTCAAAAAAATTTTTTACTCAAAATAATTTTTAATATATTTAAGAAGCCCTTTTAATGCCAAAAATCTCTTCAAAATTTAAAAACTAAACAATTTTTTGATAGCCATCATTTCATACAAAAGAATGCGGGAAAACAAAAGCAGCATTTTTGGCACACCCCCAAGGGGAAATAAAAGAAAGAATATATAATATTATGTGAGAATGATGGGGGGAAAATGTGAAAAATGTAAAAAAATAAAATAAAAAAATTTAAAAAAATATAAAAGTTAAATAATACAAAAATATTACTTATAATTAAATGCTTAAATCTCTAAGTTTGATCTTAAAATTAGTTTTGATGTTCATTAAAAACAAATAACTAAATAAAAAAAAGCTTTTAGAACAAATGAATAATAAATTTTTTTAATTAAAAAAAAAGAAATTTTCCTTTATTTATTAACTATTTGTTAAAAATATTTGATTGGAATTGGAATGAATAGAGAAAATAATAATAAAAATAATTAGAAGGGAAAAGGATATATCAAATAGCTAAAAGGATTTAAAACGGAAAGAAAATTATATATTTATTAATTAAATATATATTTTTATGTGTGTGCGGTGTAAAAATAAAATAATAACTAGATATGACAATATTTAAAATATTATTAGGTGATTAAATGCGCGAAAATTGTTTTGAGTTGATTGGGGGGGGGGGGGGGTAGTTTAAATGTGAAAAGTTTTTTTGAAGGGTTTGGGTACGGAAATATATTTAATAGAAAATGTATCTGGAAATTTTTAAAAGGAAATTAGAAAATTATTTTGATGTTTTAGGGAATAGGGATATCGGTCTGAAAATTAGTTTTGTTGATTGTTACAGATTTAGTGTCAATCCAAAAAAGCCTCAAACTATGGCTAGCCAATCCTCAGAGATAATTTTAGATTGATAATTGTTTTCAATTTAATATCCACTAAATTATGAGCTAATTATAGAAAAAATATAAATTTGGAGAGGATTTAAATAAATTGAAAAATTTCTAAAGATAAGTAGACGTTAAAATATTTAGTAAAGATAACAAAAATTAAAATAAAATTACTTCAAAAAATGTGATGAAAGTTAAGGAAAAAGAATTAAAAATAGATAAATTAAAAAGCATCATTTTTATTGCTTTAACGAAAAAGCAAATGAAATAAAAAAATAAATAATTTTTATTAGTAAAGAGACCCAAAAATTTGCATATTTTCATTATGCTTTTCTTTTTTTTCTAGCAAAAAGTAAAAATATTTTTAATTATTTGATTTAAAAATATATTGTAATTAATCTAAAAAAAGAAAAGCTTTTTTAATTAATAGAATATTTTTAGCACAAATTTAAAACAAAGAAAGGAGAGTAGTATAAATTAAAAAAAGAAATATTTTAAAATTAAATACTATCTTCCATAAAAAATATTTTTTTCCTTCCCTCAAAAAATATTTTAATCTAAAAAAAGTCAAAAAATAAATATATTCTAAATATTCTATTCAATTCACTTATTGTCCTTTCATTTATTTCCATTCAAAACCCATTCACCCCAAAAATAAATTAAAAGCACCGTTATAATAATTACAACCTTTTGCGCAAAAAAATATAAAAAATAAAAACATATCTGCCTTTCCTTATAGAAAAATTAAGTAGTTAAAAGGGCAAAAATAAAAGGTTATAATTATTTAAATATTTTTTGAGAAATTAAAAGGAAGGCAAGAATTTATTATTAAATATTAGAGAAAATAATGGTGATTTAAAGAAAAGTCTCGATTTTCCCCTTACTTTTATTTGAATTAAAAATTGTTTAAAGAATTTAGAAAATATTAGAAATTAAAATAATTTTTCTAATTTAGAAACCCCTCTCTCCTCCCCTACCTGGAGCAGCACCAAAAAAAGGTTCCAATTCAATAGGGCAATCAGAAGCTCTTACAAATAAATTATCAAGTGAAAAGAAAAATTTAATTTGATCTGCCTCGGTGTGTTTTGAAACATCGAAAATTAACTGGCAAAAATTTATTTTATTAAAGATATAATTGTAAATTTTAATTAAAAAATGAGAGGAATGCTAATTATTAAATACATAAATAAAATAGAAAAATAATATTAAGCTGTTTAATTATTAAATTAAAATACCTGAAATCCTCTATTAACTAATTTTCTCCTCAATTGCCAACTTAACCGCAACCATTCCCCTTGAGGCCAAAAACGTTGAAGAGATTTACGATAAAGCCACAAAGGTTGGGGTTCACTTTCGAATCGAACACCAACACGAAAAATAGCTCCTTTGATAAAAAAATATTTTAACTTTTATTAAATCTTTAGATAGTAGCGATCTCAATTATGGAGGAAATCTTTTATATTTAATGGAGTTTCTGTATATGTCTTTCTATGTTATAGACAACTACGTATGTATTTTATTAAATTCCCTTTCCTTCCCTCCTTTTTCCGGAAACCTCTATGTATTTTGTGGATGATTTGTTGAACAGGGTTATACTAAAGAGGTGTTTAATAAAATTAATTAAAAACTACTTACCAAACCCCCCTCTTTCCAATTTTGTTTGTACACTAACACAAAAAGTTTCACTTGGTTTTAAATTAAACATTGGAGATAATAAACGTCCATATAATTCTTTTTTGTTTTTTAAATTAAATTCTTTTAAAGTTTTTAATTGTTCTCTAATTACCTTTTTTGAATTTAAATTAAAAAAAAAAGAAATTAATTTAAAAATTAATTACCATACTAAAACCATCCTTTGTGCTATTTCTCCTCTCCCAGCGCCACTGGCCTTCACGGAAAAAATCACAAATTGAAGGTAATTCAAAGCTGAATTTAATTAAAATTTGAAAGTCAATCCCCTTTTAGTAAAGACAAAAAAAAGGAAGAAAAACTTCTAAGATATTAATACTTTTAGAGAATATTCTAGTTGTGGGACAAAACTTTGCTTTGTACACGATAAATAACAGAAAATTTTACAGTTTGGTATTTATTTGTTATTGTGTTCTTCTATTTCAAGCTTTTTTCTATCATCTATTCAAACTCAGATTTATTCAAGCTCATTTATTCAATTTGAAAAGAAAAGCGTTATGGAGAAATACGACATAAAGCTCCAATGTGCTTTTCACTCCAGCGAATGGTATAAAAGCCTGCCTCGAACCCAAAACCAGCACTACAATTCAACCCAACTAGTTCTTCTACGATCTTCGCCTGTATACGCTCCATGGATAATCGCAGCAGTGTGACCGCCAACGGTGAGGACAATCCAGATCGCGCTGAAGACAATTCAAGGACAACGGGCCGAGCTTCTGGGCAGAACCGAAACAACGAACGACGACAACAACGGACAATAACAGACGTTTTACAACATAGCCGTCAAAGTGGATGTCAAGGTGGATGTGGACGCCCGATAAGAGGAGCCCGGTACTATGGAAGACTGGAACCTAGACCCATAGAGGACATCAACGAAGAACAACAGCTCCGAGCCTGGGCCCAGGAAACTTCGCGAAGGCAGCTGACGGACTTGGAAGAGGAGTTCGGGCGTTTGCAGGGCCAGCCGCGACCGGAACCATCAGAGGAGTTTGCACGGTGATTTTTTGCTGTTGTTTTTTAACGCCTAGTTATTTTTATTTTTGTAGCAACCCAACGCTAAACCGCCGTCAGGACGTCATCTGCGTCGAGAACAACCGGATCATACTCTCAAGTGGACGCTACATACACGCCAATTGGATTAATAGTCAAGGTGAAACTTGGCGTGCTTTAAACAGAAAAACTTTCATTTTTAGGTAATCATCGGTACATCTGTACGCAAGGCCCTCTTCCACAAACGGTCGACGACTTCTGGGAAATGGTCTTGCAGGAGAAAGTTGAGGCGGTTTTGATGCTGTGTGACACCATCGAGCTCGATCGTCCCATATGTCACCAGTATTGGCCTACGGATAATTCGCCTGAATCGGTTAGTCTCTTATATTTGAAGCATTAAAAAAGGGGTCTTTTATTTCAGGCTATCACCAGTCGGGACGGCAACATAAGAGTCCGCTTTGTGGATACAGAGGCACTGGACGACAACAACCTTATCCGGACGCGTCTACAGGTCACCAGTGATAATCCTAAAAGGCAGATATGTGTTCGACACTTCCACTGGAGACGTTGGACCGAACAGGAAGTTCGCATGAATCTGAATTCTGCGATCCGGCTGCACTCCTACATCCGAGGATACAAGCCGATAGTCATTCACTGTTCGGAAGGTGGACTATTCAACAAAATTAATCTTTTGATAAGTTGTTCTGTTTCTAGGTATTGGCAGAACCGGGGTCATCGTCACAATCTGCATGGCTCTGAACACGCCGTATGCTGGACAGCGCCTGAACTTGTACGAGTTGGTCACAGAGTTGCGCCGTCATCGGGCAGGGAGCGTGCAGACTCTGGAGCAGTACTTGTATATCTATGCCGTCATTCTCCGGTAAGAGATAATAAGGCCCTATCAGTTTCTTAAAAATTAAAATTTTCTTTACAGATGCGCGTGGCCCAAAGCACGAAGGAACAATGGGGACGTGGAGGCAATTGACAGCCTGGTACAAGCGATATCGGGGCGGATATATCGAGGCATATAATAGCCGAAGAGGCGCTAGGACAGAGGACATAGATATTTTGTTGTGATATCTCATATTGATGTATGTATGTATAGACTAATTAATTGTTGTATTTTGTCTGTGTATTTGTTTTTCCCCTCATAATTGTCATAGCTCTTGAATAATGTGAATAAATATTTGAAGCTCTTTTTTGTTTTTGGCATAGGATCGGAATAAACACTTTTGTGTTGGAAAATAGGGAAAAGGTTAACAGATGGAAAGTTGAAATGATGATTCGTGAGGTCTTGTATCTCCTAGCTTGATTTGTCGAATCAATTTGGATTGAGCTGGTTTTCGACGTGCTCTTTGGAATCCTATTGGATTTAATGTCGAATTTAAAAAAATAATTTGACTTAAATTTGTCAGATTTCTTAAATCCATTCAACAAAAATTAAAGAAAATCCCCTTTAAAATTTCCAAAATTTACCCGCAAAAATCTTCTTCAACTTCTTCCCCAATTATTTTTCCTCCTCCACTTTTCCAACGATTTTTATTTATTTTCTCTTCACTTTTTCTTAATAAAGGTAATTTTTCACTCCATTGACTCATAGAACCATTAGAAGAAATTAATTTAACTTTAGCTAAATATTTATTTGAATTAATTAATTTAATTCCAGTTAATAATGCTGGGGGATGTTCTACATTTATTTTATGTAATTCTTCTTTTGTTCGTCCATCTTTTAATATTCCAGAATCTTTCCAATACCTTTTTACAAAAAATTAAATTTTTTAGAGTCTCTAAATATTTATAAAAAATATTTTGAAAATCAGAAAATTATTTTTTAAATTAATTTTCCTTTGAAAGGCCGTCTATAAAGTAATCGAACTAATTCAACCAAACCCTATGTATTAGGGTTTCACCGGAAGTGATTTTTTCCGGTTCCGGAAAGTTCCGGCATTTTTTGGTTCCGGTTTCAGGATCCGGATCTCAAATTGGATCCGGTTCCGGTCAAAATTTCGGTTCCGGTTAAACCCTACCAAGTATGTAGAAATAAGAGAATACTCCCCCTCCCTCTCCTTATCCAAAAAATAATTTAATTAATTTAAATTTAACAAAAAAACTTACTGAACAATATAATAAATAAAATTCTTCTTTTTATTATTTTCAATAATTTCCGGTTCATCCCAATATAATAAAAATTCATCAACATTTCCAGTTTTTTCAACTTTTAATCCCGAAGGTTTAGGTAATAATAAATTATTTAAATATTTATTTTCTTCTTCCAAAACTTCGTCTTTGGCTTGTTGGAAATTATTTAAAGGTGTTTTAATTAATAAAAGTAAACGAGAAGAATCTTCTCCATAAGCTTCATTATAGGCAGTTAAAGAGAGAACATAACTTGTATTTGGCTCTTTAAAGGAAACAATGTTATTAGAATTGTAAATTAATTTAACTTTAGCTAAATATTTATTTGAATTAATTAATTTAATTCCAGTTAATAATGCTGGTGGATTGTATTGTATTTATCTATTTGTCTATTTGGATAACCAAAATAGAAACAAATACTAAATATATATGGTTTCTGATTTAAAACAAAAACTGAAATTTTAAAATCAAAGAAAAGAGGTTGGAGGAAACTGAGAGAGATGGGAGAGACTGAGCCTTAACCACCAACCAATTTAAACTACAAAAAACCCCCCAACATACTTAACATATTCAATGTATATTCAACATTTTCTGCTCCTTCTAAAACAACTTTTCTCGTGTCAGTAGAACCTGTCCCATATGAAAGTGTATAGCCACGGACAAGAATATTGTCTATAGAAGATGGGGGATCCCATCTAAAAATTAAAAAAATTTAAAATTTCTTTTTAAATTCTCCTACAAATCTCTCGAAAAGAAATCTCAATTATTTTATTAATAATTATTTTAATTTCAACTATTCACACAAAAATATTCCCTAAATTAACACTTCACCTCAAAGTTGCCGAATTTGGCGTTAAACTTTCAACACGAAACTTAAAATTAACAAAAATATTTAATTAAATTAATTTATTTTACATTTTCTGGAGGATCGGGAACTTGGTTTTCTACAAAATTAAAATTTAAAAAATAAATTAAATTTCGAAAACCTGTTGGACCTAAATTCTTTCTATCAATTAATTCTAATGTTGTTATTATTTTAAACAAAAATATAATTAAAATTAAAGGAGAGGGCCAAAGAATGATAATTTTGTGGTTGCTAACCACAAATAACATTATTAGTATGTTGTTTTCATTTTAGCATTTTTTGTTTTAAAAAAAATTAAAGATAATAGTTAGTATTTGTAATTATTTAGAAGGGTTAATAATACTTGTTAAATGCCTCATTATTTAAGCTAAACACCTAAATTCCTTCCCAATCGGACCTGGATAGTGATATGAATTTTTTCCAAGAAATAATCAACAAAATCTCTAAATATTATGTAACAAGTTATTAATATTCACACCTTCCAAGTGTTTTTCCTTAGATTAAAAAATTTTTAACCAAACAGCAGAGATGAAAATTAAAGTTTGTAAGCATATAAATTATATTTAAAAAAATTTTTTTTTTAAATTTCTCTGTCTAGGCAACAAATAAATTAGTTTATTTTGAAGGAAAAAAAAGAAAGTTTTTAAAAGTAAAAGAGAAGAGATATTTGGCCCTCCTACAAAATTTGATTGAATTTGCATAATTCGTGTGACCATTACTTTGTGATGGGGTTTGACGGGAAGTTAATAACGAAATTTGCAATTTAAAAAAAGAAGAGGGGAAATTTAACAGAATTTTATATTGGAAATAGAAAAAATTTTACCAGAAAATGTTCTAAAATGAGGAAAAAAATAATTGGAATAATTTTTTGAAAAATAAAAATTTTAAAATATAGAGGATATTTAAATGCAAAATGTTAGAATTAATGCTTCTCCTAAAGGATGAGGGAAAGAAGTTTCTGAATTAATTTCCTCGTTTGCTATGGAACTTTTAAGAAATGGGGGAGTTCTCTTCACACATCTAGATGACTTCCAAATAAAAACTTTAATTTAAACAAATAAATTAAAAAATAACAAAAAGCCTAATCCTCTTTTTTCCAAAAAAAGGCGAATAATAATAACAGCTGTCGGCACCGCGCAACAAAATAAGAGGGGAAAAGAGGCTAAAAAGGAGAAAAAGCAACGACCCGAATAAATAAATTAATAAATGGCACAAAGAATGTACAAATTTGTTTGTTTGATAATCCAAGTGGAAAAACCGGTAATCTTTTTAATTTTTATTTTTGGCTGAACAGAATTATGGCCACTAATTTTATTGGCTTATTTTGAAAATAAAAATTTTTAATGGAAAGAAATATACAATTCACAGAAATTATTATTATATTTTCTAAATTTTATGTTTCTAGACAAAATTTATATCTGAAATATTCAAAATAAAAAATATCGTGTCAGTTTATATAGATAAGTATTCCTTTGATCTCACTTGATGTTAAGCCAAATTGAAAGAGTTTAATTGAAGGAGGGGACAAAAACAAAATTGAAATCCCCCCTTTATTTCAGTTCCTGATTGATTTTTGTATCATTTGTTGGGCCAATCTGGAAAAGTTCGTAATAGGACAATAAAAAAGGATGTGTTTGTTTTGCACTAAAAATGGAATGGAGAAAGAAAGGTTTGTAAAAAGATGGGAATATTCCATAAGGTCCGGTAATCAAAATAGCCTTCTTTACACACATTAATATTTGCTGAGAAATGATTTAAGCAATTCTTAATAGTTTTTATTTTGTTTGTATCCAATAAAATATTTTTATTTTATAAAATTTTTTGGTATCAAAATAAATTTTAAAAATATATATAATTAAAAAATTCATTGAGAAATTAGAAAATACACAGTTACTAGTTTGCCTCTATTAAGTTTGGTGGTTATGGAAAATAACCGGTTATCTGAAATTGAGATCCGAACCGACAGCTACCCGGCTTTTTTGGTTCTAAATAAACCGCCAACCCTACTTCGTAATCTCGCTCCTTTATTTTACAAACATCCTGTCTGAAGCGAAAATCTAACCTTAAAAGATTTAACCTCGACTCAGTTTCGAGGAACTATTGTTCTTTCAAATGAACTATTGTTTGTATAGTCGAATTTTTGGCCCCAAAAATGAATTTTTTATATGTATATATTTTTCCATGTTTCTGCGCTTTCGTCTCCGGCAAAAAATTTTTAAAAATTTGAACTAAGCTCGGCGAGACTTCGCGTTTCGTTCTCAGCGGGCATAAACTAAAGCGATCCCATATTAAGTAATAATTTAAATATACATATTTACATAAATTAAGCTTTTTTGAAAAATTTATTTTGTCGAAAAATAAAATAAAACTTTTTTTTCTTTAAATTGCTAAAATCGTTGCAAAAAAGAAAATTTGGAAAAGAAAATTATTTACATCAGATTTTCAAAGAAAATAAGAGTCCAAAAATTCAAAAAAAAATTTCGAATAAAATTTTAATTTTTTGATTAAAATTGAGGGATTAGCACAATTTAAAAGTTAAAATATAAGCAAAATAATTAAAGCTTTCAAATTGGTAATTTTCCCAATCATTTTAAAATTATTGGCTATTTAATTTAACGAATATTTTTGAAAGCCTTGATTTAAATAAAATTATAAGGAAAGGATAACAGAAGATAGTTTCGACGCGTCTCGTTAAACTGATTGTTAGTCGAATGATGTTTATTTCAGAAAAATCGGATACCCAAAAATAGGTTATACCCTAAAAAACCGGGCCCTATTTATCACACTTTTAGGTACACTCTATCAATTGAGCTTGCTACTTTGTTTTTTTATTTTAAAAATATATTTCTAAAAATATATTCAGAACATATCCATCAGAATATCATTCGACTAGCTCGGCGAGCCGCGTTAGACAAAATCGAAACTAATAGGGGCTGTGGCATAAAAAACAAGTTAATTTTGACAATTTTATATTTGGAACGAGGCAGCTTATTTAAAAAACCGGAAACAGTTAAAGAATTTTAATTTACAGTTCTCGTGGTTGTTTGTTACAATAAAAAATAATTTTACTCGATTTTTTTTCAAATCGAATTTAAAACAAAAAGTCATTGGGTCGTTGGGTAAAGACAAGATAGAAAAAGAAATATTTAAGTTTAAATAAATATTTTAATGGATTTTACATATCAAAATTATATTTTAAAAATATTGCAAAAATATTTAAATGATGTCGATAAATTTCAATAGCCAAGGGTGTATCCAGAGAGGATAAGGGGTAACATTCAATTAAACCTTCTTGAATCGACCTCTCTTTATTCACCCTTGACAAAAACTTTTCATAAAAATAACATAAAATTACCCAAAAAATACTTCTTCTCTTCTCTCAAATACTTTCTTCATTAACACCTTTTCCTTTAATCAATCCTTGTTCTGCAGAATGTATTCCATTTAAACGAATTCCATTTTCCTCTGAATTTTTTATTTTTCTTATTTCTTCTGCTTTTTCAGTTTCCTGTCCTTGATTTTCGTGAAAACGTTTGTCCATATCCTTCAAAATTAAATTATTTTTTTTAATTAAAAAATATTTTTTTGCGGAAAACAAAAATATCAAAATCCAATTTTCTATTTAAATTACCAATCAAAATTCTCCCTACTAGGCTGTTTGCAACTGGGTATTTTTAAATTAAAATTTCAGGTGGTGAAAATTTTCGATTGTGGGCAGCCCTTCTCCCAAAACACTCAGATACAATAAAATAAAAATAATTATAAAACTCCTAACCCGTTTCTGTACCCAAGTATAAGCAGCAGAACCAATCAAAACAACCAAATTAGACAACCACCATAAAATTGGTTTAACTTCTCTCCACCAGCCAACAGCTATAACTGTTTGTGCTGCTGCTTTGGCTGTTCCGCTAATATTGTGTGTTAAAGCTGAAGTTGCTTGGATTTGCCATCCTAAAAGAAATTTATTTTAAAAAATTTAAGGTAAAATTTTCAACAAAATATAATATATTTTTGGATTATTTAACACAAAAAGAAATATACAAAATTTAGTCAATGTTTCTCCAAAAATTTAACAAATATCTAATATGAAACCCCCTAAAAATAATTTTATGAATATTCTACCAGAAATTTTGAGAAAAGATAAAAAGATTAGACTAATTATTTTTTATAAAGTATTCCTCATTTCTATTAAAATATAAACAAACTAGGAAGTTTTTTAATTACAAAATGAGAATATAAACTATCACAACTTCCTATCTCTCAGATTTAATTTTAAAAAATAATAAAAACCTGTAACATATCCCATAATAAATCCAAAAAATCCACTCAAAGTCATTAACAACCAAAATGTCGGGGCAACAATATTTGGCGAATAAGGGATTGTTCCCAATTCTCCAGTAAAAAGCATTAAGGGCAAAAACAACAAAACAGCATTTAAATTATTATACATAGTCATTCTCCATATTGAATCTCCAACCATGGGAAGAGTTTTCTTTGTAAAAATAGCATTTAAAGCAACACATAGAGAAGCCAAAACTCCAAAAATTACACCAATAACAGACAAAGTACCTTTAAAAATTATTTAAGAGACTTTTATTTTTATAGTTCTAATTAATTTTATCAAATTAGGGAACCGAAAAAAGTCGAAGAAAAATTTTTCCCGTGAAGTTTCTTTAAACAAAAATACAAAAACATGGGTATATTTAGGCTAAAAATTAACTAATATTGAAAATTTCAATCGAAAAATAAAAGAAATCCCAAAAATAAAACTAAACAAACCAGCAACATCTTCCTGGTCAACACCCAGGAAAAAACCAGCAACAATAGTTAAACAACATAAAAGCGCATTTCTTGATGTTTTTTGTCCCAAAATTAAATAAGAACAAATCTAAAAAGAATAAAAAATTTTGCTTTATTATATAAGGAAATTTTATGAGAAAGAGTAAATAAGCATCAGTGGTTAAGTGGTATAATTGCCGCCTCCCAAGCGGTAGTCCCGGGTTCGATTCCCGGCTGATGCAAAGGACTTTTTTGACTTATTTAAAGTTTATTTTTCAAAAAATTCTTGTTTTTAATAAATTCAAAATTTTTGAAAAATTTTTAAAATTTTAAAACTTTCTCTAAAAAATAATTAAATACATACCACATTGAAGACTGTAGTTAAAGAACGTCCCACATAATAAAAAGACACCCCAACATATTTAAGGCACAAATTGTTAAAAGTAATCATAGCAACAAAGACTAGAGAGAGAGGTAAAACCTAAAAAATAATTTGTTTAAAAAATAAATATATTAATTTAAATACCGCTTTACAAAGTTTTAAATCAACAGCCATTTTTGGAAAAGTAATTAATCTTGGAAAAGTTTGAGAAAGTAAATCTGCTGTGAAACAAAGAATTAAAGAGACAAGGCATTGATACCAAGTAATAAATAAAGGGGCATCCAACTTGAAAAAAGAATATGTAAAAAATTTGAGTTTTTATAATTTTTTATTCTAAAAAATTCGAGAAATGGTTAACATAAGGAATTAAAGCTTGTAAGGTTGCTGATTTCGAGTCGGGCCGACTTCAAGTCATTTTCGATTTTATCGGGCCGGCCTGACCAAGTTTTTCGGGCCAAAATTCGATGTCTGACTCAATGTTTCGGACCGGACCGGCAACCCTACTTGTGAGCAAGAAAAATATAAACAGACCCCAAAAGATTCCCTTTTTCAGACATTTTGTCCCACATAAAAAATTAAATTAAAAAAACCTCAATATCTGGACTACTCAACAAATGTTTATTAATAAAAACTAAGCCAATTGAGCAAATCCAATAAGAACCGACTGCCGCAAAAATATTTACATATTGTTGTGCAAGTGTTTTTTCTTGTCGATTTTGTATCATTTTTTAAATAAAAAATATTTTAAAAAATAATTTGGTTCTGAAAATTAAATAAAATTAAAGAAAAATTTTTTAAGAATAAAAAAATAATTATTTAAAAATTAAAAAAAAAAAGAAAATGACAAGCGAAAATATTTCCATAAATTTTTTTGGTTTCGCAGTGTATTTAATTAAAAATTATTTTTTGCAAAAGTTTTTGAAGAATCCTTTTTAAATTTTTTTTTGCTAGAATTGATTAAAAATGAAAATTATTTTTAATTTGAAAAAAAAGTAAAAATATAGCCGCAATCGAATTTAAATGTTTATTTAAAAAATAAAAATGTTTTACACGTGGATATTTTGTTAACACATTTCACATGATTAACACAGAAAATAAAAGAGAAAAAATAATCCAACTCTGAATTTTTAATTTTCATATTTAATTTCAAGGTGGGCTTTATTTTGAATTTAATTTTTGAATTTAATTTTTGAGGGAATGAGAATATAAAGAATAGAAAAGATTTTAATTATCAGGTCCAATCAGAAATTGCTTGCAAACAAATTTCAAAACAGCAAGGAAAAACTTATTTAAAAAGTTTTTCAGTTAAAAAGACGAAAAGACAAATAAGCGTGTCATCTCATTTCAATATTACTTTCTTCAGCAAGATGCTTTCATTTAATTTTAGTTTAAGATGAATGAAAATGAAAAAATAATGTTCATGGAATCATGAGAGAAAATAAAAAGAATCCACGAGAGAAGGTTGAGAACGTCACAGAATAAAATACATTTGTGAGTTCTTATGAAATAAAGGGAGATTTAAATAAATTAATATAAAATTAGATTATTATTAAGTAATTATTTAGTAAAAAAGTACTAAAAAAGTTCTTGTTCTCCGGTTCGGAAACAAGATTTTTTGAATAAAATTGATAAAATCATCGTTAGCAAGCATCAACGATTATTTTTTTTATAAATTAAGAGGAATATTTTGTGAATTTATTTTTTAGAGAGAAAGAAAAAATATTTTTTGTGGATATTTACGACAGGAGAGTAATAAAATATAAAAATTCAAAAAAATTTTTTTTGAAAGTAATAAAGTGATAAGATTGGAATAATAAATATAGTACTTGTTATTAAAATGAGAACACTAAAATCTAAAAATATTGGAAAAATAACTAATTTTATAAGTACATAAAAATTAAAAAAATAAATTATCAGCAAAGAAATAAGAATTCTTTGGTTTGATAAATAAACCTAAAAATTGTATATATAATAATTCTGCAATTTATCGACTACTACTACTTTTCCATACGCCTCGAAAGACGGATAAATAAAAAATTAAAGGCAAAAACTTCCAGTAAAGTTAATTTTTGTCTACAGAAGTACAGATAAAAATAAAATTTACTGGAAGTTTTATTGCCTTTTCCACATGAATTTTTTATTTAACCGTTTTTCGAAGCAAAAAATTACCTAAAAGTTAAAAAATTATTTCTTAAAAAATATTTAAATTTAACAGTAATTTTTTAAAGAATATTTAACAACAAAAAACACAATATATTCACATTTTACTATTTTTGTAACATTTAATCTCATCGTCTCTCACTAGACGAACCTCCTAAACTTGATAACGAAGGAACACCAACCCCACTACCCGACATTTGTTGATTACAAAGAGCTTGAGATAAATGAAGTTTTGTCATATTCTCGTTTGCTGCCTTTAAATAAAATTAAAATATTATTTTAGGCACTCACACCAATTATGGACTAATACAAAAAGTACTTTTTCAAATTATAATAAAGTCAATATATTAGGTAGAGGTGGAGGGGGGTCAACTAGAGGTGAGAGTGGGATATTACATAATAAGTACCGGGAATTAAATATTTATATTTTTGTAAAACCCATAGCTCGATATCAGCTAAACAAATTTCTAAAAAAAATTTAATTAAAATTTACCGCAATTTGAAAACTAGCATAAGCATTAGCATCAAGTGCTCCCAAAAATAGATCAAGCATTCCATTTTTTGTTTGCATTTGTGGCTGTTTAATTTGTTTTTTAATTTCCTCAACAGAAATTGGAGGTTCCCCACGAGCTAAACGTGCCTCATTTTCTACAGCCTTAAAAAGGAAATTAAATAATAAAAAAATTAAACGAAATTAAAAGAAACCCTTTTTTGCATCATACTGGCATAAATAGCATCATATTTTTGTTTTTCAGTCTAAAATATTTTATAAAATTATTTCGGACAAAACTTTTGAGGAATAATTTTGAGAAATTAATTCAAAAAATAATTTAAACAAAAAACCATATATCTCCCGTAAGCATTAACTGCTTTGTTCAATTCATCCACAGTGCCCATAGAAGCCTTGACTGATCTTTAAAAATAAATTCAAAAATTAAAAAAAATATTTAAAAAACCTTTCTAAAGCTCTTTTAGTTCCAAGTTCCAAAACAACAGTATTAGTCTTTTTTCCACGAGAAGAAAGCGCCAATTCAGCTAGAAGTACATTAATTAAGTGACTGTTCTTTACAACAATTGGAAGTTCTTCGAAAAAGTTTGAAAAATTTAGGCCAGCTTGTTTTGTACTTGAAAAATTAAATATTTGAAGGTAATTTTGGAAATTGGCCTTTCCAAAAAATTTTGTTATGAAAAAAATAAAAAATAATTGAAAAATAAAGATTTACACTTCAGGAGACCAGTCACCAACATTTGCCAATTCCAAAGCTTTACGAGAAAGTCGATAAGCTCGAATAGTTAAATTTCCTTGACGTGTTCGAATTGGATCTTAAATTTAAATATAAGAATCTAAATTTGTAAAATTAAAACTAACCATAAATTAAAACAACTGCATTTTGTTGACTACTTTGGTAATCAACAAGAGAAAAGAACATATCCATGTTGAAACAAACCCCAAATGGGTGAGCCTGATAGAAACCAACAAGTTCATAATCAATATTCATCATTCTAAAATCGAGATAGAATTTTTAAATGCCTGATGGAAGGACCATTAAAAAGGAATGGAAGGAAATGGGAGGAAGGACCATTAAAATCGGAACAAAATAATATCAAAAATTAGACACTAATAATTTTCGAGTAAACTCTAATAATTCTTAAATGGATAAAAAACTAGATAGAAAAGGTTAAAAGAATTCATTATTCCAAAACAGGATTCAAAAAATTTTGCAAAAAAAAACAACAAACCGAAAACGTTTCAACATTTCGATAACTTCAGTATCTTTAGTATCCTGATATGCAGCTGGATCATGGGGAGAACCATCATCACCATCAGCCAAAATATCAGGACGTGAGGTGGAAAAGCTGAAACTTTTTACTTAAAGATTTTTAAATTAAAATACCAATTAGTAATTTCCAGCTTTTTCTCCTTTTCTTCTATAGAAATTAATCCAGTAAGAATTCCTTGACAAGTTTCGCCGGCAACTTTAGACATTCCCGCATAGAATTCAATATCACCATGTTTAACTATCTTCATTACAACCTAGGCAAATTTAAAAAAAAATTATGCATATCCTAACAATAAGCACTATCCAAGCGCAACACCACGCAATATTTGTATGTCAAAACAAAAGAAAATAACGAATATCACATCTCACTTTGAAAAAATTTAACAACAAAATCATGCCGACATGCGACGGAATCCTATATATATATATATATACAAAATTAACCTACCAAAGAATCCAACTGAACAAAATCAATGAGCGGTTGATCAAAATTTAACGTCGGAAAAGATGTTGCAGAGAATGACATTTCTATTAATTTCTATTTAAATTCCAATAAACTGAAAAATGAACATTTTTAGAATAAATTAAAAAAGGAAAGTTAAAAGAAATTTCAAGAGAAATTTTAAAGTCTTGAAAAACTTTATTAGAAATAATTTCCAAAATTTATCAAAAAATTATTTTCATAAGATTTATCAACTAAAGACAGTCAAAATCGGCAATTAAAAAAAAACGAACAAAATAAAGTAGCAACAGAATTCTAAAAGATTTTTTCAAACAAACAGACAAAAAACAAAATAGAAGGAGACAAAATGTTGTTCCTAAACATAAAAACAACTCACTCTTATGAGAAACGACACCATCTAAAATGAGGGTGTTTCACACCTTACAAAAGCTTGAAATTCAAAACCTTAGCGAGTTGTTACATCAAAAATAAAAAAACAGAAATATTTAAATTAACAAAAGGGTCATTTATCTTTCCTTTTAGTTTCCAAAAATTCTTGAATTTTAGCATAAAGTTCATCAGGTCGTGGAAGTTTTGGTAGGTCATAATGTTGGTCAAAGCAAATCCCAGCATATATTCCGGCCGCAAAAATAAAAAGATGTGAACAAATTCCCATTTAAAAATCAAATGATAACTAGAAAAAATGAGATTAAATTTAAAAAATAAAAAATAAAAGTTATTAAAGAGCAATTTTAAGTCTTTTTTTGAGACCCACGGAACTTAATAATCATTTTACCTTAGGCCCAGCCCATGGAAAAAATTAACTTTGTTTGTAAATCCGCAAAAAAGCTCGTACCAATATATTAAATTATAAATTAAAAAACCTATTTTCTCAACGATAAGGATTGCGTCCGTCGAATTTTGGAGCGTATGGACTATTTCCTGAAGTGAGCGATTGGAATTCGTTGTAAGCTTTCGATTGCTCCTTAGCTATGTGGTCAATTAAAGATTTTCGTTGTCCAGTTTTGTATAAATAATTATCGTAGCTTTAAAATAAAAATATAAAAGAATTGAAAAGAAAATACTAGTCAAGAGCTATCCAAGTCCAACAAATTGTAGGTACAATAAAAACGGAAGTCCACTTTCCTATTTTGAAAAGAGCGCTATGCTGGGCAGGCATTCAACTGAAAATATGTTTGAAATTTTAAAAAATTTGGGAAAAATGTAACAAAACAAGAAAAAGGCAAAAAATACAAAATCCATCAGAATTTAGATAAACTGAATTTTGACAAAATAAATTTTTAAACAAAACGCCAAAAAGAAAGCGTTAATTCAAAAATTTTATTTCAACGTTTCTTTAAATTCGATTTTTAATGATTTTAGCATTTTAAATTAAAATAATTTTTTTTAATTTTTTCAGAAAAATGAGGAATTTTTGTCTAACTTTATTATCCTTTCTTCTTTCCCTTTTATCTTTAAATTTTGTCAGCTCTGAAGATGGTGATGATCCAATAACTTGTGGAACAGTTTTAAAACTTCAAAATGCTGCAGACAATATTCGTCTTCATTCACATGAAATTAAATACGGTTCTGGCTCTGGACAACAATCTGTTACGGGGATGACACACAGTGACGATGTTAATTCACATTGGCAAATTTTGGGACGTTAGTTTGTTTTTATTTAATTAAAAATTTATTTGTGGGGTTTTAAGTCTTTATTTTTAATCCTGTCAAATTTTGGATTTGTTAATTAACTTTTTGAGATTTTACAGTTTTTCTGAAATTTTCTTTTCATTTTGGCCAATTCCTGGTTTTTTGTAATATTATTGATTAAACAATCACTCGATTTTAGTTTAATTTAAAACCAGAATTTTTTCTAAGGGTTTTCTGAAATATCTAATTTTTTAAATTAATATTCCATTCATTCATGATCTCTAGAGATCTGAACCTTCAAAAAACATTGGTTTTAGGTGAAGATCTTTACCAGATCAAAGACCTTGAGTAAAGGAAAAATCAAGGAAAAATGCCTTGATCTGGACTCTGGATCCAAGAAAAATCAATCTGTATCCTGTTCCAGCTCGATCTTTATTTATTTCTAAATAAAAATTATTTTTGTAGCTGTAAATCAACATTGTAAACGTGGTACTCCAATTAAATGTGATGATATTATTAGATTAATGCATCTACAAACTCGTTGTTTTCTTCATTCACACGATTTCGAAGCTCCTTTAAGTAAAGGAAATAATGTTTGTAGATTTTTCTTTAAAGTTTTTTTTAAATATTTTTTAAGGAAATTTCTTGTTTTGGAAAGGAAGGGGAAAGTACGGATACTGGCGATCATTACAAAGTTGTTTGTGCTTCTGATGTTTGGATAGAGGATGAACAAGTTGATTTTTTTAGGATTTTATTAAATTAAAAAAATATTTTTAGGTACGATTTAAACATGTTGAAACTGGAAATTATTTGGCTTTGAGTGGACAAACTTATAGTAAGTTAATGGGTTTTTTTTAATCAATTTTGCTTGTTGAGTTTGGGGCTTCCAATTAAGGCTTTTTAGATTTTTAGTAGTTTTTCTGAATTTCGTCCATATTTCTGTGGAATTTAAATAATTTTGTTAATATTTTTCTAAAATTAGACCGTCCAATATCCGGGCAGCGTGAAGTTGTTGGTTCACCTAGTGCTGGATATTCTGCTTTTTGGATTGCTGCCGAAGGTGTTTTTGTTAAAAATTGATTTAAATTATTCTATTTATTTATTCCTTCTTTTACTTTCTTTAAATTTTCTGTCAAATTTTTTCCTAAATTTTTCTTTTAATTTTTATGTCATCAAAAAAGGGTGCTATTTATTTTCTAAAATATTTAAAAAGTTAAACAAAACATAAAGCTTGTTACAGTTTTTTATGTTCCTTTATTAATTCTAAAATTCTGAACTTAAATTCAAGAGAACCCCCTTCTCCCTCTTCCACTAGCTTTTTGCATTAAAAATTGGTGATGCGACTTTTGCGGCGCGTACACTTGCGGCTCAGACATTTGCGGCCCAGACACTTGCGGCTCGCCCCTATTTTGACACTTGCGGTCCCGACACTTGCGGCTAAGAAATTTTCGGCGCAGACATTTGCGGCTATCAAAATAAGGCCCAGACACTTGCGGCCCAGACTATTGCGGTTTTGCCATTTGAGGCTCCCCCCTATTGTGACACTTGCGGCCCGACATTTGCGGCGATGATTAAAAAATTGTAAATTAAAATATTATTAGAATTAAAGTATTATAAACCGGACCGGATCCGGTCCAGATCCGGTGGTTTGGAATCCGGGTATTTCGGTAAAACCCGTATTTCCCGGCTTTTGATCAGGAAAATTCGATCCGGGTCGAGCAAAATACCCGGATTCGGTCCGGGTCCGGTATAAAAACAAAATTTCGTAAAAATAAAAAAATTGCAAAAAATTTTTACAAAAATTCATGTCATTAGGAATGTATTTTTATTTCGTTTCGTCCGAAAGTTTATTTTATTTCGCTCCGAAACAGAATGGATAAAAGGTCACGAAATAGCGAAACAAAATTTCGGTTATCTCTGGTCCGGATCCTGGTCTAAAAAAATCGGATTTCCGGATTATGATGCCAAGGAGAATAAACTTGGAGAATAAAATTGAATTGAACGATAAATTAGTATTTTTTTATTTTAATTTACAATTTTTTAATCATCGCCGCAAATGTCGGGCCGCAAGTGTCACAATAGGGGGGAGCCTCAAATGACAAAACCGCAATAGTCTGGGCCGCAAGTGTCTGGGCCTCATTTTGATAGCCGCAAATGTCTGCGCCGAAAATTTCTTAGCCGCAAGTGTCGGGACCGCAAGTGTCAAAATAGGGGCGAGCCGTAAGTGTCTGGGCCGCAAATGTCTGAGCCGCAAGTGTACGCGCCGCAAAAGTCGGCTAATCTAAAAATTGAAAGAAGTATAGCCACCAATTTCATTAGGGATTGGATTACTCTTCTCCTAACTTTCTTTTGTGATATACTCGTATTATTATCAAACCCATAACAAGAAATTTTTTTACAAGGAAAGGGCGCCATTTTGGGAAAAAAAATTAATTTTTTGGTTGTTTTTTTCGCAAATTTTAAAAAGGAAAACTATTTTTTACATCAATTCTCTCCACTACTCTCCCACCACCAAAATCTTTTTTTAACTAGCTCCATTTTCTAGTTTTACTTGTTTTTCTACTAAATTTTATGCAATACGCAAAAAATAATTTTAAAAAATATATTTACAACAATTTATTTTTTATTTTTCTTTCTACGCCATGTCTCGCGACACAAAAACATAAATTATATGTACACGCTTTTGTATACATTTGGCAGTGGGGAGAGAAATGTTTTATTAAAAATTGATAAAAATTCAGACAAAAATTTAAATAAAAATTACAATTTAGCCGCTGTGTTAAGCAAAGAAATAAAACATCTATTGGAGTCAAATCTCGCTAAAACAAATTTCATAACCTATAAATGTTTAAGGCGATAGTCGGGATAGTAGGAAGGGGGCAGTCTATCGAGATTCGACTATTTTGATTTTTATTTAGTTATTTTTTTACTAAATTATCCCTAAAGTTTTTTACAGATAAATTCTTAAAAATTTATTTTTTTTATTCTTTTTCAAGTTTTAATCGACCAAAAAATAATAATTTTTACGCAATCCTCTTTTTTTATAAAAATTTTTTTTGAATCCTACACAGATCAAAGAATTTTTAGTCATCAATTAATTATTGCAAAAATAATTTTTTATGCAAAAATTTTAATAAATATTAATTACCCCTAATTTTTGAAAATAATATTTACTATAGTTTAATGTTTTAACTTTTGAGGGGGGGGGGGGGGGGGGTACTCAAATTTTCTTTAGATTTTTATTAATTAAAAAAATTACTTTAATAAAAGTACAAATTCTTAAACTAAATTTTTTTTAATTTTCTATAATATTTACACAAAATGTTTAATATTTGTCCTTCAATATAAAATTTTTTATTTCTCCCCGATAATTCCTTTTTACAAACTTTTGCCAAAAATAGTAAAATATTAAAATTAATAAAAGAAAATATTATTTTTGATTTTTGAACAATTTGGATAACTCTTAACAAATATGTATCACGTTGATTTGTCTTTTAAAATTATTTCTAACTGAGAGAAGAATGTTTAATGGTTGGGGTAAATTGAAAATTTTTTTAAGAATATGTAGCACTTGGAAAGTAATTTCTAATCCTTTTAAAAAGAATATTAAAAGGTAGATTTCCCCCTCCCTCTGAAATTGAGAGATTTAACTCGTCATTCAATACTTTCTTTGTACATATCTCTTTTCATTTTTAACATTTTAATTTTAAAAATTAAATTTTCTTGGCCATTCCCCATTCAAAAAATATTTTTTTTTATATTTCTCATTAGACTGGAAAAATAAAGTTTCATTTTTGAGAGAACAAAAACAGGTTGTTTTTGGTTATTTTGATATTTAGAAGGAGAAAACAGAAGAGGGAAAGGAAGGAAAGAGAAAATAAGTGCGCGAACTCTAGAATGGTTCTAATTATTTTTGTTGTTGTGTAATTTTAAAATATATATTGACTCATAGTATATGGTTTTATTTTTTAAATTTATTTTAACTTTTAATGCTAATTGAGGGAGAGAGAATTTGTCAAGTACTCCTTCCTGCTCCCTTCCTCTTCTCATTGTGTTCTTCGTTTTAGAATTGGAATTTCTGAAAAGTCAAGTTCCCCAACTCTCAGGGGGCATTTCCTCATTTTAAATCAGTTTCGGCACCCCTAAATACGAAAATACCAACTTTTTCTACCTCCCCCTAAACATTCCTTTCTATATTTTATTGGTTTGGCCGTCTTTTTCAACGGCAATCATTGCCTCCTTCCCCTTACTGCGCAATAATATTAAATATGTACTTCTACTAAATAGTTATTCTCTCTCTCCTTTTTATTACCTTCACAGAAAGTGTCCTCCTTCCTCTCCTACTTTCTACCTCCCTCCTTTCTCTCTTCTTCTTCTCATTTTCACGTCGCTCATCTTCCTTTACCCAATTTATTTTATTTTTCTTTTAGCCATCATTATTTGTCCATAACTTTATTTATTTTTAATTTTATTTATTTTCTTATAAAAAATTCTTTATTTAAACTAAATCCAATTAAACAATTTTTGTTATTTGTATAGAAATAATTAATACACAATAGGGACATTTTAAGGCAAAATATCGTTATTCAAAGAGTAATATTTAGAATTAGAAATTTTTAAAAATTTAAAACCTAGGGTTTTTAGACAAAACAATTTTTAATTTTTCAAGGACAAATAAATCTTTAAAAAATATTTACAAGTATTTTTTAAATAATTTTATTAATCACAACCATTTTTGGGAAAAATTTTGTGTAATTTACTCAGACGTAGAAGAATTTTGCTTTTTAATTTGCATTTTTGGACAGTAAATTTAAAATAATTTCATTAACTTTTGCTCAAAGACAACCAAAATTTTTGCAACTTTTCCCTCATTTTTCAGGGTTTTATTGTCGCCCGTTTTAACTATTTTTTATATTTTGGCCTTTTTTGATGTTTAAAATTAATTTTTAACAAAAATTTATTCTCTTTATTTTCCAAATATTCACAACAAATTTATCTAAAAAATATCATCTCTTCCTCCCTCCCTCTCTTCTTCCTTTTAATTATTATTATTGTTTTAATGCGCAACCACGACTACTTTCATACCCCACGGCTACCTCCCCCTTCCCCTCCAAGTTTTTAGCTTTTTTTATTTTTCTTCTTCTTCACCTTTTCTGTTGCCGTTAATCGCACACGCCTAAATAAGTAAAAGCAATTTTGTGTGTGTGCTTGTTGTCACTTTCTAAATAAATAAAAAAATATCAAAAATTACCTTCAACTTATTTTTGATTTTATTTGGACACTCAAAAATGATTATTTTGGAGGGAGGAGGGTGGGGGTTTCTGTTAATACATTCAATCAATTCTGATTAATTCTTCTTTTTTATCAGTTTTTTGCCAAATTCATGAACATCCTCTTCTTTATTAAAAATTTTATTTAGGGAGTCGAATCCCCTATTATAAAATATTTTCTCGTCTCGCTGATTCTTTGATCAAATAATTACTAAAATTTTTAAACAAAACTGTAATTAAAATTTGGCATATTATTAAGTAGAAGAACATTACTTCAAAAAATTAATTTTTTTCTATATTTTCTACATAAGTTGTTACTTAAAAACTATAAAAATATTAATTGATCATTTAAAGATATCTCTATTGATTAATACTTTGTTGATCAATTGGGATTAAATATAAATTAATATTTATTTATTTATTAGCAATGAATAAATAAATTAATTTTTTTTCTTTGAATAAAAAAGCAAAGGTCGTCGGTTGTTGTTCTCTTTCAACTAATATATATTTTGTTTGTTAAAAATTATCAGGCGTGTAAACAAACACATTTTTCTCTCCCCCAAATTTTCGCGCATTCCTCCACACACATTTAGGTATTTATTCTTACAAAAACTTTTTTTCTTTTTTTTTGGTTGTGGCCTTTGGGGCAAAAGAATTTTCTTTGATATTTTGTCTAAATATAATGTAATTTCTGATATTTGTTTCTCCCTTTAAATTATTCTCTTATTCTTCTTCTCGAAGCTTTGTTCTCTTCAAAAAGAAAATGAAGCAACAAGATAAAAAATATTTTAAAAATTCAACAAAAATTAAAAATTCTTCCTCATTTTTCTTAAATATTTTTAATTTGGAAAGGAGAAAAAAACAATTACTTTTTAATGGACAGATTTTTCTTCTCTTAATGGGAGAGGTAAAAAATTGAGAAATTGAGATAATTAAATTTAATTTACTAAAATTTAAAAATAATTAAAATATTAAAAAATAAATTTTTTAATATTAAAAAAAATTTTTTTTAATAGTCAGGCGTGTAGAGAAAAAAAAATTTTTTTTAATAGAGAATTCGTTAAAAATTTTTAATTTTAAACAATTCCTGTTTCCTTTTCAATCAAAAATTTAAATTTCCCCCACAGATTTTCCTCTGTTCAGCAACAATATTTGAAGATTATGAAAAATGTCGTGAGCAATCTTTATTTGGACAAAGAAATGGATCAGCAGTCTGTGACACAATAGGGAAGCTTAAACCAACAGATTCTTCTCAATTAGAGAATTTACTCCACGATTTGGAATTAAATATTTCTTGTCAATGTTTTTCTGGGTGTTTAAGGCAAAATAATGATGAAAAGTTTAAGGCAAAATTTTTTTTGAAAATCTTTTTTTTTTTCAAAAAAAAATTATTTCTTGTAGGCTTTATTAATTGTAACTGATTCTGAAAAAGTAGAGCAATCTGGAGGGGAACAAACACTAAATGAGACAGGCAGGCATATTTGGGAAGCAGCGGAAATGGGGGATTCTTTATGTGACAATAATGGAATGTTATTAATTTATGTGAGGGATAAAAGAAATGTGAGGAGGGAATTAATTATTTAAAAATTATTTTTTTAATCTTAAAAATTAAAAAAAATTAAAACAGAAAATAGTTTATAAGGGAAATTCTCCCAACCCTCCAAATTTGTTTTCCCATGGGATATGAATCTATGACCTCATGGCTTCGTATCCATTGAATCATTAAGTATATTAAGCTTTCTTCTAATTATTTTTAATTTTCTTGTTGGTAAGGGAAGTTGGGGGTTTATGGATTAGTAATTTCTTTTAATATCCTACTGACAGTATAAACGAAGTTAACAGTATAGACTAAAGGCCGGGTCGAGACGTGATATTGAACAAAAAACACGATTATCGAGATTTTCTGAGATTTATCGTGTAACACTCCCAGTCCGGTTTCATTATAAACCACCCAATGAGCATCATACCCTACATATTCTGATTTAAAAAAATTATTTTCTATTAATTATTAATTACTTTATTTATCGGAAACGAATTAATTTTTACAAAAAATGGGTGTATGTATTTATTTAATTACAACCACCCCCCCCTTCGGCTAATAAATTATTTTATTATTTTCTTTAATAAAAACCCGTTTTTCGTTCCATAGGTGTTTGCCTTTTGCAATTCCAAAAAAACTCGAAAATTAATAATTTGTTGTTAATACATAAAATAAACGTCACAAAAAGAGAAAAATGGGATGATTTTTAATTTAAAAATTAAATGAAAATTGTTTGGAATGGATATTGGGGAATTAAAAGATAATCCAAAAAGTCTATCTTTCTCGATGCCTTACTTATTTGACATCTCTTATCTAAAAAATATTTGACACATTAGAGGCTGTCATGAAATTGGGGGGGGGGGGGTGTTCAACTACCTATATTTCTATCTATTTATTTTTTATTTTCTAGTTGGCAGTCTATCAAGGCCATAACAAACCTTTAAGAATGTTTTCAAATAAAGATATAGCTAATTTACATGAATTGGCTATTCAAAATAACGGAACTGGAAATGTTACTTCTTTAAATGATTTTCAAAGTGTTCATACTCCACCTTCTCCTCCCTCTTCTTCAAAGGATGGGGAAACAGCGGCTTCTTCTTCTGCGGAAGTTCATCAGGCAGATTGGAATTGGGTGGTTAGAAAAATTTTAAAGAATTGTTAGAGCTGTTGAGGCGCTTGGAAGTGTTAAAAAGGGGAAGGGCGATTAGGAGGAATTACTGGTTTAGCAAGTATTTTGTATCATCGTGCATGCAGTTACACCCTCTTGCTCGTTATTGCTAGGTGCTTCGCTCACCGCTTTTGTGATATACTACGCTAGCTAGGTGCTCTACTTTATTCATAAAAATTTTAAATCCCGCCTATACGTTTCCAGGCTTCATTACAATTTCCAAAGTTTCGTGCCCTACAACTCCAACACAATTTAATTTTAATTTTTATAAAATTTTATTATTTTTTAAAGCCAGTTATTGGTCTAACAATTGCTCTAGCATTGACTTTTCTTGTTTTATTTATTCTTCTATGTCTTCTTTTAGCCAAATGTTTTGGTTTTTGCTGTTCGGGAAATAGAAGAAGAAAACGTTTATCAGCAAAATATTATGTTAATCCATTAATGGCATCTAGTGGACATTACAAACCTGTTGAACCTATTTATGTTGTTACTCCTGGGAGGTAAAAACATAGATTTTTATATACCCCCCCCCCCCCCCCCCCAATAAAATGAACAATTGCTTTTAAGCATATGAGGGGTAACTATAATATGTATCATATTATTAGAGATATGACATTGGTTAGTGGCAACGTTCTTCAGTCCCAACGAGCTTCTTATATCGAAAGATTATGTAAGGTTTACTCTTAAGTTTCCTCTTAGCCTACTAATTAATAAAACAAAAATAAACCCAAAAATTGGTGGTGGAAGGATTGAGATGCGTGAGTCCTGACGTCCTTAAAACGATTATATTAGATGGATATATTATAGGGGATATTTTAACGAGTGATTTATGGGTAACCAAAATAGACTATATTTAGAGTAAGTGTCCACCAATAATCTCAATTACCTCCTCAAATAAAATTATTTTAGCGAAGCAGCTGGAGGAATACCTCCACCCTCTTCCACCTCAATTTATGGCACAGTAAGTAACGGCCATCCACATCACCATCTCCACCACCCCCAACATCACCCAATACCTCCCCCACTAATTCCAGCACATCACCATCACCCACCATTTGGTCCCTCTCCCCCAATCCCCCCTCCACATTTACTTCATCAACAATATTCACGTTCAATGACACCAACATCTACATACAGAATTAATAGAAGGGGTGGAGGTGAGGGAGGTGATAGTAGAGGGATTAGAACAAGCAGTTTAATACAATCATCGATGCAAAGTACTCCTGAAGCTAATAAAAGAGATAAAGTAAGAGGAGGGGATTTTTTAAAATATTTTTTGGGGAAATTGGGAGGGAAAGAAAGGAAATTTTGATTTTTTGGGGGTTTTTCAAAGGGTTTTTTGTATTTTGATTGGGTTTTTCTAGAGTTCGACCCCGGACCGGGCCCGCTAGACCAGAAACCGGGTATTTTGATAAAATCCGGGTTTTCGGGTTTTAGCCCGGAAGCCCGGCCCGGGTCGGATTGGAAGAAAAAAACCGGATACCGGTCCCGGCAAATTGAAAATGTCGAACCCTAGTTTTTTCCTCCAAACTAATTAAAATTAAAAGATTGTAAGCCGTACAATGACTGTGCCAGTAACAATAACAAATAATAAAAACGGATTTCAACAACAAAGAATTATGGAAGAACAACAACAAATTGAAAAAGACCAAATACTTCCCCATCCCCTTCCTCACCCGTCCCATCAACAACCAACAACTTCTTCTTCCTCTCCCCCTCCATTACCTCCTCCACACCATCCTTCACAAACTCCAATTTTGCCATTTTTAGATCCTTGGAGAAAACAAGAAGTACAAACTAGAGAACAATTTATTGGATAAAAGAAAATTATTTTTGTCATTTTTTTGTAATAGGAAAATTTAAAAGAATTTTTTTGTCAATTTTTTTAATTAAAAAATAAATTTTATTTAATTTGTTTTCAAAAATGTTTCTTTGGTTGTGTTTGCCCTTCTACAGGTTTGTCTTTTAAATTATGCTTGTTGTTAAATGAAAATGCGATTAATTTTGTTAAAAAAATTTGTAATACTCAATAAAAATGAGGGTTTTGACATGTTGGAAAATCTAAATTTAATTTTTAAAAATATTTTCGAAATAAAGCTATTTCTTTTAATGATTCTCAACACTTAATTTTCTGTTGCATTTTTGTGGAGCCAATCCCGGAATTTTGGAAAGAACCACCTTATTTTAAAAAATACAGCACTAGATCCTTATTTATTTTCTACATTATTTGTGGACATATGTATAATTTAAAAAAGTAGACATCAAAAAAACTAGGTAACATAAAAAAGGCAAAAAATAAGCATTAAACTCTAACAAAATAGAGAAAAAATTTTTTAAAATTGTCAGGTAATCTTTATTTTAGTTAAAATTACAAACAAACAAAATTCTAATTAACATTTTAAATAATCTACAAAAAAAACCTTTTCCATTCATTCACTTTCTAATATTTTCTACAATATTGAATTATCAATCCAAGCGTTCCCAAAACAATTCCCGCCGCCATGTAAGGATTCTCTTCGGCAAAAATTTGAAAAATTCCTTTTGGAGCAGTGTCTGGAATTTTATATTTATGTTCGGGTAATTGAGGCGCTGGAGATGGAGAAAATTTTGATGGAGACCACAAACGGGGCCACTTAAATTGTTCTTCTTCAAATTCTGAATAAAAAAAAATAATTTAAAAATTAAATAAATTAATTTTTACTTTTGTCCATTTCTCCTTCCAATTAAATCCAAAAAGCAATTAAAGTTGTAGCAAAAAAATAAATAAATAAAATTTCTTAAAAAAATTTTGTTAATATCTTTTAGAAATATTTAAAAGGTGAATAGTAAGAGAAAACGAGAGAAGAAGAGAAAAAAAAGAAAGAAATACAAAATGCCAAAAATTAAAAATAACGACAATTCTGCAAATTTTTTGAATCCATTGAACGCTCAACTTTCTGTGAAAACCCGAGATAAGCTACCTTTAAAGGATACTTTAAGTTAATCAACGCAAATGACAATATGTATTCGCGGAATAGACCATATCCAAATGAACCCCATCCTCAAAACGGTTCCCTAACGTTTCGTCACTGAACTTTTCGTCACCGAACCTTTCGTCAAAACCTTTCGTCACTGAACCTTCCGTCACCAAACCTTTCGTCACTGAACCTTTCGTCACCAAGACTTTATTTTTAAAAATGACAAATTGAAATGACAAATTGACAAATCAAAATGACAAATTGATCATAATCGGTAATTTAGTTATATTTACTGTGTTGCTAAATGATAGGAGACAGTACGTAGGTACCCAATTGGGTCATTAGCTCGCTGAGCAAATTCAGCAAATATTTGTTGCAAATTTTGATCTTGAATGACATAAACCGACTCCCGCTTAAGTCCCTTTCCTCGGATACAGTTTGCCGATGCATTATTATAGTCAGCAATTATTTGTTCCCATCTTGCAAATTCTTTGATCATTCGCTTTACAAATTTACTTAACAACGGATTTTGTTCAAGTAAGGAGCCCCATGCATTGTGCCATCCCTCCAACGAATTGTTGGTTCTGGATAGACCAATATGAAGACGTTAGCTTAGATTCCACAACTAAGATAACGAAGTTAAGCAAAAGTTTAGCCAGGAATCGAACCTGTATCGAACCTGTATCTCCTTCATGCCATGCTGACGCGACATGGATACGGCCTGGACAGTACGGAGGTCTCTAACAAATACTTAAATAAAAACCAAACATAATTCATACTTTTGGGCATTTCCAATATTCAACTTGATTATCCACGGCAGAATAATGTTCAAACTGGTATTCAAAGCCGTCACGAGTTAAGAGAGATGAACCTCTTTTAGATTTTACTTCAATAAATTCGAGTAAATCCTCCATCTCCTCGGAAGATGAAGAAAAAATTTGCCCCTCATCTGATGATGAACCTACGTCCATTTTAGCCAATATGAGTAAAAAATTTATGAAAATAATTTTTTAGTAAAAATAAAAATAGTAAATCAAAATAAATTTATTTCACTTAACATCCTTATTATTATTTGTTTTTTATCAAAAAGTTATTAATTTTGTTTATTATATTTCATCTTCATTCATATGACTTTCTTTTATTCAAATTAATTTCCATAAATCTCTTTTGTTAAATTTGTCCATCCAGATGTGCATTCTCTTTTTTATGGTGAATAGTGACGAAAGGTTCAGTGACGAAAGGTTTGGTGACGGAAGGTTCAGTGACGAAAGGTTTTGACGAAAGGTTCGGTGACGAAAAGTTTAGTGACGAAAGGTTCGGCCACCCCTCAAAACTGTGAAATAGAATCTCTGATCCACAGTTAATCTCCAACGTAAAAATATTACAAAATAACTTTTATTTAAAAATATACATGTTAAATAATCACTGCCAAATTACTCCTTTAAATAATTAATTACTAACAAATTACTTCTAAGTAAATAAAACACTTATATCAAAATCTTTAATAGGACTTGTTTCAGTCCTTTCATAATCTTTAATTCTTACACTTCCTCCTCTATTTGTTCGATATTCTTGTTGGTACATTGTCGAAGTTATTACTGGATGGACTTTCATTGTATTTAATTTTAAAGGTTTTTCGATTAAATGCTCCAATTTTTGAATTGTTTCGGGTGTTTGTAGAGAAGGTATTTTTGTTGAGTCGGTTGGATGGACTTTTAATGTATTTCGAGTTAATGGTCTTGTTGAATTGTTATCTAGAAAGAAATTATTTTATTTAGTGGAAAATCTTGGTCAGATTTTTGTTGAACAAAAGAAACTGGCAAGAACCCTAAAACACCGTTAGGCAAATTCACGATGAATTAACAGTTTAAACGAGTGGATGAAAATTTAGCAAGCTACAAGAAATAACTGAGAAATGAGGAAGGAAAGCCCTCCCAAAAATTAATGAATTCCTACCCAAGGAGATCTCTTTAATTAAAAAATTAAATACCTTCAATTTTAGTAGCAATAGATTCAATTAAATCCATTTTAAACTTAACATTCAGATTAAAAACATTTTTATTTTAAAGAAAAAAGAAAACTGATTTTGTTGTTATTATTGTTTACGTTTAAATAATAAGCTAAAAATAGGATAAAAGAGGGAGGAGAGAAAAATAGTCGTCCATCACATGCCAGCCACTCTTATTTATAATCGTAAACAAAAATTTAGCTCTTTGTAGTTGCAAAAGTAAAAAGAAATATTTTTAGAGGAAATTTTAAAAATTTACGTTAAATATGGATAAAGTTGTGTTACAAATATGAGAATCTGTGAGGATTTACCGAGAAATTTCGATAAACGATATTTTTGAATGATATCCAGTCTTGGTTTGTGCAAAGAACCGAGACTGTTTTGATTTTATTTTTACTCAACTTTTAAAATATATTTATTTGAAATAATTTAATAAAAATAATTTTTAAGACAAATCTCCAAGCATAATCTGATCTGTTTTATAAATTTCTCTAAATTCTTTTTCAAGTAATTCGTGTAAACTAACCCCATCATGTTTATATACCCAACGATATGAATCGCCTTTTAGAAAAAAATTAATTTTAATAAAAATATTTTTAGAAATTTACTTAAATCATATCTTTTAGGCCCAGAAATTGGAGAAGAAAGCCAAATTTGTTTATTTGGCGTTTGTTTATTAATTACATATGTCCCTATATCTGGGCTTATATGTGCTTAAAAATAAAATTATTTTAGGATTTTTTAAATTTAGATTTCTTACCTGTAAGAACGCCCATGGAATACGAAATATCATAAGCCTGAAAATTTTTGAAAATTAAAGAAAATCTTGAATAGCGTATAAAATAATATTGACAGGGACAAAAAATGTATTTTTTATGCATGATGTGGGTAAGAACATGCGATGGTATTGAATAGAAACTATTCTAATAAAGTTCAAAAAATTCGAAAATCGGAATTCCGATCCCCTCCCTCATGCTCTCACTTAATATTTACGTAATCTTCCCGACTCACTAAAACCAAAAAATCCTCTTTTACCTTATCAGTATTTAACCGCTCAGGAAGTTCATCCAAAAACTCTGTAAGAGCCATTAAAGTTTCTTCCGCCCTTTTGTCATACTCTGCTTCTGTCCATTGTTGTGTAAATGTGCAAAGCAAAGAAGCTTAAAATTAAAAATATTTTGAACTGAAAAACCTCTTATAAATATTAACCTTGTCGTTGATAAAGAGAGGCCAACACAGAATTAAAACCTTTATTAGCAATAAAATTTCTTGCAGCATTCATTTTCTACAGAAAAATTTTAAATTGTATTTAAAAATAAATAAAATAAAAAGTCAAAAACATTTCTTAAAAATCTAAAAAATCCAAATTAATTCCTTTATCAACAAAGAATTAAAAGCTATTGAAGTTAATTCGACATGTGGCAAAGAAATTTTTGTTCATAAAATTAACTCATAGGAGAAAATGTCTGAATTAGCTTCTAAAACTTTAAAAAAACAAAAAAAACTTTTAAATTTTCTAATCATTTCTATCCCACATATATTCTCCTCTCTTCAATCGTGGATGTTCTTCCCAAGTTTCAGGCCCAATTTCTTGTCGCCATTCTTCAAGAAAATCGGCAGATGGTTGGAATAAACGAGGAAAGGCTGAACGCTCTTCTTCTGTATATTCTGTTGATTTTTTTGGAACTTTTTGAATTTGTCGAAGCTAGAAAGTTATTTTTTTGAATATTTTAAAATTAATTTTTAAAGGTATTGGTTTATTAATGGAAACTCCCACCCCAACAGTACTGACCCACTAATTAAATCTGAACATGAACAAAAATCACGGCATTTTTTTAAAAATTCCTTAAAAAAATTTTTTTAGTTCATAGACCGGGGAAAATATTTTTCAAAGGTCATTAAACTACTAGCTTGACTACTAGCTTGATGGTCACCAAAGTCGAAGAATTTTAATTTATTGTAAGATTCTGAATTAAATCGAAGGGTCCTTTTGAATATCCGAAGTCTAGGCAAATCGCCGAAATGACAGAAAAAAAACAGTACAAATTACCTGATTGCTAATATTTTTCTTAATAATTTCTGGTATTTCTGTATCAGGCAACAAATGTAATCGTTCAATATACATCCTTTGTTGAATACTATTTTGATTGAGGAAACCCAATTGACGTCCAATACACATCCAAACTACACGACAAGGATCATATTCATGAATTTGATAGGCTGGAATGTCTGCTTTGCTTCTTGGGCGTAACTGAAAAATTTTTTACCTCCATTTTTCATTGTTAATATTCTTGAGGTTTTTTCCTTCCACTTTAATATTTAAAAAACAAACTCTGTCAAAAAAGAATCGTGTATGTTTCCAATCAAATCCATGCATGCTAACTTGACGGCAATTTACAACAACAACGTTATCACCACAATCAGTATGAGGATGCCAAATTGGTTTATGCATTCCACTCAAATGTTGGGCTACTTTACGTGCAAGCTTCCAAATATCTTGACGGTCAGCATCAATTACAGACCTTAAGAAGATTCAATTAAAATTTGTGATTTCTATCATACTTGCAGCAACTTTTGTAAAAATCGTGTCCAAGACTGAAAAACCTCAGTCTTGAATGAAGTCCAAAGCCCTCGACCTCGAGAGAGCCTTTCTTACAAAAACAACCTCTTATAAACATAAATTAAGTCAAAAATCAAACCATTGACGCGAGAAAAGTTGCCATTGCCGCACCCTTTCTGCACGAGATACAAAAGATTTAGGCACAACAGGAACAAGTTTTGAAGCCATCGTTAACTTATGCTTGAAGTTAAAAATAAATTATTGAAACAAAAATATTTTAAAAAATAAAGATTTAGTCGACAACCAAATTAAAAATTAATTAAAATCATTTTATTCTAATTTTTATTTTTAGATCAATAATTAATAGATCAGTAATTAATAGGAATGAAAAACTCTTAAATGTTTTATTCTAGTTCTATAATTTTTTAATTGAATAGAGGAAGTGTTACTAAAACAAAAATTTTATAATTTGACTATATCACAGTTAATTTGAGCAATCTAGAAATGAGGGAATGGTTATTTTATTGTATTTTTTCCTATTCTATATTCATCACCAAACAATAGAATTTTTATATTCAGGCAATACACAAAGTCGTTTAATTGTTTCATAACCGGTAATGACAAAAAAGCTTTGAAGGCCTATAAAATTTTATATTAAATTTAGAAATAAATAAAAATACCATTATTTATCATTCGAGGTGCTAATCCTTTAGTAAACACATTTCTTCCCTCCTCCGAATAAAGGCATTTTATAGTTTCAAGATAACCAGTTCTGTGAACCTTTAAAAAATAAAATTGTTAATTTTTGATAGAAGAAAATAAAAAATGTAAGAGAATATAACCTGTATTCTAATCCTCAAAAGTTCCAGACAATTAGTGCAAAGCGCTGCTGTAGTGCCTCCTAATGCCCCAGAAATTGATTGTAGAGCTAGAAGTGAACGGAAATTTTCTGGTGCAGATTCGATTCGTGAATCAATGCCAAAACTTCGTTTAAAAAAGCCTAGCCAAGAATAATAAGCTGACCAGAAACACATTGAATGAGGTAAGTAAAGAAGTAAGGAAGAGAAGAAACCTCTAAAATTGAAAAAAAATTATTACGTAAAATTCCAATGGGTGGGAGATGGAATAGAACCATCGTATAAAGAACCTAACCAGAGCAACATTTATTCCCTAATTTCTAAAAAATAATTTTTAGAACCTATAAAATCCAGTAATTCCATCGGCTTTATGAATAGCTTTTACAACTCTCAAACCCAAAAGCGAAGACGTATAATAATTTCGACTGCTTCCAATAGTTTTAGGTCCATCAATGCCTAACAAATTAATAATTGCTGCTTTATTTACACTGCTCCCAAGAAATTGTTTTGGATTGTTGTAAATCATCATATGTTGACTAAAAATTGTTTAATACAGAATGTTTCAATAAAAATTAAAAATAACCTGACAATATCAGTTGGAACAAAAATAAACTGGGCAGAAACAGAAGCTATTCCACCTTGATTTTTAATTAAAAATTTTATTTTAAAAATTGTAAAAAAACCTGCCAAAGCAGAAACTAATAATGGCGATTCAATATTCGCTCTCAAATGAAGCACACTTCTAGCTTTTTCATAAATTGTTGAGTATATACAGCTTGCTCCAATTTGTGGAAGTGTTATCCAAAAACCCTTGAAAAATGAAAAAATTCGGAAATAGAATAATTTAAAGAAAACCCTATAAAGTGCTGAAAAGCCTTCTCTTCTATAAACAGAAGAGAATGCATGCCGCATTCCAGTATAAACATTATTTTGTTTTTGTAATTGTAATCTAGATTTGACAAGATTTAATGGATAGAAAATTGCACGAATTGAAGAGGAAGCAAGAAAAGCCTTTAATTTATAAAGAAAATGATAGATTATTTAAGAAATACTAATGGATAGAATTTGTACAAATCCATATGCTGCCATTCAACAATATGAAGTTGTTTTTCTGTTTTGTGTGCTGCTTAAAAGAAATTTTTAAAATTAGATACTCATAAAATATGAAGGGTAATTTGGGAATTAAAAATGGCCATTTCACCAATCTTTTCTGAAATATCAGGGCGTTCTTTTTACTTAAGACATGATTAACAGATCCAATATTTTAATCCTTAAAAAACCTACGAGTTCGTTCTGTGCGTTCTTCATATTGTGAGCTGGATGAAGCGGCCAACATGCCTAAAAAATTAAAAATCCAATATTCAATGCCACTCAAACTAGAATTAAAAATAAATTTATTTCGTAGTTATTAACAAAAATTAATTTTAAAAAGTCAAAAAAGTATCCCATTTTATTTAAATAAACATAACACAAAAAAATATAATCAAGCATAATAATTCAATACAGTCTTCTTTTTAGCTTGTACTTCTAAAATAGCATCCATAAAATCTTCGTGACCAACAGTTGTTGCATCACGGCGAAGTGCAATCATTCCCTAATAAATAAAAATAAAAAATTTAATTTTTGAAATTTTTTAATTTACAGATTCAACACAAACAGCTTTACATTGTGCACCATTAAAATCATCAGTACAACGTGCCAATTCATCAAAATTTACTTCTTTGCTTTAATATTATAAAATTTAATGATTCGATTATAATTTTTGTTTCTTAAGGTAAGTGTCGTCCTACACGCCTATTTTCTCATAATAGCTATATAGACAAAATCAAATTTTAACGTTAGTTTTATGGAAAATGAAAAAATTACAAGTAAATCAAACTACATCTCTCCTAATTTTTAAAAATATAACTTTCCTAACAAAAAATAAATATTTACCTAACATTCATTTTACGAGAATGTAACTGCAAAATACGTGCTCGTGCCTTCTCATTTGGCGCTGGCAACTCAATTTTGCGATCAAGACGACCCGAACGCAAAAGTGCTGGATCAAGAACGTCAACACGGTTTGTGGCAGCAATTACCTAAATTTTTGATATTAAACATTGAAAATTTGGCTGTAGTGTAGTGTACCGGTGGTAAAAGTTCGGGACGTGACATATGTAATTCGATTCGTCTCGACGAGCTGAGTCGAATGTTACCACTCCCTACTTTAGGAAATGATTCTGGACCGAGTTATAGGTCCCGAAAAATTGAAAAACCAAAGGGGGGAGTAAGCTCGATTTCGGGGTGAAAAATTCGAATATGCAAATAATAGCTCATTCGAAAGAGCTCGTCGAGCTGAGTCGAATGACACCAAAATCAACGAAATCTGACTTGATTTGACAAAGTTATGCTCGTTTGTTTTAGCTCCTTACCTATGGCGCCCGTGGAGGTTTTTGATGCTACTGGAGCCCCAAGTACATCCAGAGCAAGGGAGATGGGACTAGGTTTATGTTACGAGCCCAGACCCAGCGCCCGTAGACTCCCCGCGAGGCGCGTGCCGCAAAACCCCGCGCGAAGCGCGGGGTTTTGCACAAGCGCCTCGCCTACGCCCCATAGGTTTTAGTTTTTCTATTGTAACTTTGTACAAATTTTTACAATCAAGCTGATTTTGGTATCATTCGACTCATCTCGACGAGCTCTTTCGAATGAGCTATTATTTACATATTCGAATTTTTCACCCCAAAATCGAGCTTACTCCCCCCTATGGTTTTTCAATTTTTCGTGGCCTATAACTCGGCCAAGAATCATTTCCTAAAGTTGAGTGGTACCGTTCGACTCAGCTCGTCGAGACGAATCGAATGACATATGTCACGTCCCGAACTTTTACCACCGGTACACTACACTATATCCGAAAATTTTATATAGAAATAACCTTAACATCATCATTTGGTTGAAACCCATCCAATTGATTAAGCAATTCTAACATTGTTCTCTGAACCTCTCGATCACCAGCTTTTTCCGAATTGAAACGCTTAGTTCCTGTAAAATAAATAAATTTTTAAATAATTAAACAAATGAAAAAAATTGTAATTAAAACTTGAAAAAATTCAAAATTTGTGGAACAATAAAAGAAATATAGAACAAATTTTCTGACAAGAAAAATCAATTTAAAAAAATTTCACAGAAAGCATATTCAATTAATAAAAAAATAAAAAAGAAACAAACCGATAGCATCCAATTCATCAATAAAAATAATAGCAGGTGCTTTCTCCTTTGCAAGAGCAAAAGCATCTCGAACTAATTTTGCTCCATCACCAATGAACATCTGAACAAGTTGAGGGCCTGCAAGTTTCAGAAATGCTGATTTTGTTTGAGCAGCAACAGCACGAGCCAACATAGTCTTTCCGGTTCCTTTAAATAAATTTTTTTTTGAAATATTCAAAATTATTTTAAATAACCTGGAGGTCCATACATAAGAACACCTTTAGGAGGCAAAATTCCAATATTCGAAAATATTTCCTTTTTAGTCATTGGAAGTACCTAAAAGTATTTTATCATATAAGTTTAGATAAAATTTAAGTTATATTTTTAATTTCAGCACACTTTTTTTAATTTAAATAAAGGAGTTAATTAAAGAAAAAATTTCCCCCTTAAGCGGAAAATTCTAAAAAAACTGTCTAAAAATTGGATTAAATTTTTTTAAGATTTTCGCCCACGTGAAAAAATATTAAAATTGATCATTTCAACTAAAAATTACAATAGCTTCAATTAATTCTTTTATTTGAGTGTCACAACCGCCAATATCAGAATAAGTTTCCGTTGGTCTCTCATCAACTTCCATAGCCTTCACTCGAGAATCATATTCTGGCGGTAACTTTTCCAAAACCAAATAAGAATCTTTATTAACACCAACCAAATCACCAGGCTTTAACTCTGCTGTGTCAACTAATCCAATAACTGAAAAATTAAAATATTTAGCCCTGTTAAAGTTGACACAAAAAAAAATCAAAAAGGTATACCCGGTAAAAAATATGTTGCACGAGTAGAAGTTTTAATAACAGCACATTTAGTCTTATGAGCGTCCAAATCAACATTAGCTCCTTCATCTTCTTGTTGGTCTTCAAGATCAAGCAATTCAATAACGTTAGAAACGAGATATGGAAGTTGCTTATTAACCTAAAAAAATCAGAGGTTTTGGAAATGGGTAAGAAGGATAAAACCTTAACACGTTCATTATTTTCTTTAACCTTTTCTTTAAGGTTTTGAACACTGTGATTGATTCGCTGAATTTCACTTCTCATAATTCGAACTTCGTTATCTAAAAGCATTGTACGTTCACGTATTTGTTCGGCAGACATTTCCAAAATTTCGGGGGAAATCTATAAAAATTTTAGAAAAATCTAAAAATTATTTTAACCTCATCCTCTTCATTGTTGTCAACATCCATCTTTTGATCTGGTTCCTGGCTAGCACCCTTCTCCACGGACATTTTTTGTCAAAATTTTGTTCGAAAATAAAGTTAAAGTAAATCTAAAAAAAAATCTTCACAAAAAATTAAAATCTCATCAATGTGAAGAAAATAAAGAAATTAAACAGAGAGATTATAGCTAGAGAAGCAGAGAATTAAAGAATTTCAAAATGCCAATAGCCCGCTAAGTTTTGCTTCAAATTTCCTTTGTGTTATATTTTTAAATTTTCTGCAAAACTTTAATTAATTTTTAGGTGACACGGACTGTCATTTGTATTGATTTTTATTTTATTTTTATAGGATTTTTTTGCAAGTTCTATTAAATTTTTACCCTATAAGTACCAAATTTTTGCTTTATTTTCTAAATATTTTTTTACCTTTTTTAGAAATCAATACTTTAATCAACTCTATTTTTATTTAAAAATGTCTACCGGAACGTCTAGAATTATTACACGATCAATGGCTGCCAGAAATGCTCAACCAAAAGAGGAAACTAAAAAAGAGCCAAAAGAAGAACCTAAAAAGGAGAAAGTTGTTGTTGACCAACCGAAAGAAGACGGAGAAACTAATCAACAAAAGAAGATTACTTGGACACTTGATGATTTTGAAATTGGCAAACCGCTTGGGAGAGGCAAATTTGGAAGTGTTTATTTGGCTAGGGAGCGGAAATCTGCTTATTTGATTGCTCTAAAAATTCTTTTCAAAAAAGAATTGACCAAGCATAATGTTGTTAATCAAATGAAGAGGGAAATTGAAATACAATATCACTTAAGGTTTTTTTTAATTTTTAGATTTGTGGATATTTTGGAGAACTTGGGATATGCGACTAATATTTTTCATTTACTAATATTTTTCGTTTTTCAGACATCCAAATATTCTTCGTCTTTATGGTTATTTTTATGACGATGAACGAGTTTATATGGTTCTTGAGTTGGCACAAATGGGTTCAGTTTATTCGCTTTTGAAGAAGACACACAAAATTGCTTGTCCTTTGGCTGCGCATTTAATATTGCAATTATCTGATGCTCTTATTTATTGTCATGAGAGGTATTAAAATATATTATTAACGACTTATGGTGAAGTTTTCAATTAGTAATTCCCCTGGATCCAGAAAGTCAGGCACGTGTTAGTGAAACTAGGATAATACCCTCCACATATCTCCTCCCTTTTTTTTATCTCTAAAATTCTTAAATTAAAGTTTATATTTTACAGAAAGGTAATACATCGTGATATAAAGCCGGAAAATCTTTTACTGACTGCAAATTGTGACGTAAAAATTGCTGATTTTGGTTGGTCAGTCCACGCGCCTTCTTCAAAGTATTTTTATAAGAATTTTTATAGATTATTTATAATTTTTTTAAAGGCGTACAACAATGTGTGGTACCTTAGATTATTTATCTCCTGAAATGATTCTCAATAAGGAGCATGATCATAATGTAAAAATAAAAGCTTTTTTTTTAAATTTTAAAATTTTTTTAAAAGGTCGATAATTGGTCGGTGGGTGTTCTCCTTTATGAATTTATTATTGGAAAACCTCCTTTTGAACATCAGACACATGCGGAGACTTTGGAATGTATTCGAAATGTTTGTTTAATTTTCAAATTTTGATTTTAACTTCGTTTATTTAGTTGAAATATCAATTTCCTAGTACTTTTCCTGCTGGAGCAAAGGATATTGTTTCAAAGGTTAGAAAGTTTTTTTTAAATAAATGTCTTTCAAACCAAATAAATTTGTGTGCTAGTTTTGGGGTGAACCTTGATTTTTTGCCTCTTTATATCTTTCCTTAATGTCAGTTAATGTCTTTGATGGTCGGACTTGAACATTGTTGGATCTAGGCTTTAGCTGTTTGAATTTAATTAAGCCTGCGTTTAATATCCACCAACAAGAAAGAAATCAATATCATGGCACCACTACTAGTCGGAGCAACTGAATGAGATTAGCTTCATTCAAAAGCGGGGGTTACATGTTAGTTTCCTGCCTAATAGCTAACAATAAGCTTTTGCTTAACTTTAACTTCTGTTAATAAGCCCTAAAAATTTGTCCAACTTCACTTGTCTGATACTAAAACTGGCAATCATACCTTAAAAAGTGAATAGAGATTTTAAAATAAACTCTTTAATAATAATTTTTTCAATTTTCAGTTGCTTTTATTAAAGCCAACAGCTCGTATGCAAATGCCTGTGTTAAAGAAACATCCATGGATTGTGGAGAATTCTGCAATTTTTGTTAAAGAACAGGAAGAAAAAGAAAAAACGGAAAAGGAAAAGAAGGAAAAAACGGAGAAGACGGAAAAGAATTAATTTTCTCAAAATGGTTGGGCTATAGTGCATTTAAGTGATCGTTTTTCTTATATATATTCTGCTTAACAACAAAACAAAAAATGACTTTGATTTATTTATTGTTTACTTTATTTGTTTTTGGTTTGGTTTTATATAAATTTTGTAATTTAAAGAGTTTTTATTTTAAAAATGCTGTTTTTAGGAATAACATTAACAATTTTAGTAAGTGAATAAATCCAATAATTCTTTTGCCTTTTCAAATGACTCCTCCACTAATTTTTTTGAGTTCAAAAATAATAAAAAAGTTTTACGTTTACCTTTTTTTCCGTTCATAAAAATAAATTATAGGGACAAGTTTTAAACATTTTAATATAAAAATAGGTCAAATTATCTTTGTTTAATTAAAAGAAAGGTAAAAAAAGAAGTAAACTTGACCTTTTCTTGACCTTTTTTTAATCAAAACTTGACCTCTTCTTCATTATTTGAAAGCACTTAAATAAATGTCTAGAAAACTTAGTTAAAGCAAAATTGGGAAGAAAGGAGGTCACAAATGGGAGGAGTAAAAAATATTATTTTTTATATCCTTCCTTATTTGCTCATTCATTTAATATCAAAAACTTTTTTTAATTTTTTAGAATTTTTTCCTTTTATTTCGCTGTCCCAATGAATAATATGGCAGTCTAATTCTGTTACCCAGTCTAAATACACTTTATACCAAATAAACCTACTATATTGTAAATGCAATTTTACAATTTGCTTGGCCATTAGGTTAGGAGAGGTGCCTAAATAACATAATCTAAATTTCTAGCAATAATTTCTCGATTAATTTCAATTTTTTGTAATAACCCATCTTTTTTCAGATAAAAAAATTTTTTAAATTTAATTTTAAAAATGGTTTTTAAATGTTACCGTTGTAGTATTTGCCACTCTCGTTTGCAGTTTGACAATGTTTTTACTTTGAAAAATTGTAACCATACATACCATCAACATTGTATTACTCAATGGATTACTGGGGTGAGGGAATTATTTTTGTGTGAAGTTTTTAAAGAATTTTTTTTCATTATTTTTTAAAATCTGATCCAACTAGATTAGGACGAAAATTGTTTTTTATTCTAGCTGTTATCACTTTAATTTGTCCTAGTAAAGTCGGTCGTCTCGCTGGGACATAAATCCCGGCAGCAAATTTTATTTTTAACATTTTAGTCACAAACGTGTCCTCGATGCCAATCTCCTGCTACTTTGACTGATATTAAAAAAATATTTTTTGATGAAGGAGGTGATGAGCAGGACTCTGATGATGAGACGATTCAGGGTACAAGTAACGTGACTACACAAAGCCGCGCTGTGAGTTAATAAATTAATTGAGGGATACATTCACCGATTAATTTAATTTCAGCCTACAGCTCAAGGAGTAATCCAAGTAATTGTTAAGGATACTTATCGAGATAGTAAAATGGCTATTCAAATGCAAGTAAAGATTAAAATTTTTATAAAATATTTTCAAGTAAAAATTTATAAAATTAAGCCAAACGATACTATTTTGAATTTGAAGAACAAAATTGCTGAACGTAATGGGGTGTCAACTGATACTCAGCGTTTGGTGAGGGAAACTTCAATTTTTTTATTTTTAAAATTAAATATTTTTCAGGTTTTTCGTGGTCAGCAACTCGAGAACAATTGTAAATTTATTTTTAATAAAAAATTTTTCGAAAAACAGTAATTTGCGTTGAGGCAAACCCCGATCCCCGACACACCCGACCCCGAAGGCTCAGGGTGCTACCCTAGTTAAAACCTTACAAAATTCCAGATTTTATGAGGTTTTTGGGCAATCGTTGATTGTTCGAGCTTAACTTACTTAATTGATCGCCTCTGAATTAATTTTTAGGATGAGTGTTTAAAAATAATTTTTAGATACACTCAGCCATTACAATATTGTCGACAACACAAGTGTTGATTTGGTTATGCGTTGTCAAGGTGGTAAAATGTAATGGGAAAATAAATGGAAATTGATTAAAATTAATTAATTTTTTTTTAATTTTGTAAATTTAAATATGGCACTAAAAATTCTTTTTTCTAATAACAAAATTTATAATAGGTACTTGATTTTTTGATTTGGAATAAGAACAACAAAATTAAAAAGAAAATAATTTTTAGTCCATTTTTAAATTATTAACTTTATCTTTTTTTAAAAATACTCAACAAAAATCACTTAATCACTTTTGTATTCTTAAAGATTTGTTTTTTAAATATTCACATTTCATTAAAGACATTAAAATAAAATTTTCTTTAATTTAATTAATATTTCCAAAAAAGTTATCACAAAAAGGTCTAAACCGTTTAAAATTTTGTCTGAATGGGAATAAGTTTTTGTCTCAAGTCTTAAAAATTTTAGGAATTGGAAAGCTCTTCTACATTTTATTTTTTTGTGTGGTCTGATATGTACATACATTTATTTGTGTTTTCTGATCTTCTCCAATTAAAAAAGGAAGATATGGACTTCCAGTAAAAGATCATCTTCCATTAACTGCCAACCCAAACCAAATACCCTTTAAACACCTTTCACAAATAAACTTTACAGTATTTTTGTTTTGACATTTTTTAATCAGCTTATAAATATTTTTAAAAATTTATTTTAAAATATTTTTAACTGAAATTCAGTCATTCGGATCATTTAATTCTCTTACAAACATTTTATAAAATTATTCATAAAATTTTGATTTTTGTACAGAAATAAAATTTGTGAATAATCTTGCAATATTTTTTGATAAAAAATGAGAATAATTTTCTTCTCTCTTTTAGTTTATTTAATGATACATTTTCCTTTGGATTTTTTTACCTTGAAATTCCTTATAGTTTTATTTTAATTCAAATTATTTTACAAAAAATGAAAAATGTTACGCTCGCACGATACCGGACCATTGGTCTAAAATGAAGAACCGGGTACTTAAAAAATGCGATTGGGTGCATAAAATGGGATTGGACGCGTAAACATTTCATTGAATCACAAATGTGCCATTGGACGCGTATTATGGACGAAGCCAAAATTTTAGGGGAAACTTAAAAATCCCTAATTTTTTGTTTGGCAAAATGTCAAATTCTTTTCTTCATTTTCAAAATACTTCCTGTTTAATTTACTAACAAAAACAAATATACACGTTGATTCAAAACATTAAGTACATCAAATTCATAAAAGTAAATATGTATTTGAATGTTAAATTTAAGCTATCAAATTTCAAAATTTCAAAAACATTTCATCACTTTTAACAGACTCTAATTTACTCCTCCCCTCCCCTCCCTCCCTTTTAATTCATTTTTTTATTCACATGCCTAGCACTTTTCATTTTCCTCCTTCTTTTTCATTCATTTAACATCCGCATTCTTCTTATCCCCTCTCTTCCATTTTTTTGTTTAAATGTATATTAAATTAAGAAATATATTGAGTATTTCTTGAACAGCTGAGCCTCTCATTTCCCTCATTTTTAGGTTATATTTATTCGCAAATTGTGTTTTCTTTAGTAAAAGTTTAACTACCGTTAAGGTATTGAACCTGCAACTTTCTTTTTTATCCATACTTTCTTTTATCCCGATGAGCCTCGTCATAGAAAAAAAACTCCTTAGTCCACAATGAATCCAATAATTCACCTTCTCGATACGCGCCCTTATCACCAATAAAGAAATATTAATTAATTGAGAAGAATCGTCTTTTTTCAGTATTCTGCAACATCATTCATTCTCTCTTTTAGAATTCTTGTGAATAAATTAAATTAACTCACTCAGATCATGGGTTATTTGACATTTCTCTGACCGGAATTGACCACTAATTTCTATTTATCTTTGTAAGAGTGAAAGAAAAGTCATTAACTTTAGGTTTCAATAGAATTTATGAACATGGGTGAACAAAATAAAAAGAATAAAGGGCGAAAAATAAATTTTTTAGTTAAGAAGTTGAAATAAAGCAAAAAACATGAAAAAGCGAAATTACAAAAATTATCATAAAAATATTTTTTAAATCTTTTGGCTTAATTTTTAATTATTAGATGCAAAATTTGTGTGCAAAAATTCATTCTTAAGGAGTGAAAATCAGAGTTTAACCGGAAATACACATACCTACAAAGGATGCCCTCCCACATAACACTTTTACCTTTCTTTTTTAAACTTTTACAAAAAATAATCTACACTTATAAACTCTTTCCACTTAAATTTTAAAGAAAATTTCCACTCCAAAATTAGTCGCAAATATTTGGGTTAAAGTGTGTCATTTCTTCTAATTTCATTTCTTTTCTTTGCCTCATGCGAGACAGCCGCCCTTTAAAATAAGCTTTTTTTCCTTTTTTTTTGTAAAGGGTAACCAACTGTTTGTCTTCTTTAAATGAAAAAAGAAAGAATATTTTTTAGCTAACAAGGCAAAATGGAGGAAAGGGGGGGGGGGCGAAGGAGGAGACCTTTCCGGAAGAAAAGACACTTTAATTTTAAATAGAGCTTTTCTCTGTTGGCCAAAAGATTTTTTAAAAATTATTTTTGGTCGTTCAAGGTTAAAAAGGAACAAGAAGGAAATTAATCTTTAATTAATTCTTTTTTATTTTTTTTACTCTAAAAAATAATCAATTTTAATTTTTAAAATCTTGAATTGATTTTTGTTTAAAATTTTTTTATTTTGTACTTTGAGGTCGTGATCTTATTTACGCTTTTCAATAATTTCTACCAGTCTTTTTCTGGTCATTTCCTGTAGGGATGATAACACCCTGGAAATTTCTTCCCAAACCTTTCTTAACTTTTAACCTTTCTTTATAATTTTTAAATTATTTGAAAGCCCTTTTTGTTTATTTTTTCATACCGAGTTTGATCTGATCCTCTTATGGAAAAGTTATATTTTTAGATAATTTCTGTCCCTTTTTTCTAAATACCTATATTTTTTCAATTTATTTTTTTAACTTTTAAATGTGGTTTTCTTTTGTCACAGAAGAATTTATTTTTGTTGCTTTTAATTTTTCTATAGAAAAAATAATTTTTGGGACCAAATGTCTCATTAAAAAATTTTTTCAGGAAATGTTTTATAAAATAATTATATTATTATCTATATAATAAAATGACTAAATTACGTAAAACAAATTCTTCTTTACACATTAACAATGCAAGAATTGCTGGACTTTATGATTTAGAACACACAATTGGGAAAGGACATTTTGCTGTTGTTAAACTTGCAAGGCATGTATTTACTGGAGAAAAGGTTGCAGCAAAGGTTATTGATAAAACAAGGCTAGACCCCGTTTCTACTTCACATATGATGCAAGAGGTTTTTTTTATTAAATTTTATTATGTCTCTTCTAACACTAAAAATTTTTTTGATTAATTTAGTAAAATTAATTTTTAAAAATTTAAGGTCAGATGTATGAAATTAGTTCAGCACCCTAATGTTGTACGTCTTTATGGTATGATGTTATATGTAAATATTTTAAAGGGAAAAGTTCATTAGGTTTTATTTTTATTATTTTTCGTGTGTCTTCTTCAGATAAGGACATTTTTAAAAAAATTTACATAAATAATTAGAAAATAATCTTTTCTTATTGGGAAATGTTGATATCAATTTTCTTCTAAATATTTAAAAAAAAATTTCTTTTTAGAAGTTATTGACACTCAAACAAAATTATTTTTAATTTTGGAACTTGGCGACTATGATATGTAAATAAATATTTTATTTTTAAATTTAAATTAATTTTTTAAAGGTATGAATGGGTAATGAGAAGAGGTTATGATAAAGGTGGATGTAAAGAATCTGATGCTCAACTTTATTTTTCTCAAATAATTCAAGCCATTAATTATTGCCATAAATTACACGTTGTACATAGAGATTTGAAGGTTTTTTAAAAATTTCTTTGTTTGAAAAATTTTGTTTGGAAATTAATTAAGCTCGCTAACTTATCAGAGAAAGTTTTCCGCGGGGAGGTGGGGGGGGGGTATTATTTTGGCGCCCAGGTGGAAATTTTGGGAGGTCGTGGGCTACATGCCCCTGGCTATTTGTCTGATTATTTTTATTAAAACTTTTATTTTCTTTTTTTTCATAGCCTGAGAATGTTGTCTTCTTTGAAAGGCTAGGAATGGTAAAACTAACAGATTTTGGTTTTTCAAATTTATTTACGCCTGGACAACAATTACAAACATCTTGTGGAAGTCTAGGTTTTTTTAAACAATTTTTCGTATTATTTCTCTATTTAAGCCTATTCTGCTCCTGAAATTTTGCTTGGCGATTGTTATGATGCTCCAGCTGTTGGTAACTTTTTTTAGAAAATTTATTAACTTGGTTCACAAAAAATCACCAGGGCCCGTAGAATAAATTCGGGGTAAGGGTTATTTAACCCCTACCCGAGGGTCAAATAACTCGCAACCCGCAGCATAAATTCCTACTCTGAGTTCAGGGTTAAACAACCCGGTAGTTTAACCCAAAACTCCGAGTAGCTTTTCACATTGGTAGAATAAATTATTTACTCGGGTCAAATAACCCTCAGCTAACAAGGGAACATTTCGAACTGTGAGTAAAAAGTTCGAAATAAAAGTTATACCATCGTGTAGAGCATCGTCGAAAACCTTTATGGTTTCCGGCTTTTTCGGCTCCGACCCCCATTTCGAAAAGTTATAGGTCTTCAAAGTTTTCGATTTTTGGAGCGGTTGAGTCGCCCTCACTTTTCTTATTATTTGTTTTACCAAAGAGAAAAATGAGACTCCTTTTCTCCATTTTTCCTTTCTTCTTCTTTTCCCATGTCGGTTAAAGAAAGAGAAAAAGAGGAGAGGAAAGAAAAGGAAAAGAGGCATCTCTGCCTTGCAGCTAATGTCAATTAAAAAGGAAAGAGGAGATGGCAGACATGCCTCTTTTCCTTTTCTTTCCTCTCCTCTTTTTCTCTTTCTTTAACCGACATGGGAAAAGAAGAAGAAAGGAAAAATGGAGAAAAGGAGTCTCATTTTTCTCTTTGGTAAAACAAATAATAAGAAAAGTGAGGGCGACTCAACCGCTCCAAAAATCGAAAACTTTGAAGACCTATAACTTTTCGAAATGGGGGTCGGAGCCGAAAAAGCCGGAAACCATAAAGGTTTTCGACGATGCTCTACACGATGGTATAACTTTTATTTCGAACTTTTTACTCACAGTTCGAAATGTTCCCTTGTAAGAGTAAAATTGCTACACTGGTCGGGGGCAGTGTAACAGGGTAAAACGCGTCTCGATTGCTCTTATCCAAAATACATATATTAAGTTTTCAAAATTTTGAAAAAAAATTTTATATTCAAAAAATGAAAAAAATATTATGAAAAAATTTTTTTTGAAAATCCAGGTTTGGATCCGGGTCTAAAAAATCCGGAAACCGGATCCGGCATTTTCAAACTTCTAACTCTAATGATTTTACTTAAAAGTTAAAGCTGTTTAATTGAAGTTCAATATAGAAAGAAAATTAAAGAGTTACTCGTGAGTTACAGTAAACTTTAGTTTGGAGTAAAAATGTGAATTTATTCTGTGGAATTTATTCTACCAATTTTACTCGGAACTCAGGGTTATTTAACCCAGGGTTATTTTACCCGGTTATTCAACCGGTTATGTTACCCCGAATTTATTCTACGGGCCCAGAATGAATATTTCTTGTCCGTATAAATTTTAAAATATGTAAAAATTTAATTAAAAAAATTAAATTAATTTTGGATGGGGCCTATCCGAACTATTACTCTTATTTTGTTAATGACTAAATGACAATCTGCTTTGAAATTAAAAATATATTTTTAACTTATCCTTTTTTAGATGTTTGGTCTTTGGGCGTTATTTTGTATATGTTAGTTTGTGGCCGACTTCCCTTTCAAGAATCAAATGATTCTGAAACACTTACAAGAATATTAGATTGTAAATTCTCTTTTCCTGAACATGTTAGCGTTGAATGTAAAAAGTTTGTTTTAAATTTTTCTTTTAAAGTTGGCCCAGTTCTCTTAATGTTTTCTAACATAAGTTGGCTGTATTTGTTTTCGAATGTTTATTATATTCTCTTGGGCTGCTTTGGGGTCTTTGGAGCCTAACATGTGTTTTAAGTCATTAAAATTTTAGTCTTGTTTCCTCAATGCTCGTTCGTGATCCTTCAAAACGCGCTACACTTTCTGAAATTTGTCAAAATAAATGGGTTCGTGCTGGTGATCGTGGACATGCAGAAGCACTTCCTTTAATTGTAAAGGATAATTTACCTTTATGTGCTCACACGACAATAATTGAACAAATGGTGGCTGGACAAATTGGGACAGAAGAAGAGATTGTTAGGTTTGTATATTTTTTTTCGAATATATTTTTCGATACTTTCGTTCATTTTTCCATCTTTTCATATTCTCTCGAAAAGATTTTTTCACTTCCTACTCCTGTCTGTAAAATTTAATTTTCAGTGCCATTGAACGTAATGATTATAACCACCTAACTGCAACTTACTATTTACTTGCTGAACGTGTTTTATATTGTTATAGGCAAGCGGAAGCAAATCGTTTAATGGCCGCAGCAGCGAGGGAATTCTCTTCTGTTGATGAAAATTCACCAGAGTGAGCGAGAAATTTTTGTTAATAAAGAAAACAATTTCTTAAGCGATATTAATCAAAATTCTACAATTCCTGGCACTTCAACGGCCTCTTCTACACGTAGTCGGAGTAGAAGTAATTCATGGCGGGGTCCAGCACCTAGACGTGCCTATTCAATTTTGAAGGAGGAAAGTGAAGAAGAACTTTCATCCTATCTAAAATCATCGTCAAGGCAGTCGTCAAGGTTGTTTTTTTACAAATTTTCCTCTTTAAGGAGGAAATTTTTAAAAATTTCTTTCTCCATTTCTATTTTAATAAAATATATTTTTAAAAAAGATTTTACAACATTCCTTCTACTGGAGCTAAATCATCAAGAGAGAACGCTTCTTCGCGTGCCAGTTATATAGCAATGAGTAGAGCAAATAGCAATGATTCTTTTACTCCTATTGGTTCATCTGCCATTTTAGAGGATGAAATAGAATCTGAGGAAATGGATGAAGGATTGAGTAAAACAATAAATGCATCTGAAGAGGAAAATGTTGATAGAGAGAGGAAAGAAAGTGCTAGACTAGCAACTTTTACAATAGAACAGCTACAACAAAATCAGCAGACAGGAACGAGTGGAGGAAATAGGTGAGAGTTTGAATTGAATTATTGGCCCTGCAAACACTTAGGGTTTTAGGTTTAACTTATCATTTCATTAGAACAATAAGAAGGGGGGATTAAGCGTGGTAACCTTTAGATAAGAGAACGACTCAAAGCAAATGCACGTAGTGAGTCAAACTTCTAGCTATAACTGCCCCATGCTAATGTTCGATTTTTGACCGGTGGGAGAATTCTTTTAAAATATGACCGGTCCTCAGTCTTCGGGCATTAATTACTTTTAGAACATTTGTTAGAGCCTTACTTAATTTTCCCTTCATTTTTTTCTTTTTAAGTATTGCTTCTACATCTGCCTTCGAACCATCAATCACCTCTACTCCAATCCTATTTCAAAGATTATTGGCACCAATACATGAAAATAATAGAGATCAATCACCTGATATAGTTATTCAAAGATTACGGCATAAAAATAGTAATGGTCAGTCAATATTTGATGGCCAAAGCGATGAAGAAATGGGAGGACCGGGAGGAAGTGCTTCTTTTTATTTACCCAGACAAACAAGGCAAAGAACAACAAGTTCACATTCTGTTGGAGGTAGAATAATGAGTGGAAGTGGTAGTAATCAGCAACAACAACTTCCACCTCTTCCAAGTTCTCCTGAACATCAAAATGTTGGTGGTGGTAGTAAATTTAGAATAGGCTCTGTTGGAAGTAGAAATTCTTCTACCTCATCTTTTGTTGGTGGTGGAAATAACAGGTATTGTTTTGTAAAGAATATCTAAAATGGCTTTTCGTGTTCGTTGTAGTCCACGTTCTTTAGATAAATTCTTTTTGAAGTAGGATGGGCCAAATTTTAAATTAATATTCCAAATTTATAATTAAAGTTTATTTTAAAGAATTAACAACAACAATATATCATCCTCTTCTTATACCTCTAATCGTCCATTACGTAATGCAACTAGCCTTGAATTATTCCCTACACAAAATTCTTTTTTATCGACACAACAAAATGGAGATTCCAACCTTAATAAAACAAATATTTCCTTTTCTCGTCGTTGTTTACCAGCAACAAGTCCCCCTACTCCAAACCCTTCATTAAATAATAATAATACAAATTATTATTCTACTCTTTGGGGAGCTCCTGCAAATTTGGAAAGACATGCAAATTTTCCAAATTTAAATACTTTGCCATCATCATCTAATTTGTTAAAACAACAACGTAAATCATCTTCAACAACGGGTTCCTCACTTTTGAGAAGGTATTAGTAGTGGATATTGCTCCCATCGACTTTAATCAAAAACCTAATTTTTTCCAATCCATTTTCACAATCACTCTTCCTAATTTTTTTAAAAAATTTAAAATTTTAAGAAATTCTTCTCCATCTGTTGCATTACTTCGAACAACTAGTTTAACTTCATCACGTGACCGAATCAGTCCACATGCCATTCAAGAACTTTTAGAGCTTTCTCGTTTATCTGGCAGGATGCGTCGTACAGCAAGTCCAGATGGAGCTAGTAGTAGCCATTTATCTAGTAGAAGTGCTAGTCCTTCGTGTATGTCTAGGTAAAGTTGGGATTTTCTATTTAAATCTGAGTATACTTTTTTATTTTTAAATTAAAAAATCACCATCCAGTCATATAAAATAACTAAATTTCCCATTTTTTAATTAAAAAATTTTTTCTAGTGGAAGAGTCTCGCCTCTCTATTCTTCATCACCGGGTGGTGGACTTGTAATGCGTATCTTAAAAAGTGGCACTCCCTCAGGCAGCTTATTATCTTCGGGTGGTGGAATGCGAAAATTGAGTAGTAGTCCACATTTATTGGGTATTTGTGAGGTAATCAATAACTTTTAAAAATTTCAAAAAATTTCTAAAAAAATTTTAGGAAATCGAAGAATGTGATTTCTCTCTAGAACCAACCCAAAATACTTGTGATGGTGTAGATGGCTTAGATCCAGACTGTCTAACAAGTGGTCGTCGTTCAGTAACCTCAATTGACCAACCTTTTTGGAAAAATCCTCCGTTAATTTCAAGGAGTGCTAGAAGTGCTTCTATGGGGTTAACAAGTATGGGAAGATTGTCTTTAGGTAGTGGAACGAATAAAAAGATTGTAGCAAATTTAACTAAAGCAACAAATCAAACATCATAATATATATTTAAATAAAAATATTTTATGTATTAATTGGGAGCTTTTAATTGACTAACTCAATCATATATTAATTTAAATAAACTCAAAAATTATGTATTAAAATTTAAGATAAATGATGAAGGGAATAATTGAGAGGATTTTTTAAACTCGTTCTGAGAAAAATTAGAATTTTTGTTTGGACAATAAATAAGGCTTAACCCTCAATTAGATTTTTAGGTGATCTCATTTGAGAATACTTAGGTTAGAACAATTCACCGAAAGGGACACAATTCACGCAACAAGAAATAATTTAGGTATTTTCTGTGAATGTCGCCCCTTTTGTCTTTAAATTTATTCAAAAATTTTGCTCACATTTTTATTTAATTTTTTTTGTCTCATTTATCTTTCAAGTTTTGTCCATATTAATTTAATTGTGACATAAAAGTTAATTTTTTACAAAGACTTTTTGATCTTATTTAATGTTGCCCTCTCTAATTTGTCGAGTCTGGCAAACATATGTAATATTTGTAAATAATATTTGATAAAAATAAATATTTAAAATGTTTACATAAATATTTTTTCTATATATTTTTTCTATTTACAGTTTGTTTATTTTTATCAAAGATAAACATTTAAAGCATTTCTGGTTCTGAAAAGAAAGTCTGCAACCTTTTCCTGCAAATTATTTAAAAATGCAGATAGTGTATTTTGCTTGTAATATTGCGAGTATTTTAGTTTAGATTCTGAATTTTTTGGTTATGGGATTCTAAGTTTATTTTTAACGCCATTGCAAAAAAATATTTGCGGGCGCTGGAAATTAAAAAGCAAAAAAAGATAAGGAAAGGAATGTGATTTATAAAAATCTAAAAAGTAGGTTAACGTCTTTCTATCACAAAATATGACTCCACCCCAGAATATCGACACCCTAAATATCGACACCCTAAATATCGCGGACAAAATATCGAATGACCCTAAATATCGACACCCAAAATGACGAATTACCCAAAATATCGAAAATTTTTAAACTTCATAATTAAGTATTCCAATGATCGGGGAAGTCTTTTTAACATAGGGAAATTGTTCCAACAATGGATCAAACATCGATCATGATCAATATGTCCAATCAAAGATGAGTGATCGATCTCCAAGTAGAATCTTGATCGGTCGCTATGCTCAGTTCGATCGAAAACACAATTCCCCGATGTTAGAACATCATGCCCGATCATTGGAATACATAATTATGAAATTTAAAAAATTCGATATTTTGGGTAATTCGTCATTTTGGGTTTCGATATTTTGGGTCATTCGATATTTTGGGTGTCGATATTTAGGGTGTCAATATTTTGGGTGTCGATATTCTGGGGTGATCCCACAAAATATAATTACACTCTTTAGTCACATGAATGTTTTGCTTATAAAAAGATTTATTGGGAGAAACAATTCCTTGCGATTTTTTATTTTAGAAATGTTTTTCCCTTTATTTGTTAACACTGTTAACACTAATTTATTTGTGGTAATTTTATTTTTTTAAAGTTTTTTAATGAACATCTGTTAACTTTTTAAATTTTATAAAATAAAAGAACCTTATTTTCATATGAATTTATTGTGTTCTTTTAAATTGATTTTTGTTTTACTTTTTGTTAAAGTTTTTTGAGGTTTTTAAAAATAGACTTCTCTCTCACATTCTTTTACCACAGTAAATAAATGGGGGGGGGGGGGCAAAAGGGCGCGCGGCCAAAACGGCGCAAAGCCATAACTTGATTCAAGATTTCCAAATCTTTCCAACTTTAGTATTAAACGATTCCACTCATCGAGCTAAAGATTTGGATCCAAAATTAATAAGGGCCAGAAAGTGTCCAGTAAGTTAAGGCCTTGAGTCGTTATGACCGCTATTGTGTAGTGGTGTCACGATTAGAGACCGGCGCGGGACGGGATCCCGCGCGGGATTATGCGGGATACCGCTCCCGCAATCCCGCACTTTTTTCGATTTGCGGGATTTTGCGGGAGTGCGGGATTTATCCCGCGGAATCCCGTCCCGCAAAGTTTTTTTAAAAATTTTATCCCGCGGGATCCCGCAAAATTTTTTGAATTTTGCGGGATTATTGGAAAATGGAGGATTTTGGCTCCTAATCTTATAAACTAAAAAAAAATTTCGCCTGCGGCGCTAGAAAAAGGTGAATTTTGGTTCACTGGCCTTCCTAAAATCTGCAATTTTTGCCTCCGGCGCTGAAAAGGAAGAATTTCGATATTTGGCCTTCTAAAATTTTCGCCTGCCGCCCATGGAATCATCTCTATTTCATCAAAACAAGATTGCACAAATTGTTAGATCACGATGATTGATCCCATTTGTTTCAGCTCATTTGTTTCAGCCAATTTTCCGACGAATATGTATGAGCTTGCCGCTTATGGATTTTTGATAATTGGGGACGTGGGATCAGGGTGACCCTTTCCAAACCACTAAAATAGGGCGCAGCCACTCAAAAATGTGGCAAAAATAGGGCGAAAATGGTCAAAAATAGGGCAAAAAATAGGGCATTGTTTTAAAAACTTAAAAAATAATTAAAATTATGTATAATACAAAGCTTTATTTCATATATTTCTCACTAGTTTAAACTAAATTAAGTAAATCTGGTTCAGAATTAGAGGTAAATAAGGGATAGACAAACCTGAAGTGTACAACTATTTTTTGCAATCATATATCGAGATATCATTAAGAATAGCAGTAGTGTATATCAGGGCTCGCACCGACAAAATTACTGATTCCCGAAATCGGGGATCTTATTTTTATGTCGGTGCGATCCCTGGTATGCATAACATTCCCTTAAAGTTGTAAGGATTCTCTTGTAAGGATTCTCTTTTCTTAAAGTTCTTCTTTCAGCGCAGCAGGCGAAAATTTTGAGAATTTTTGAATACCAAGTCACCTGTTTTCTTCCTCTTTTAGTGCCGCAGGCGAAAATTTTGAGAATTATGGAAGGTCAACGGTCAGATTTCTTCATTTTTCTGCCATTTCGTTACGAAATGCTAAGAATTGTAAACATTTTTCAAAATAGTAAAAATAGGGCAAAAATATGGCAATTGAAAAAATAGGGAAAAAATAGGGCGAAAAGGTCAAAAATAGGGCAAATGCCCTATAAATAGGGTAAAAGGGTCACCCTGCGTGGGATAAGTGATTATATATTTGTACCAACTTGTACTCGTAAATTGGTACGAAGTACGATACATGTACGAGCAACGAGTACGAGTTAAGAACCCGTTAATGATTAGGAAATCGATTTTTTCAATTGATATTGATAATATTAACGATTTTTGGAAAATCCCGCAATCCCGCGCGGGATCCCGCAAATTTAAAATGCGGGATTTTGCGGGAGTGCGGGATTTATCCCGCGGGATCCCGTCCCGCAAAGATTTTTAAAAAATTTTTATCCCGCGGGATCCCGCAAATGCGATTTTGCCGGTCTCTAGTCACGATAGTATAAAAGCCAGTAAAAGCGTCAGTCTATTTAGTTGAATCATACTACATACTAGCGGCACTGTTCTCCATGGTCTGTTCCAGCTCTCCATTCCCTTCGCATTCACATTGTTCATTTCAACACCGGATAAACAGTTATTCTTATGCGCGTCAGCATCGAACAAATCTCGGACACCTCCGGTTATACAACCGCCCGCCCTTTTGGGCTGTACTCTAAATAAATATTTAGTGAAAATTGGGCTAGGGACATTTGGGCGCTATTGCAGTTTCTGAAATTTTTGGAAAATTTCCGAAAAATAAATTTAATATTCTTAACCAAAATTTTTAAAAGTTTAGACAAGCTAGTTTTTGGATATTTAAGAAAAAAATTCTCTCTCATATTAAGGATTTTGCGAATTTATCTGCACGTTCATTAGCGTCTCGCGCCCAAATGTCTTATTGAAAAAAGTTTAGCTCTTCCCATTATTTTTTTCTTCTCGTGCGACTTTTTCTACGTGTTTTTTTTTGTTGTGCATAGTTTAATTTTTATAAATATTTAATGATTGATAAAAGGGGGGGGGGGGGGGGGAAGGACAGAAATCACTAAAAAAATTTTTTTGGTTAAAGATTTTTTTATTTTTTTTTTAAATTTATTTTATGACGTTGCATTTTTAAGTAAAATATTTAAAAAATTTTCTTCTTCCTTTCCCTTATTATTTTTAGAAAAGAAATGTCTTCTAATTCACAAAAATATTTTAATAATTTTCGTCGTCTATGCCGCAACAGGCCAATTTTGGTAACTAGTGTAGTTACTGGCGCTGCTTTGTCTGCTACAATTTATTATTTGGATGCAACAAATGAAGAACGTTTTCAAAGAAATAAAGTAGGTTTTTTATATTTTTAAAGTTCTTTAAATGTTTTTGGTTATTCGTCCCTCTTTTTACGTTTATTTTTGATTATTGGGTACTTTTAGTTCCATTCCGATTCGGGATCTAAGGAAATTTTTTCTGGAATTATTCGATTATTCGCAAGTCTTTTTAAAACTTTTCGCTTTAATTTCGAATAGTGAATGGCGCTTTTCATAGCCAATTTTTGTAACCCTTATTTGTTTTTTTATTTTTTGAATCTATAAATTTTAGAATCTGAAATTTTAATTAAACTTCTCCGGTTTAATATTTATTAAACTGTTAACAAGCAAAAATTTGTCAAAAAACAAATAAAAATGTCTTGATTCTCTCAAATTAGAGTGGTTTAACTAAATAGGTTTTTCTCCTCTTGAAATTAGAAATGTGGACATTTTTGCGTAATTTTTTAAAATTTCTTTTCTAGTCCAACTATTTTTCTTCACTTCGTGCGCATGCAGCATCTCCAAGTCTTTTAGAAACCAAACAACAACAATTAAATCGCCGTCCATCAGGGCCTCTTCCTTCAAGAAAAGAACTTTTGAATGGATTAAGAGAAGAAGAATTTGATATTTTGGTTATTGGTGGAGGGGCTACAGGGGCTGGGGTTGCTTTAGATGCACAAACTAGAGGGCTCAAAACTGCTTTGGTTGAGTTGGATGATTTCTCTTCTGGAACTAGTGTTTGTGGTTTTTTAAATTTTTTTTGATGAATGTTTGTTTATGGACCTCGTTTCGCGCTTTTTTACGATTTTTACTAGATTTTTAATTTTAAGTGTACAAAAATAGGAGAATTAGGCATTATTTTCGGGAAAAGGATTCATTAAATCTATCAAGTTTTGAAAACATTAACTAGGTTCATAATTTCAAAACTTAAACAGTTTAAAAATCGATAATAGATAGGGGGAACTTATATGGTTTAGGTACGCTTTTTTTAGCCACGCCCTTTTTTCCTTTTCCATCATTATTCTTTTACTCTTTTTCCCTCTCAACCATCAATCAATTGAATTGAGGTCAATTTTTTGTTTAAACTAAAGAGAGATAGAGCTTACTCGGATGACATCATCGAGCTGGGCTGAGACGAATGGCACTAAACTTGGTCCGTGAGATCTCTGAGCTGAATTACAGGGGTCCAAAAATTTCTAAAAATGGGTAAAAACGGTCAGCATTTTGTAAAAAAAAATGATTTTAAACGCGCAAAAACTGGTAAACAATAAAATACCGGATCATTAGTTCCAAAAAGTAGACCCGGGATACTTATTGCCATTTAAATAATTGAAATAGATAAAAATAAGGATATTGATTCAAATGTTAATTATATTTTGGTGAAATTGGAAAGGAAAATTAATCTTTTCCTTGTTAATGTCTCTCACTGAAAATGCCACAGGAAAAGTTAAGTAAAATCGAGGAAGAAAGAAAGGCTGACCATTCTGTCCATATTAAGGTTGATTGATGAAGGAAAAGGAAAAAAGGGCGTGGCTAAAAAAAGCGTACCTAAACCATATAAGTTCCAGATAGGGATTGGGCAAAATTACAAGATTTTTTAATTTAATTAAAAAAATTACTTTTCTAGTCTCGCAGCACCAAACTCATTCACGGAGGTGTTCGCTATCTTCAATCAGCAATAATGAAATTAGACAGAGAACAATATAGAATGGTTAAAGAAGCTTTGTTTGAACGGGCAAATTTGGTTTGATTTTTAAAAAATTCTTTTAAATTTTTCTTTTTTTATTTTAGTTAGAAATTGCTCCGCACCTTAGCTATCCTCTACCTATTATGTTGCCTATTTACAAGTATATTTTAATTATTAAAATAGTTTGTAGTTGGGAAGTTAGGAGTGTCATTTTGGATATACCCAAATTCTTTGATTTGTTTCAGTTTTTATTTTTCTTTTTTATGTTCCAAAATTCAGAGAATAATTTATTTTTGAGACAAAGAAATCTCTTAAACTTTAAATAAAATAAATTTAATTAATTTAAAAGGCTTTGGCAAGTTCCATATTATTGGTTTGGAATTAAAATGTACGATTGGGTTTCTGGCAAAAGATTGTTAAAGAATTCTTATTTTATAAATAAAGAAAAGGCTTTGGAACGTTTTCCAATGTTGAAAAAGGAATCGTTGAAAGGAGCTTTAATTTATTTTGACGGTTGGTTTGTTTGCTTTGGGGGTTTTTTAGTTAAATGATGGGGAGAAATAAAATCTTTAAATATCTTTACTTTCCCTACAAATTCTCTTATATTTTTTTTTGAAATAACGATTTTAAGGAACAATTTAGAAGAATTCTTCTTTGCCATTAAATATTGCATACTTCCTCTCCAAACATGAAAATTTATTTTTTTTTAGGTCAACATAACGATGCTCGTATGAATTTAGCAATTGTCTTAAGTGCTATTAGAAATGGGGCAAAATGTTGTAATCATGTGGCTGTTGAACAATTAATTAAAGATGAATCTACGGGAAAATTATGTGCTGCTAAAGTTAAGGATATGGTTAGGTTTTTTGTTAAAATAAATTTTAATTTTTTGGAATACATAACTTTCCGATAACAAATTAACATTTTCTCTCATGTAGGAATTTTGTTTCTATTTCGCTTTTAATTTTTTAAAACTGGAGCTCAAATAATCTCCCACTTTTTACATTATAAACCAAAAATTTATTACATTTTATGTCACGGGTTTGTAACTGTCCATAGTAAATAATTATTGTTTTAATCTTAAAAATAAAAAAATTAATTTTCTTCTTTTTAAAGATAACTGGAGAACATTTTATTGTCCGTTCCAAATGTATTGTTAATGCTACCGGTCCTTTTACTGATTCAATTCGTTTAATGGCAAATCCAGAAACTCAGCCAATTTGTTGTCCTTCTGCAGGTGTTCATATCGTTTTACCTGGTTATTACAGCCCTGCAAATACTGGACTTTTGGATCCGGCAACGACTGATGGACGTGTTATATTTTTCCTGTGAGTTTTTAATTTTAAACCTTTTTGTGATTAATTAAAATTAATTCAGTCCATGGCAAAAAATGACAGTTGCCGGTACAACAGATGCATCAAGCGAAGTTACCTTCTCTCCAAAACCTCGAAATTCTGATATTGAATTTATTCTTAATGAAATTCGCGGATATTTAAATAAAAATATTACAGGTTAATTCGTTAAAAATTATTTTTTAAATGAAAATTCGTTTAAAGTTCGTAGAGGGGATGTAATGAGTGCTTGGTCAGGTCTTCGACCTTTAGTTAGAGATCCAAACAAATCTGATACAAAATCACTTGCTCGAAATCACATTATTGAAGTAGCTGATGATTCTGGACTTGTTACTATTGCTGGTTAATTTAAAGTAAAATAATTTTTTAAAGAAAAATTAAGGTGGTAAATGGACAACGTATCGACATATGGCCCAAGAAACGGTGGATGCTGCTATTAAAGCACACGATCTTAAACCTAAAAATGATTGTATTACTGCTGGTTTATTACTTGAAGGTATTTTATTTGTTATTCTAGTTCTGTGTATATGACTACAAAACTTTTAAATTAGAAACGGGGTCCTTTTTCCAATAACAAAACTGATTAAAAAATGCTAATTTTGCTCATTTAGGTGCACACAATTGGGACCCATTGCTCTATGTCCATTTAGTCCAAGATTATGGAATTGAAGTTGATGTTGCACAACATTTGGCAAATAATTATGGTGATCGTGCTTTTGTAGTTGCTAGATTGTGTAAAATGACTGGAAAGAGATGTATTTTAGTTTTTTTAACTTTTGAAAATTTTAAAAATTTAAGGGCCAATAGTTGGAAATCGATTACACGGAGAATTTCCTTTTTTGGATGCTGAAGTATTTTTTAAATAAACTTAAAAACAATTTTTTTCTCTTCAAAAGGTTGATCATGCAATAAAAGAATATGCGTGTACAACTGTTGATGTTATTGCTAGACGGTTACGGATTGCTTTTTTAAATACTTATGCGGCACATGAAGTTCTTGATTTGGTTGTTCAAATAATGGCAAAACGTTTAAATTGGAGCAGAAAGGAAATGGAGGTTTAGAAATATAGTTTTTAAACGTTTTTCTTAAGTTTAAAACAAGGAGGGCTATAATTAACGTTCCCGTCGAAATAAAAAGTAAAAGACCCAGAAGGGATTCGAATCCGGTCCATTCACATAGCTAGGCATGATTTTTTCTATTAGGCCACATTAAAAAAATTTTTTCCTTCAGAGACAATTACAAATGGCTAGAGATTTTATTAACAATGAAATGGGACAAGAAGCACGTATGCAATCAATGTCAAGTGTCCCATTAAATTTAACACGTGAGGAAATGCAAGCGGCAAAGGAAAGGTTTAATCAATTGGATCGTGACAGAAAAGGGCATATTACTGTTAATGGTTAGTTTTTTGGATTGAGGGGAGGGGGGGGGGTTTAAAAAGAAATTTTTATTATTTTAGATATTCGCCGACATTTCCGTGAACATGGCAACAAAATTGATGAACGTCTTTTACACGAATTGTTGAATGAAGTCGATTTGAATAAGAATGGAGAGTTGGAATTGGCAGAATTCTTCCAGGTAAATTTTATTTAAAAAGATTTTTTTAATTTAAAAATTATTTTTAGTTATATAGCGGTCTAAAAACTGGACATATTACACAAAATCGTTTGGTAAGATATTTGGATGAAATGTCAGTAAAGGATGTTGCACGTTCTGGAGGGGGCTTTTAAGATGAGTTAAAAATAATAATATCTTTTAATATAGGAAAAAATTAGATTAATGTATATTTATTATATAATTAAATAGAAAATAGTTTTATTTTATAAAAAGGTTATTTTTTAGTAAATTCTTTAAAAAAATTGTTAATTCAGATAAATTCTAAGGCTGTAAACTTTAACTTTCTGAATCAAAAATTAGTGTTCGGCAAATGGATTTTTTTAATGTCAATACCAAAAAGTATTGAAAAATACCGAGTCAATACTTTTGGGAGCACCGAACCGTGCCGAACATTATCGAAAATTCCAGGTCTTTAGAGCTTTTAAATTTATCTGGTTAATCTAATAACAGAATTTTTAAATAAAACAACATAGTAATTATGTATAAAGGCATAGAAAGAGAAATCAAAAAAATTAGGTAAAAAAGAAAGTAAGTACTCTTCATTTTAAATTATTTCTGTGCCTTTAAGTATTTTAATTAGCCCAACAATTTTTTTTTGTGTTTTTTGTTATAATTGTGTGCTAAAGTTTTTAATCTCTTAATTATTTAGAAATAAGAAAAGTTAATCTAGAATGTCAAATTTTAATTTTAAAAATCTCCAAATTATTTTATTTGTCGATAAAAAATTTCTTTTTGATTTTAATACATAAAATTCTTAAAATGTAAAATTAAATTTAAAGCAATTTATAAATTTAAAACCAAAAGAAAATTGAGTAAATTAATAAACGGCAAAACAGTATTTTAAGTTACAGATTTGTTTCGTTTTCTCTTAAAGTAGAATCAATTTCTTTTTATCAAAACATTTTTTCAAGCTTGAAACTTATTCTCGATATTAAATTTATTTTTAGTTTAGAGGTTCAATAAAATCTTCAGGGATCGGACGACCATTTCTATCGTAACCATCCAAATATATAATCTGTGGTAATAATGTGAGTACATTCTCACGGTAATTTGGAAGCTTCTTAAAAGAAAAAATATTAAATCCAAAAAAATATTTGAAGGCCGGTGTGGGACTTTTTAAACCCCGCTATTTCTGCGGTATCCCATTCAGCAAAAATTTAAAAAAAAATTTTTAATTAAATCGAAACGAACCGTTACACTACAATCAGTTAAATCTAATACTTTCAATTCCGAAAGATTTTTAAATGGTTCGAGTGCTTCGATTTCCTTAAAAAGAAATTAAATTGTAAATTAGGAAAAAATATAAAACTTCAATTTTGTTAGCAGATAAATTGATAAAACGAAGACGTGGACAGTTTTGCACAAGTATTTCAAACTCGCCACTTAATTCGTTATGACTGAGATTGATTCCACGTAAAGTTGGAAGCTGGAAAGAATAAAATGTTTTCATAATTAAAAAGAAAAAAAGCAAAGTGGTGGAAAAGTCTTAACCCAAATTTTAAAATTTTTCGTGTTAATTTAAAAATTTCTATTATAATGTAGTGTTCTTCACGGTTAGATACTACGCTGTATTACCGAAAAGTAACGATTAGGTACTTATCGGTACTATCGATAACGAAAAAATCCATTTTTAGACATTAACAGTCTTTAAATGATTTTCTAATGATAGCAACCTATATCTTGAGGAATTTTTTTGCTCACTCACTGTAGGAAATTTGAAAAAATTATTGTGAATACATATGAATAAACAAACTCATCAAAATTTCGTTTAAATAAGCGTAAGAAGTTTCAAAAAATATTTACGAAAAAAATAAAAAAAAGTAAAAAATTCCATACTTTAGTGTTTCGACTATTGCCATGTCGAAGAAAAAACGTCGAAAGACCGAAGAAGATTAAAGTGTAAATTAAAGATAAAAATCTATAAAAATTTTATTTTCCCATAAAACCCCTTACATTTAAACATTTATCTTTAATTTTATTATTCATTTTTCTAATGCTCCCTTTTATCGTTTCAATTACTCATAAATTGTTCCTCTTCCATTTATTCTTCATCTTTCCGTTTTATAATAAAAAATGGCTATTACACTAAAAACTCCATCTCCTTTTTGCTGTTATAAAATAAATCACTAAACAGCCTTTTGGTGTTCATTCTTATATTTTTACAATAAAAATCAAAGTCTTCTCTCTCACTTTTAATCGTCCAATATTTTTTAAATTGTTTTAGCTTTAAATTAATTTATTTTGTTGGATAAAAATTAAAAATTTAATTAAATTGAATTTACATTAGAATTCCAAGAAAGAGGAATTTTAATTAAAAGAAGTTATACTAAGATTTCAAAAGAAGAAATTTTAAATCAAAAGAAACCAAGAATCCTATTTCTTTTGACATGGGGGCTCAAGCCTAAAACGACAACCGAACAACAAAATTCATCAAAATTAATTAAAAAGAAATTAATTAATTTTAGAAGAAATTAATCGAATTAATTAAAAAGAAATTAATTAATTCTAATTGTGGAAACAACAATTTGAAATTATTGTGGAAACAACAAAAAAAAAAAAAAAAGTTTTTGTGCTACTTTAATTCAAATATTGGAATTTTTGGTCAAATTATTGGAAAAATTGTTTAGAATTGTTGGGAAAAAAAATTTGTAAGTTAATAAATTTTAAAAGAAAAATTTATTAAAAAGAAATTTTGAAATAAAAATTTATTAAAAAGAAAAATTTAATAAAAATAAAAATGAGTAAGCCCTTAAAATCCGCTACAAAAAGAGCGGCTGAAAGTATACAGATAATTTTGGACCAGCCGGTTCCAAAAGAACCGGAGGAAGAAGAAAATCCAGACTACCTATTAGAAGTTTGTGAAACACTGGATTTGTTAAATAATGACATAGAAGAGATGACGGACGCCTATAATGATTTAAAAGAGGCAAATAATAAATGGTCATCTCTAATACAAAGAAGTACTCAAATTGAAAAACCACTAAATGAAGCTGCTTATGATGAAGCGACTAATCTATATAAAATTGATGATACATTAAATGAAGCTGGAAAAAGGCTTAGAAAATTAAAAGAATCAGAAAGGAAATTAAAATTAATTAGAAGGAGAGAAGAAAGGAAAGAGAAGAATCTGACGATGAATAATACCAACGGCCAAAAGTCGTTTGGTTTTAGCTTTAAACCACCGAGACAAGAACTCTCGAAATTCTCAGGAAGGCATATAGATTGGCCTGAATGGTGGCAAATCTATAATGCTACAGTTCATGAAGCTGAAGGAAACGATGAAGTTAAACATGCTGTACTCAAGCAGTGTGTTATTGGAGAAGCAAAACAGTTAATAGCAGGCTTAAAATTAACTGATTACGATATAGCCATAGAATTGCTTAAACAGAAATATGGCAATGAAGAAGACTATACGAGAAATCTACATTCACAACTTGAAAATTTAGCTGTGTGCCAAAATTTTCAAGATTGTAGAAAGTTTGCAATAGAACTTGAAAGGATATGCAGACTCTTAGAAAACAATGATCAAAATATAAATGGTCAAGGAGTTTGGATGAGCTTAGAAAAAAAGCTTACAATCCCAATTTTAAGAGAAATGCAAACAAAGAAGGCATTAGCAAAAACAATGAATATAAATTGGAACACTGAAGCATTTCGAAAAGCACTCAGGGAAGTGATTGAAAAGGAAGAAATAGTCCTTTCAATTCATGGAAAAATACCTGAAAAAAGTGGAAATAGAAGTGAACCAAAAAATTCAAACAAAAATAGAGAAAAAGAGTTAAATAGAACTCTTGCTAATGTTGAAGTAAAAAATAAGAAGGAAAAAGATAAAAACAAAATTGAAGGGGGGAGACGTTCACCAATATACCCTTGTATATTTTGCGGAAAGAAAAACCACTGGGGAGATGAATGTCGAAAAATTAACTCCGCTAAAGAGCGACGCAAGAAATTAATCGAACTAAAAAGATGTTTATTTTGCATAAAACCCGAACACGAAGGAAATTGTAAAAAACCGATTAAATGTTTTCACTGCAGAGAAAAACACAACACAGCTTTATGTGAAGAAACTTACAAAAATAAAGAAAATAATATTAAAATAGAAGGAGAAGTTTTACAAAATTCTGCTATTTTACGAAAGCCTCGACAAAAAAGAATACTACTTTGCCGAGAAGCTGTTCTATTCAATCCATCTAATCCAGACAAAAATTATAAAGGAATCGTTTTCATCGACTGTGGTTCGCAGAAATCTTATATCAGGAAGGGAATTGCTCAAAAGTTAGGATTGCAAACTTCTCAAAAAGAAGTTCAAAGAATCCAACCTTTTCCTGCTAATCGTTCCCCAGTGATTGAATTTAATGCTGAAATATTCAGATTAGGAATAGAAAAACATTCCAAAGGACAATTGATTGTTGAAGTTGGCCAGTTAGACAATTTGAACAGTTTGATTTCTCAAATGCCTGCAGTCTTAACACCTGAAGATGAAAATGATATAGATCTAAAATCTAATAAAATACCTCATTCTTTAGTTGAGCCTGATGTTTTATTAGGGGTGGAATACTTCTTTGATCTAAACTTAGTTCGCAAGAAAAAATTGAATTGTGGACTTTGGCTCGCTGATAGCGCAATTGGTCCCATAATTGGAGGAAAAGGACAAATTTCCAATAATAAAAATTTTCCCTCAATTGATAGATCAAATGTCGTTATTACCGAAGAGGATGATTTTGGCAATGACACTTTAGAGGATAAATTAGAAAAATTATATTCCTTAGACAGTATAGGAATAAATGATATATCTAATCAAAAATTAGATGAAAAAATAAGGAATGAATTTGAATCGAAATTAACCTTTAAAAATGGACGGTATGAAGCTGGCTGGTTATGGAAAGATCCCTGTCCAAAACTGCCTAGCAATTACCGAATGGCTAAATCGATGCTTTTAAATCAAATAGAAGATAAACAAAAGAAAAATCCACATCATTTGGCGCTCTATGAACAGACATTCGCGGACCAAGTGGAAAAAGGAATCATCGAAGAAATACCAAGAAACCAAGATGATGGTGGACAAATCCACTATTTGACGCACTTTCCGGTTGTAAGAGAAGATAAAACTTTTACAAAATTCCGGATCGTATTTAATGCAAGCGGAAAAAGCCGGAAGGATAATCCCTCTCTTAACGATTGTCTACACCAAGGCCCCGTAACAATACAAGATTTATGCGGATTACTTATGCGATGTCGTCTGCCCACGTATCTAATAGCAGGAGACTTGCAAGCAGCTTTTTTACAAATAAGCTTGCGACACGAAGACCGAAATTGCGTTAGATTTTTGTGGGTTAAGGACGTTAAAAAACCAGCCTCGTCCCAAAATGATGAGGATTTGAAAATATTCAGATATGCCCGAGTAACCTTTGGCGTTAATTGTTCTCCCTCCATTTTAGGAATGACGGTAGACTATCATTTAGCAAAATATGATAGCTCAACTGCCGATAAATTAAAAAAGGCAGGTTACGTCGATAACTTTCTAATCGGAGCAGAAGAAAAATCTGAAGTTGAAAAGGATATCTTGGAAGCGCGAAAAATATTTCAGGAAGCCGGATGGAACTTTCGTGAAATATTTACCAATGCGATCAAACAATTGAATGCTATACCTGTTGATAAGCTTCCTATAGAAGCGAGAACAACGAACTTACATTCAAGCGCTAAACAAAAAATACTAGGAATAATTTGGGATACATTCTATGATGCACTATCTTTAAAACTCCCTGTACCAAAAATGACTGAGGAAAAGCAATGGACAAAAAGAAAAGTACTAGCAACTATCGCTGAATGTTTTGACCCTTGCGGCCTCATTTCACCCGCTCTCCTAAAAGGAAAATGGTTGATGCAAAAATTATGGGAAGCAAACCTTCCTTGGGACAATGATTTACCTGAGGATTTAAAAACGGAATGGGAAGAAATCGCCACCGAATATTTAAATTGTAGCATTATAAAAATTCCTAGAAGAGTGCTTTCATGGAAATTGACAAAACAGACAAATTTCCAATTATGCGCATTTTCCGATGCTTCAGACAAAGCATTAGGATTCACGATCTATCTCCGCTCTCAAAAAGGTGCGGATATCGAATCGACTCTGATTTTCGCTAAAAGCCGAGTAAAGCCTAAAGCGCAAATTGGCAAATGCGAAGCAAAATTAACGATTCCACGGATGGAACTTCACGCCGCTTTACTAGCCACAAAAGCGTTGGAGTACACAGAAAATATGCTCGATATAAAAATTAATAAAAAGACGCTATGGACTGACTCGCAAATAGTCATTCATTGGCTAAAAAGCACATCGGAGCAAGAACCATTCATAGAAAGACGTTTAAGGCCTATTCGAAAAAATACGGTCAAATACATCCGAACCGAGGAAAATCCGGCGGATATGACGAGTAGGGGAATTCCTCCGAGCGAATTAGCCAATAATGTCTTATGGTTCAAAGGACCTGAATTTCTTCATGAAGAAGAAGAAAATTGGCCCAAAACAGAACTCGAATATGTGCCGGGTGAAAGGGTAGAAAAATTAAACCCTCAACCATTTCATGAAATGTGTCTACCAATAAAGGAAGACGCTTATTTGGTTGAACCTGATCGATTCTCTAGTCTTAAAAAATTAAAAAAGACTATTGTTTACATCTTTAGAGCCATTAAAATAAAGGTTATAAAAAAGCATACCCCTAAAAATGAAAAATTATTAAAAATAAAAGAAGTAATGGAAACAAAAGCTTGTTATCCTAAACCTTCTGAGATGGAATTAGCGGAACAATTTCTGATAAGAGAAAGTCAAAAAAATGAATCCTCCATCAGAGGATACAATTCAAAATCTTCAATTGTTTAAAGACAATGAAAATATTTATAGGTGTAAAGGAAGAATAGAATTAAGTAACCAAAATGAAGAGACAAAATATCCCATTTGGTTACCAAAAAATTCAACTCTAACCGATTTAATTATCATAGAAGCACATGAAAAAATGGCTCATTCAGGAACCAATGTTGTTCTTGCCACAATGAGACAAAAATATTGGATAACCCGGAAAAAAGTTGAAAGGTGTGTGAAAAAATGCCAAATCTGTAAAAGATATTGGATTAAACCGTACGCGCAACCTCAATTCCCAACTTTACCAATCGAACGCGTAAATCCATTTCGTCCCTTCATGCATTCCGCTGTTGACTACTTTGGACATGTGACTATAAAAACAACTAATGGGGACCATCAGAAAAGATGGGTCGCGGTCTATACTTGCACAAGTACCCGCGCCGTTCATCTTGAAGTAGCGGAGGATCTTTCGGCGCAAGCCTTCCTACATACATTTAGACGCTTTATAGCTCAACACAAAAAGCCTAAATTGATGATATCTGATAATGGAACTAACTTTAAGGCCGCTGAAAAGGTTCTTACAAGTATTTGGAAAGAAAATCAAATACAAAAGTATGCGTCTGATCATGAAATTAATTGGATTTTTGTTACTGAAAGAGCACCTTGGAAGAATGGGCTAGTAGAAAGGATGGTCGGATTAATAAAGTATTCATTAAAAAGAACAATTGGTAAAAAATTGTTGTTCGAAGATGAATTTCGTACTTTAATTAATGAGATACAAACAATTGTTAACTCAAGGCCACTAAACTTTCTACCCGATTCAGAACATGTAAGGGCATTAAGGCCATTAGACTTTCTTATCCCTTACGAAGAAGGTAACGCAGATTTCCCACATTTACCAAAAGTAGATGTTGAGGACCCCGATTATTTACCTGAAAAAATAAAAAATAAAGATAAATTAGTAGAAGAATTAAAACTGGTATCTAACAGATTAGACCTGTTTTGGAAAATATGGTCTAATGAATATTTACTAGCGCTTCGCGAAAGGAAAAATTTTGTCAAAACTGATAAAACCGCAGAAAATTCTCCTCAACTGGGAGATGTTGTTATCATCAGAGATGATGATATAAAAAATCGAGGAATATGGAAGTTGGGCATAATCGAAAAATTACTTCCAGGAGGAAGAACTGCAGTTTTAAAGACAAAAAACGGGGAAACTCGAAGAGCCGTCAATGATTTGTTCTGTTTTGAAATAAATGGGCAAGAAAAAATAACACCTGAAAGAAACGAACAAATTGTTGAAAATAAATCTAAAAATAAAAATTTAAAAATTAATAATAAAATTAATACATGTCTTTGTAATATTATAATTTGCAGGCCAATGGAAGAAGGAAAATCAGAAGCTTCTTTGGACTATGATGAACAACACGAAAATTTAATTAATAAAAATGATGTAGTTGAAGAACCACCAAATAAAGTCGTTAAACACGATGAACGTAATCTGAATGATCGATTAAAATCCTTTGTGTCAAAAGTGCAAAAAGAGAAATTACCACAAAAAGAAGTAATTAAAGAAGTAATTCCTAATCAGGCAGTTGTTTGCACATCCCGACTGGAAAAGTTACTACCAAAACCTCCATCGGAAAATAAAATTAAAGAAAAAACTGACCAACAGTCGGTTAAGGATAATAATATTAAAGAAGAAAACGAGGGATATGCACTTTTGCATTATGGTTGGTCGGTTATGTACGGTTGTTCACCAGGTACACAACGACACAAAAATTGTTCTTCAATAAAATTAGGCAACATAATCGATCTTGCAAGAAAAGAAGAAATAAAAGAAGATTATTCGGCTCTACTTAGTAAAACAGTTGAATCTCTCATACAAGTAATTTTGTGCTTCTGGGCTTTGACCAAAATTCGAAAAGATTGGTGGAAAAACAAAAATGAAAAAACCATCTCAGTAGAAGCTGGGATGGAATTAGTGGATCAAATTTTGAAGGCTCAACGACCAGCACATATTATTCGAATCATTGAAAATAATTCAAATAAAATTTACCCGAAAGGGAAATTAGATGAAGATTTTCGGCCTCGGAAAATTAAGCCGGCTTTAAGCCTTTGGAAGGCAGCCTGCGAGATGGCTGAAGAATCATTCGACACTAGGCCTTGGTTGCCAGTTCATTTGAGAGGTCAAAATAAAATGAATGAAGAAAAGCATGAAATAATTCTACAAATAATTGAAAATGTGGAAAACTCTCTAACTTATATGAGAAGTATTGAATTCTTCCCAAGAGCAAAAACAATATTAAATGAAGTAATTATTGTTGGGGACTCTAATGCTGAATTCTTGACTAAAATATTCCACCAATGTTATTGTATCGTTCCAGCACCGTTAAATGAAGTAAAATATATATTTAACGACAATATATTCTTAAATCCGAAAAATAAATTAATAATTATTATTTGGATTGGAAATGATTATTTAAATCAAGGAGGTCATCCTGAAGCATTTAAAATGCATTTAGAAGACTTTTTTAAAAATTGTGCCGAAAAAATCGGAACAACAATAATATTACCGCCGCCCTTTAATATCAACGCTATAAATTATTGGGAAAAAATTAATATCTACCTTCAAAATAAAGGTAGGACAACAAAAGGTGGTAAATATATTTCCAACGAAATTGGAAGCAAAGAAGCGATTAAAATGAAATTAATCAATAATGAAGGAACAATAACAACAAAAGGAATTGATGGAATAGTTGAAAAATTAAAAGGAATAGAACCTCGATTAATGTCTCAAAAAAATATTAAATTATATTATGATGAATCTGAAGATGAAGAGCAAAGCTTAAAAAATCATAATACTTATTCTTACCATCAAAGTACATCAAGAGGGAGCTCCAATTCTTATAAAAGAGGAAGTTCCAACTCTTATAAAAGAGGACAACACCGAGGTTGGAGAGGAAGTAATTATTCAAAGGATATTAGCCCAATCAGAAACACCAGACGATTCAATATCGTAGATAGACTTTCTTTTGTCTCTATGATCATGATCTTGGTGATTGGACTCGTCTTGTTTGTTCCTTTAATAAAAGGTAATGAACCAATGATATGCCCACATGGCATTAATTCTAAAATATATCATATAGGCCATCCAACGGAGCATTGCCAAGAACTGTTTGTTCATGAAAGACAAACGATAAAAGATGTGAGTCTGGAAGTTTATAGAGCTCGAGATACCACTCAATCAATTTCGGGATGGCACTGCACAAAAGTAATGGAAAAATTAACCTATTATACAAACTGGTTAAATTATAAAATTATTTCTCCTATTCAGAAAATCGATTTGGCAGTCACAAAAGAAGACTGCTTGAAGATGAAACATTTAAATAAATGTTCAGATGCAAATAATAATCTTTTAATGGGAGATGATGATTCAAAAAGGACATTAAATATAATTCAACCAAAGTTTGAATATTTTTCTGGCGGAAAAGAAGCTTCCGTAATTAATTGTTTTTTAACAAAAATAAATATTTTCTTTTTTCCTAATCAGGAATCAATTGAAAATCCAATGTTGGATCTGGCACACTGTAAACTTTCTGAGAACGAATGTGTGTTGAAGGATAATTCTGTACTCATCTGGAATTCTCCAAAAGAGAATCAAAGATGTAATTATATAAAATTGGATACATTCAAAGGAACCATGTATGATAAGTGGTTCTTAAATAATGATAACACTTTTTCTTTAAGCTTCACCAAACCTGAAACTATAACTGACTGTGAAAAAGAATATGTTAAATCTGATCAACTCTATGTTATCAAAGTAGTTGATTACAAAGAACATTTTTTAGAAGTCAAAAACAAGAAAAAACGTTCTTTAAATAAATTGAAAAATAAATTGGAAAATTTAAATTTAGATGGTTCAGTACGAGTTTCACAATTCTCTGCTGGTGAAACAGCTCAAAGATTAACCACAGAGATTTTGTTAAAAAGAGCTTATAATCATTTGGCTCAGACAATTTGTAAGATTAATGCTGAACCACAATTTATAACTTCTTTAGATGCTACAACCTACGCACGGAAAAAATTTGGCACTCCTTATATCGAAGCTGAATGGATCACTGAAGATACAAAATCTTCAGAAGCGTGGATTGAGGTTTGGCCTTGCATTGAATTAAATTGGGAAAAAATAAAAATTAGAGCAAATAAAAACAATTGCACTAAGGACCTCCCAATTATGGTTAAAATGGAAAAATATAAAAACGATCTGTTTCTAGACCCGAAAAAATTAATAGTAAAGGAAAAGTCTGAAATTGGAGACTGCACTAAGTATCAAACTCAAAAAGTTTTGATACGCGGGTCAATTTATAAGATAGATCAGAGGAAAGGCACCTTATCCGAAGTTTCAACCCAATCCATTATAGAAACCCCAAAAGGGTCTAAATGGAATAAAGCTCCAATACTGGATAGCCAAACATTTAAAGGACATGTTTTAACGAAAATAAATGATCCTGAAAAAATTATGATGCAAGCCTTTAAAGAATTTAGGATTAGCAAAAATAGTGAAAATATACACAATTCCAATAATAATGAGTTCGATGCTAAAATAAGTAACGAAAAACTTACCTTCTGGCCATTAACCGAAATATGGGAGAATTTTAAACAAAAAATGATCCTCACTGTTAGCCTAATTTGGATTCTAATCTGGACTTATAAAACAATTTTCTTTTTATATAAACTGTGGAAAATTGTTAACATGCCTAATAAACGGATAAAAAATATTCAAAAAATATTTCTAAAAAATAATTCTTTTGAGGAACAAGTGGTCACTCCTGAAAATGCTCATGCTCCCGATGACCAAAATAACTCTCAGAGGGGGAGTGTTTCGACTATTGCCATGTCGAAGAAAAAACGTCGAAAGACCGAAGAAGATTAAAGTGTAAATTAAAGATAAAAATCTATAAAAATTTTATTTTCCCATAAAACCCCTTACATTTAAACATTTATCTTTAATTTTATTATTCATTTTTCTAATGCTCCCTTTTATCGTTTCAATTACTCATAAATTGTTCCTCTTCCATTTATTCTTCATCTTTCCGTTTTATAATAAAAAATGGCTATTACACTAAAAACTCCATCTCCTTTTTGCTGTTATAAAATAAATCACTAAACAGCCTTTTGGTGTTCATTCTTATATTTTTACAATAAAAATCAAAGTCTTCTCTCTCACTTTTAATCGTCCAATATTTTTTAAATTGTTTTAGCTTTAAATTAATTTATTTTGTTGGATAAAAATTAAAAATTTAATTAAATTGAATTTACATTAGAATTCCAAGAAAGAGGAATTTTAATTAAAAGAAGTTATACTAAGATTTCAAAAGAAGAAATTTTAAATCAAAAGAAACCAAGAATCCTATTTCTTTTGACATTAGGAAACCTAACAAGCGAGATAAGCATTTAAAAATTCTCGTTTATTAATTAGTTGAAAAAATATGTATTAATAATATGTAGATCTAAAAAATAAATCGAAAACGTAGCTTTGAGTGATGGGTGTTTTAGTTTCACTTTTACAAAGGAGAAAATACTTACAAATAAGTACATTTTTAACATTTATGAACATTTTGTGATCCAACAAAGTTAATATTTAATGGGGAAAGGCTTATTTTCAAAGGAATAATTTTAAAAAAACACTTAACTGATAAAAAGCAGATAAGCCTTGTGTTTATATGTGTAAAGTCAAAAAATGGTAAAGTGCAATTACAAAAATTGTTGGTCGATTAATGGATAGAAAATGATTTAAAATATCAATTGAGTGTGAATTAAAATGACTAAAAAAACATTTAAAATAAAAACAAAAAATGTTTTTTGATGATTAATTTTAAGAATGGGGGAAAATTATTTGAAAAATTTAATTTTGGAATTTCGGCCGCTATTGGGAGAAGACCAAACAATTTAAAAAATGGAGAGGGTACTTATATGAAGCTATAAAGATTTCCAACACATTTAGTACCAAGAATAACTTGTCTCACACATTTGCCTTGTTTTAAGTAAATTATTTCCCTATTTTAAACCTTTTTGGACATAAATGACACACTCAAATAAGGCAATAAATAATCCAAACAAAAGCTAACATTCGAATGAAATATGAATGGGGGTTTGTAAAGAGAGATTATATAGGCCAGAAAAATAGAAGGATAGATAAAGTTTCAGAAATGAGAGAAAATATAAATAAATATATTTCAGCTAAATAAGAAAAATTTAACTATAATTAATCACTCTTTTCACTCTGCAACAAAGGAATAAACAAATAAAAATTAAAGATCAGAAACTAAATAATTTATGTAAAAATGAACATTTTGGTTTTTTAGAATTTAAATAAAAAATTAAAAAGGATGATTATTTGTATATAAAAAATAATAAGAATTGCTTAATCCTCCCTATAGAAGAAAAGTTAAGATGAGGGGTGCCATTTTAATTTAAAGAAATCTCTAAATTATTTTATTTTTCGATAAAAAATTTCTATTAGATTTTACCACATACATAATTCTTAAAACAAATTCAAAACAATTTATAAATTAAAAACCAAAAAAATTGAGTAAATTTACAAAAAAATTTGGCTCTACTCCAGTTTATGCGTCCAATCGACTTTTATGCGTCCAATGAAAGTTTATGCGTCCAATAAAAAGAAAATTGGATTTTTCTTGGTATTGCACAGTTGTGGTATGGGTCCACAACATTTCTTCATGTTCAAGACCTACGTCCACTGGGTCTGGGACCATTCCATACCCGACCCCTCGAAATTTCTGAAAGTTATAATCGTTTTTCTGAACTTTTAAAAAATTGGCTGTAACTTTAAAAAATTTCGAGGGGTCGGGTATGGAATGGTCCCAGACCCAGTGGACGTAGGTCTTGAACATGAAGAAATGTTGTGGACCCATACCACAACTGTGCAATACCAAGAAAAATCTAATTTTCTTTTTATTGGACGCATAAACTTTCATTGGACGCATAAAAGTCGATTGGACGCATAAACTGGAGTAGAGCCAAAAATTTTGTATTATACAGATTTATTTATCAACACTTTATATTTAAAGTTTATTTTCATTATATGTCAATAATTCAAATCCACTTGAAAGGTCAGATTTTTGTGATTCTCTGTCTTCTTCTAATTCATCTAAGAGAGAATTTAAAATAAAATTATAATTTTGAAAATAGCCATTTATCCCTAACAAAACTAGCGTCTAAACTTTTCAATTTAATGGGCCCGGTATCCGGTGACTGTCCCGAACCGGGTCAGTCTCTAAAAGGTCAGTCTCCTTCCGCGTCCGACTGATAAAAATTTTTTAAAAAAATCTTATAAAATCAAGATCTCTCAAAAGCAACTTTACCAATAATTAATTCAAAACAAACCAATCTTTTGCGTTTCCTTTGTTTCTTTAATTTTTTCCTCAATTAATTGTTGAAAACTTTCTTTTAAATTTTTAATTTCATTTTGATGTTCGGATTTGAGTTTTTGAATTTCCTGGAAATAAATTTTGGAAATTAATTATTTGAAAGACTGGAAAATTTAAAATTAATAATATTCAAATTAAAAAAAAACCCTCAAAACCGACGAAAATTTGTCATTCTCGAAGAGATATGGATAAGAGATATTCAGTTATTCTCTTATTAATAAATTAATTTAAATAATTCCCCCGCCTCTCTACCTCATTCATTTTCTTCTCCAAAATTTCCAACGCCTTCTTATTTTTACTTTCAACTAACGAAAGTTTAGTTTGAAAATTATTAAGCTTTCCATCAACTTTCTGAATTAAAAAATAATTTTTAATTTACATTTTCGATCTCTAAGTCTCTAAACCTTTTCAAAAACTTCCTCATAATCACTGTTAAATTTATCATCACCAAAATTCTCTTTGTCATCCTCAGATTCATCTGAAAGGCAATCTCCTAAAAATTTAAAAAAATTTAAAAAAATTATTTAAAAATTACTGTCATTTATATCAAAACCGTCCAAATATTTAATTTGTGGCAATAAAGTAAACACATCCTTTCGGTAATTTGGAAGTTTCTTAAAAAAGAAATTAAAATATATAAAAATATTCAAAATACAAAACCGTTACTCTACACTCAAACAAATCCAATTCTGACAATTCTGAGAGATTTTTAAGTGGCTCGAGTGTTTCGATTGTCTTGAAAAGGGAAAAGTTTATTTTAAAAGTTTTTTAAAAATAAATTAACTTTAATTTTGTTAGCACTTAAATCAATAAAACGAAGACGTGGACAGTTTTCCACAAGTATTTCCAATCCTCCAGTCAATTTATTATCACCTAGTTCGATTGTATGCAAAGCTGGAAGCTGGAAAGAAAAGAGGAAATTTTGTGATCATTAAAAAGGGAAAAGATTTGAAAAAAAGGCCTCGACCATAGGTTAAAGTTTAGGTTAAATCAACTCAATTACCAAAAAACAATCCAAAAAATACCAGTGAATACCAAAAACGAGCTCTTTATCCGAATTAACCACAGAAATTTCTTCTTACTATTTTTAACGTAAAACGGGGGTAGAAAGGTGTAAAAAATATTTTCACCAAAAAGTTTTAAAAAAATATTTTTAAAAATTTACTTTCGGCAACCCATCAAGCGAAGTCAATCCAACATACTCTAAATAAAGTGCTGTCAATTGAGAAAATTCATCGGTCAGACCGCTGATGGTTTTTGCTCTGCAATGGTCGAGAGAAAGTACTTTAATTTCGGATGGCTTTCTGCCTAAAATTAATTTTCTAAATTTAATTAATAAAAATATATAATTTACCTTTAAGTTCTTTTATAATACGCTTTTCCATTTTAAAACTTTTCAATTAATAAAAAACTAATTAATAAAACTGAAAAATAAATAAATAGTACATAGTAAATTATTCTTTAGAATTATTCTTTTTTTTTAAATTATTCTTTTCGATAAATGTGATATGTCATTCGAAAATCTCGGCGAGTTAAATCGAAAAGAAGCAGGGGAAGAAGTCGGTCCGATTCTCGGGGACGAGTAACAGAACGGGAATTCAACAACATGGAAGTTGTATCAACAGTTTTGAGACGTAGTTGAAATTAGATAACCAAGACAGGATCTCGATTAAAAATCTCGGTTATAGAGATCGGTATTTTTATTTTAGATTTCTTTCACGATTCTGGATACGTCAATTTTTTATTTTTTGAGATTTTCGAGATTCTCCCAATCCGATCTCTAATTAAAACAGCCAACCAACTTGTCTGTAGTTGGAACAGCTCTCACCGTCGTTGGGAAAATTGTATTTTACTTCAACAAATAGACATAAATTAGAGTTCAGCGCTCCGAAAATAAAGGAAAAATGAGGAAAAAGTAATACATAAGTAGGGACTTAAAAAGGGCGGTAAAATAATAAAAAATAAAGGAGAAAGAATACTAGGAAATATTTATTGAGGGGCAACAATTTGAATATAATAAAGGAAGAAATATTTAAAATAAAGATTGAGGAAATATTTGAATATGTTGAGAAGTGGAGCAAAAAAAAAAGATAAAAAAAACTTGCTACAATTAACAATAAGAAACTATAAATATTTTAGGTGACTTCCAAACGTAAGGATAATCATCATCATAACCTCTTATTGCCCAATCCAAACATGTTAAAACTCCGATTCTCAAGATTTAATCTCCTGGAATAACAACTAGAGATACAAAAAAGTCCAGAGGTACCCTCTAATAAAGAAATTTTACCTTATTTACAACACATTTATCTATTAACTTCCAAATAAACTTTCGATTTATTGGATTTGCCTTGATATCTTTGGATTTCCCTAAAATAATATACAATTTCAATGCCAATATTCCCGGATAATCATCAAGTAAAGGCTTTGGATTTTTATCGTCATTAAAATATTCTCTATCAATTTTACTTTCTGACAAAATCCTTTCTTAAATAAAAATAAATTTTGTTAAGAATTAATTAGAAGAGCCTCTCACTTTTGAGTGAATTATCCTTTCCTATCAAGAAATTGAAGAGTACCGATTTTGTAGTATTGTGTAGAAGAATTTGATCACTTTAAATTGTTATTAAATATATTATTAAGGATCAAAGAGAGGAGACTAGGAAATTTTATTTTTTAAATAGGGGTTTGAAAATTTTCTTTAATAAATGCCCGAATAATTATTGTGTTTATTTAGATTTTCGCTGAAAGTATTCAAAAGGAGAATAAATAATCGAGAGATCATCTTCCTCTAACATTTTTCAATTTTTAATTAAACCCCCCCCCCCCCCCCCCGCCAACTTTTCAACAAAAATATCAGCAAATATTTCCAAATTTTCTTTTCCTTCTTTAAATAACATCACTCCATTCCATTGAATATTCTTTAGCTTTTCGTATTCAGTTGATTCTTTTAACGAATTTAGGCAGAGGTTACTTGCACCTTTATTTGTTAATTCAAAGGCGTTGTTAAGTTTCCAATTGTTTTCAGAATTCACAGAAAGTTGGCTGGGATAACAAAATAATATCATAAAAGATCTTTTTTAGAATCTAAAAAATGGGTTCTTCTAATAAAATATAAAATTTATATTTTCTTTCGTTCAAAAATTAATTTTTAATTTTATTTAAATATTTAATAAAATAATTAGAAATTGGTTGATTAATTCTGCCTTTTTTGATTCATTTCTTTTTTAAATTGATTTTCTTTTAATTAAAAAAAATTCAAAAAAAATTTCCTTTCGTCCTCAATGACTAAAAATTTTAAAATTTTTCTTTTACCGTTTAAATACACACAATTAAACACACTCCTCACCAATTTCAATCATGCCTTTTAACATTTAAATTTTATTTAATTTTATTTTCTGATTTTTGTTCTTCTCTTTAAATTGTTCTAAATTAGTCTCGAATTTATAAAATTAAATTGTGGGTATTTAAATATTTGAAAAAGTTGCCAAATAAAATTTTACTTTGAAGTATTTGTCTGTGTTAAGGAAGTTCTGTCTCTTTGATGGACACAGACAATACAATATTACACATTATTTCGTTTTTTGTTTAACCTAAGAGATAAAAAAAATACTAAATTATTTTTGCTATAAATAATATTTTCTTGAATTCTCCGGATTCTGATTAGACATTTTTAGATATACCCACAAAATTAGTACACCTTAATTTTTAGATATGTTTTTTAAGTTTGTTGGCATTTTTCGCACTTTAAGGGCATCTCAAAGTTGAATAAGTGAGGTTTGAATGTGTAAATTAGAAAATTCAGAAAAGAGCAAAAGACAAAACGGATATAGACACATCCACAGCTCTCTTGGATTAACATAACGAAAGTTAAACTTAATCAAATAAAAATATATTTATTGTCCTAATCTCCATTTTAACCCTTATATTTTTACTAAATTTCATCTACCTATTTTTAATTCTCCAAATCACCCCATTTTAATTTTACAACATATTAAATAAATCAATTAATTCAAAATTCATTTATTGCCAAATAAAAAATTAAATAAAAAAATTTTTTTCCCTTCTTAATGCGCTCAAAAATACAGCTGTTTATGTACACACATTTTATAAAACCTTTTTATTATTTTTCATTTGTCACCTCCCCCTTCCCCCTCCCCCCTTCCCCTTTTCTTTCTTCTCTTCCATTCTCGAACCTTTTAAAACCTTTTATTGTATAATTTGAGAGATTCTTTCTTTTCTTTTCAACCACAACCACTTTTATGGCCAATCCATTTTACACACTTAAACATTTTTAAATTTTATTGAGATGAGTCATTAGAGTAAAATTGGAAAAAATTTTCTTTATAAAATTTTAAATAAAATCTCTTTATTAGATGACTAGAAGGTTTGGGAGCTGATTTAAAAATTTATTATATAAAAAACGAGCTTTTTGAATCCAGACGTCCAAAGAGCGTCCAAAAAGCTTGTTTATCGAAATAAATCCTTAAGTTTTATCTAGAGCATGAAAATCTAAGAATTATTTAAAAATTTTGTAATTTTTGGTTAAGTACACAAGAATTTGAAATCAAAAAAATTTCAATTTTCAAGTGAAAATATTGATATTTTTCAGTTCTTTGCCTCCATAACTTTCAAAATTAGGTAACCAAAAATTATGAAATTTATAAAGAAGAGCTAGATAATAGTTTAAAGAATATTTAAATAAAATTTCAAGTCTTTAGATCCCCAACTTTATACATAAATGTTTAGCCCAATCCCTTCTTACGCCCAAACATGTCTTTATCTTTAATTTAAAATCCTTTTCTTTCTCTCGACTCAAACAAACTCCTAAAACATTTTCATTTTTACATATATTTCTTTATTATTTTTCAAAACTAACAAATAATAAATTCTCTCAATTGTTTATCAAGAGTTTTCACATGTTTTTTTAAATAAATAAATGAATAAATATACATATTTATATTTATTTATTACTTTATTTTATTTTTCAAATTTCGCAACTTTCTTCTTTTTAAATTTTCTTTTGTTATTTTTTAAATATAAAAAACAAATTTAATATTTTCTTGTCACCCTATATATTTCCATAAATCATTTAAAATATTCTTTAGTCTTTTTATTTTTTTAATCAAAAAAATTATTTTTCTTTCAATCATTTGAACACAATTATTAGTCATATCAGTCCCCACTAAATATTTAAATAAGGAAATTTTGAAAATTTTATTATTATTTTTTGTTTGGAAATGTGTGTTTTTAATACAAAAAATTTATTGAAATATTTGAAAATTAAAAAATCATTTTAAATTAAAGGAAGAACCTTCCTCCCTCCCCCATTTCTATTTTCATTTAATTTCTCTCAATTTTATTTTAAACAATAAAACTAACATAAATATCAGAGATCTAGCTGGGCCTGGACCAAGGCCTGGGGATTTCCTGTACCCAGAGTCCAGGCCATTTCTGACCTTCTTGGGGTTTTCCTGGACTACAGGCCCAGGATACGGCCCAGGCCAATAAATCAAATTCGAAACCAGGAACAAGCCCAGGCTTTTCAAAAATCTCGATCTCTAGTACATACATATATCTTATTTAACGAAAATTATCATCGAAAATCACCAAAATTGGTGTTATTGGACTATTTTAAGCAAAATTATACGAAGATAACAAGTACATAACGATTTCACATAATGGTCTAATGAAACTAGTTAATTAATTGTAAGATTCTAGTAAGTAAATGCCTCAATTTCTTTCAATTTCAACATTTTCAACATTCCCTCCCCTCATTTGTCCTTTTTTCAAAAAATTCTTTTTCCTTTCCCATTTTTTGTTTCAAACAAACATTTTTATAAAATCACCTGACTTGTGTTGACAGTCACTTTTTCCTTTCTTTCATTTCTTTTTCCAGACAGAGAAAAAGAAAAATTTTTTAAATCAGAAAACAGAATGGCCATTAAATAAATAAATGAAATTAAATTGTTTTTTTTAAATTATTTTCCCACAATTTTAAAATAGCCTTGAAAATTGTTGGTTACTTTTTTTTTGGTATCATTTAAAAATAAATTAAAACAAAAAATTTTTGAAAGGTTAAATTACAAAATTTTAATTTAAAAATATTTTTATTAAAAAATTGTTTTTAAATTAAAAATAAAAAATGAATTTAAATGTATCTTCAATATCTTCAATTACCTTAAAATTTAAAATTATACATAAAATTGTTTTATTAAAAAAACTCAAATTTTGTTTAGACATGCTCAATACATTCCTTTAGTTTCACTAAAAGTTTTAAGACAAATTTTATATCAGAAATGGTTTCTCCATCTTTTTTTTAACCAGAATTTTAAAAATTCTGAAAATTTTTAAAAAATACATAATGTTGAGAATATTTAGTATATAATAAATTTCAAGGCTACCTTTATCTTTGTAAAATTTTTAATTCGTGCAAGGACGTTGAGGATTCCCTTGACTATAAAATTTATATGTGAAGTTTTGAATTATGTATTTTATAGTAAAATTTAGTATTTCACTTAAAATTCTTAAAAATTTCAGAATTTTTAATTCTTTATTTCATATAATATAAATTCTACAAAATCTCCCAATTAAAATTCCTTTCATTTTCTCTTAAATCTTCAAAAAGTTTCAAAATTTAGAATAGGGTAGCACCCCGATTTTTTAAGGGCGGAAGTGTCAGGTTTCGGGGGAAGGGTGCTACCCTAATTTAGGGTAATTTAACAATTTTTACAACCCCCTACCCCTAACTCCCTTAAATTGTCTCAAATTTTTTAGAATTTTATATTTACTTTTAATTTTTAACAACTTTTTTTATTATTTTCTGGCAAAATTTTATTTTATAAAAAATTCTTTTCATTTTTTTCTATATTTTTTCCCTCTTCTTTTTCTCTTTTGTTAGCAGTTGTCTTTTTTTTAAGCTTTAATGCCGGCAAGAATTTTTTTATATTTTCACTTATTTAATTTCCTCTATATTGATTTTATGGCCATAAACTATATATTTACTTTATATATTTTTTCCTTTCTTTTGCGTGTTCGGCACATTTTTAGTAAAAATAAAATATTATATATTAAGTAAAAATTTATTTTCTTTTTTATCTGTTATTACTTTTAAAAAATCTAAAAATAATCTTTTTTTTTCTTCTTTAATATCTTTTTGGTCATTAGCTGAGTATTCTCTTTTTTTATTTAAAAAAGAAAAGAAGGGATTTTTATCCCCTTTTTTAACATTATTTTAAAGTTGTCATGTTAAATGACGTTAAGCCGCGCGCTATAATTTTGCCAAATGAACATTTTGAACTGTGAAATTTTACGTCGATATAGCTTATATTGTTGTTTAACAAGGCTAAAATTTTCAAAATTTTTGGTAAAATATTTCATAATTTATAGAGAAAACTGGCACAAAATTCGCCATTTTTTCTAAAAAATTGTATTATTTTCTTCCATTCCTTTAAATATAAATAAAAATTCTAAATTTCTAAAATTAAATAACATCCATTTATTATTACGAAATTTAATGACTCTGCCTTGTTTTTTGTCTATTTTATTAACACTCAATTTACTTCAGTTCCCGGAACTATTTTTTATAGAGGAGACTGTCTATAAAAAATTTTGACCTCTACGGATACGGAAATTAAAAAAATATTTTAAATTAATTTTTAAATTAATTTTTTATTATTTACAATTCTCTTTTGTTATTTCAGTTTCCTTTCTAATTTATCCCACATCTTCACTTATACTCTCTTAGATATCCCATTGACTTTGATTGAAGGGATAAAGATTTTCTATATTTTAATTAAATCTCTATCCAATCTCTCGTATCCCAACTACCTAGAATCCCTATCCTTTTGAGTTTTCCATCTTAATGTTATTCCAATAATTTAGTAATTTAATTTTAAATTTTTAGAAAAGAATTTATTTTATTATTTTAATTAACTAATTAATTTAAAGAAATATTTAATAATAATGTCTAGAGTTGGTATTTTTGGACAAATATCAGAAATTAATGATCACCTTTTTCTTAGGTAAATTTAAAAAAATAATTTTAAATAATTATTTTTTAGTGGTGCCGGCGTTCTTCGGCCAGAGAAGCTCAAACAAAAAGTAAAAAAATAATTAAAATAATTTTATTTTAAATTAAATTAAAGGGAATTACTTGTATAATTAATGCAACAATAGAAGAACCAACAACTAATTTATCTGGTAAAAGAAAAAGAAATTTTAATTAAAATTATTTTTAATAAAGGTATTGACTGCGTAAGAATCCGCATAGAAGATTCTCCTTATTCTCGACTTGATAATTATTTTGATTTAGCTGCAGACAAAATTAGATCTATTAGAGTAAGGGAAATTTATTTAATATTATATGTAGTTCCGGAAAGCTGTCTATTGCACTCATTTGACATGTCTTTTATCATTCAACTTCCGGAAAATATATTTACGAGAGAATATTTATTTTTGGAAATAAAGAGAAATACAAAATTCCGGAGATATAATTCCGCAAATGTAATATAATAAATTCAGGAAATTAAAAAGAATTCCGGAAAATATACTAGAATATACACATTTCCGGAAAATGCACACCTAGGACAGTACATATACATATTCACTTCCGGAGAATATATATGAGAATATAAAATTCCGGAAATGTAATATAATAAATTCAGGAAATTAAAAAGAATTCCGGAAATATATATACAGAATATATGTTTCCGGAAAATACAACCTATGACAGTATACTCACTTCCGGAAAATATATATAAAAATATAAAATTCCGGAAATGACAGAGAAACAATAGTATATGTCCCGTAATGTTTGCAATTTCCGGATTTTTTTCTCTAGTATCCAATTACTTATACATACTTCTTTTAGGAACGTGGAGGTAAAACACTCGTTCATTGTGTTGCCGGTGTTTCACGTTCTGCTACTCTTTGTATTGTCTAGTATGTTCTTTTAATTTTATTTTTAGTTTTAAAAATTATTTTTTCAGTCTAATAAAATATGAAAGAATGTCATTAAGACAATCATATCATTATGTTAAATCCTCTAGACCAATTATTCGGCCAAATCTTGGTTTTTGGCAACAAATGGTTGATTATGAACGAAAACTTAGGGGTAAATAAAAATAAATTGAGATAGGTAAATATTTTTTTGTTAAAGGACATAGTACTGTTACAATGATTCCAGTTGAAGGTTCGCCTTTTGCCTTTCCAGATGTTTATTCTCAGGTAGAAAAGATTTTTTGTTAAACTTAGAACATAAAATCTTAGTTGATTTTGTTGTATGTAAGGAGTAGTTAACCCAACGGGACCTTCGCCCTAAACAAACAAACCTTAATCCTTTCAACATGTTTTTCGGCAACAACAAAGGATAAATTGTTCAGAATCCCCTAATCCTTTTAACATATTTTTGCGGTAATATAAAAGGGTAAATTGTTCGGAAACCCCTAATCATTAAAGCAAACAAACTTAAATGTTTAAATTTTTTTTTTCATAAACAAAATTTCCGCAAATTATTTTCTATCATTTTATGGTTTAATCTATTTTTTTCCCTGTTCTTAATATTTTTGAATAATTCCCTCGTTTCATTTTTCAAATATTTCTCATTCCAGCTTATTCAAATTGTTGCCTTTCAACCTTTATTTAATTTTATTAATCAAACTGCCTTTCCCATCCTACCGCCTTTCCCATTCCCTATATATATTTTCAATGTTTATTTTGGACCATTTCCCTTGAATTTTTATTTTTACTGATCATTTTTCTGAATGATTTATTTATTTTGTATTAATTTATATATAATTTAGAAATGGCAAATAGGGCAAATAGGCATGTTGTCGAGGCCATCCTCGACGATAAAGTCGAGGATGGTGATGTTTATTATTTGATTAAATGGGCTGGATATTCTAATAGGAGAAACAGTTGGGTGATCAGTGAGGATTTGGTCTTTTATTTTTCACTAATTTAAAAAAAAATTTTTTCTTCTTAGGACGCCGATTTTTTGCTTCCACAGTATCTTCAAAATAAGTCTAATAAATTTTTTGAAGATTTTGTGGATCAAGATGAAATAAATGAAAAAGAAGAATTTTTTGAAAAATCACTTGAGGCAATAAATGAAGTTAATGGAAAAATTGAAGAAATTGAAAATCGTTTGTCAGATAAAACGAAAGGGAAAGATTTACGTGGTGTTAAACAATTAATTAATAAAAATGTACAAACTGGACAGGAAATTCAGGCAAAAAACAAAGAAAAATGAATAAATTAATTTTTGAATTTTTTCAGTTATTAGAAGATCGATTGAATGAAATTTCTAAAAAAGTAAATAAAATGAACGAAAAGAAACATTTTGCTGTGCCTGAACTTATTGAAAAAGTAGAGGAACTTGTTGTTCGCTTTAACTCGTTACATGAACCATTGGAAAGAATGAGAGCAGAATTAGATGAATCAATGGGTTGGCATCAATTAGCTTTTGATGTTGATGTTGAATTACAGTGGATTGGGGTAAATATTATATTTTTTATTTTAAAAAATATTAAAAATTATACGTAATTGGTAGGGGTGAGGGGGGGGGGGGCGGATTTGAGTAGTTCGGTTCGGTTTTTCGTTTCGGTTAGTCGGTTCTGGTTCGGTTAACCGAAAGTTTAGTTCGGTTAGTCGGTTCGGTCAACCGAAGAATTTGGTGAGCCCGACAACCCTACTTCTCACCCCTAGTTATTAATTTATTTTTTTGTGTCCGGAAAACAAAATGGTAATTCCAAGGCTGGTACCCCTTTTTTCCTTTCTATTTTTTTTTCGATTTTTTAAGCTTTTATGGCAAATTATATATCGTTCGAAAGAGCTCTTCAAGCTGAGTCGAACGGTACTAAATTCATCGAAATCCGACTTAGATAAACATAGTTATGACAATTTGTTTTAACCCCTTTCAACATCACAAAAAGCATGTCCGTTGAGGATTTAGCTTCATAATTCTGCTCAGAATCTCCAAATCGAACCTATCTTAGTATCATTCTACTCAGCTCGAACAGCTCTTTCGAATGATATATTGTAAATTATATATCAAGCAAACAAGCTCAAAATGGTCACAGAAAAAAGGTGGTCCAGCCTTGGAATTACCAACAAAATCAGATTATATTTTACTAAATAATCTATATTTTAAGGAAAAAAAATTAATAGTGGAATGTCCACAACTTGGCCATTCTTTAACAGAAGTTCAACAATTAGTAAAACGACACGAACAATTAATTGCTGAACTAGATTGTCATCAACCTTTAGTTACCGAATTATTAAATAAAGGAAGAAAATTGGCAAATGCTGATGGAATAAATAAACATTCTTGTCATCAGGAGATCGATGCAAAATGTTTGGAATTATCTAATTCTTGGAAAAATTTAATGGAAATATCAATAAATCGCCGAAACTTGTTGAATAAGGCCCATTCAAGGTATATTAAATATAAACCCTAAAAATTGATTTTTTTAAAAATATGGGTTGGCTTTCCATGGTTAGTCGGTTCGGTTAACCGAAGAATTTGGTGAGACCGACAACCTACTTAGCCTAAAAAATTTTTTAAAATTTTCTAGCAAAATTTTTTAAAGTTATGGTTCTGGTTCCGGCCGGTTCCTAAGAAAAGTTCCGGGAACCGGAACTCAAATTGGATCCGGTTCTGGTAAAAATACCGGTTTCGGTGACACTAATATTCTCTCAAATAAAGTTAAAATTCCAATCTTTTAGATCACATGTTATTTAAAAAAATTAATTATTTTGACAAAAAAAACTTATTTATTTTAAGAGAACAATTATTATTTGAATTATCTGAGGCTGAGAATTGGCTGTCTGAGAAAAATAAACAGATTGAAACACGTGAAGGAGCTATCTCTGAAGGTCATGGTGGTGCTCAAACATTACTTGCTTGGCTCAAAACTTTACAAAATGAATTAGGACCATTTCATTCAGGCCTTGTTGAATTGAAAAATAAATGTATTAACCTAAAAGATTTTGGAATTTTTGAGGAAGAAATTGCTGAAAGAGAAGTAAAAAATTATTTAAAAATTTTTTTAAAAATATTCATTTTAAGTCAAAAATAGAAGAACAAGCTAAGAATTTAGAAGAACGTGCTCGATTATCTCTAGTTAATCTTAATAATGAAGAAAAGGAAAATTTACCTCAAGGACAAGTAAAGAAGAAGAGGACTAGAAATAACGCAAGTTTAATAAATAAAATTAATTAAGAATTATTCTAGGAACTAAGTTTAAAATAAATAGAAATGGATGAGATGAGATCTCGAACAAAAATCTAAATTTATAGTATAGTATTAAGGTTTCCCTAAATTAGAGATTTCGATATATCTCTTTGGGACACGCCCGAATAGTCGCACGGCCTCGACAAGCCATAACTTGCTTAAAGATTTTCGAATTTTTCAAATTTAGTATTAAACGATTCCTCTCATCGAGCTAAAGAGATTGATACCAAAATTGATAAGGGCCAGAAATTTTTTAGCAAGTTATGGCTCTGCGACTAAGTGGCCGCGCGACTAAGTGGGCTGTACTCATCTCTTTCTAGTATAAAAGATGGAAAATTGAGCACATCGAAGAGGTTTCGCTAACTTCTTCAAACTTCTTCGGACCTTGGTCCACGCCGTAGGTTGTGGAAGGTGGTGGACCCTGGTCCACGCTGTAGGTTTGGAAGGTGGTGGACCTTGGTCCACGCCGTAGGTTTGGAAGGTGGTGGACCTTGGTCCACGCCGTAGGTTTGGAAGGTGGTGGACCTTGGTCTACGCCGTAGGTTGTGGAAGGTGGTGGACCTTGGTCCACGCCGTAGGTTTGGAAGGTGGTGGACCTTGGTCTACGCCGTAGGTTGTGGAAGGTGGTGGACCTTGGTCCACGCCGTAGGTTTGGAAGGTGGTGGACCTTGGTCCACGCCGTAGATTTGGAAGGTGGTGGACCTTGGTCTACGCCGTAGGTTGTGGAAGGTGGTGGACCTTGGTCCACGCCGTAGGTTTGGAAGGTGGTGGACCTTGGTCCACGCCGTAGATTTGGAAGGTGGTGGACCTTGGTCCACGCCGTAGGTTTGGAAGGTGGTGGACCTTGGTCCACGCCGTAGGTTTGGAAGGTGGTGGACCTTGGTCCACGCCGTAGGTTTGGAAGGTGGTGGACCTTTGTCCACGCCGTAGGTTTGGAAGGTGGTGGACCTTGGTCTACGCCGAATGTTTTGGAAGGTGGTGGACCTTGGTCCACGCCGTAGTTTGTGGAAGGTGGTGGACCTTGGTCCACGCCGTAGCTGGTGGTGGACCTTGGTTCCAAATGAAACGGGTCATGAATTTTATAATCAGTATTTAATGTTTTATCGATTGAGCTATTATATATCCATAAGCGATTTGAATTCCTCATGTCTTAATTCGTCTTCGTCTCATCCATTTAAGTTTATTTTTAAAAGACAGTTCGATATGTCAGTCCCTGGGAGGTTACTTCAATTTTTCGATTTAACATTAATTTTTCCAATTTAAATACTTTCAGAGAAAATGCGGCGACGTAAGGAAAAGGCGAAAATTGGAAGGACTTAAACAACAATAAAAACAAATTTAAATTTTTTAAAATATTATTCTTTAAAAATAAATTATTAAAAAAATTTTTTTAATTTTTATTTAAAAATAAAAAATAGGTACAATATTTATGAGTAAGTTTGTTAGAGCTGTCCAAGAGCGAAAATTTTGCAAGACTCGAAGTACTAAAGTAGAAAAAATAGACTAAAGTACTAACAAGACCTTGGTTTATTTTTCGTGACTTTGGCATATGATATATAATTTCAAAAGTTTACAGGAAATAAATCAAAACTTGAATTAAATACAGGGCTTGTGGAACGAAGGCGTTTAAAATATCGTTTTCTAAAGGTAAAATTTTTCTCCATTCCTATGTATTCCTTTTGTGTCCTCTCGAAAAATTTTGAGAATTTGAAAGGCTCTTTTTTACAATTTTTAACTTTCTCTCCCTTTTTCTCCCGTCTAAAAATTTTTCGCTCTTCTCTTTTAGTGATGTATTTTCAAAAGCTTTAAAGTCGGGACAAGGAACACTTCACCACCAGAACCAAGACCGAAAAACCCCACTAAAAGTCTTATGGCAAGAATCAAGTCCGAATGTCCCGGACAGCTCTAAAGTTTGGGCACATTTTAATCAAAATTGGCTAAATAATTAAATAAGCATTAAATAAAATTAACAGCCCAGAAAAATTTCATTATCAAAAAATTACTTAATCAAATATTTAATTAAAGCACATATTAACTTATGTTACCTAAAAATCCAAACAGTCCTCCTTCTTAGCATTCTTGAACGTCTGTGTATTTTGTCCACACAGAGGACATGTAGGACATTGAATTTTTTTCCATGCGATTGAAACTCGTTCTTTCGCATGTTTTAAACAAAATACATCATGGCCACAAAATCCGGCAAAATCAGCTGGATCTTTACACTTTTTAGCAATACAGATTTCTCCACCAAGCTTCTTTTTATGAAGCTTGGTGGAGAAATTGTTTCCATTCATTACAGCAGGCAGATCAACTAAAGGAAAAATTTTTTAATTGTTTGACTGATTAAGAAATAACTAGATGTATACTCACAATTTGAGGTAGATTGAACATTTGAATTAAGCTCCCATTCTTCATCATTTAAATTTTCTTGTAACCCTACAGTAAGGAGTAGATCATTTGCGACTGAATAGAATCAAATAAAGGGTAAGATAGGAAATATACCACGGTCGGCAATAGGATATGATCCGCAACGATGAGGTGCCAATACTTTATTTCGCTCAAAATTTCGCATCGAGCTAAACAGATCCAATTGTACCTGGCCAACGGAAGGGGCAAAAGGCATTATGAAACGTCGAGATGCGGGTACCCGAAATAGAAAAAATTAGTATAATGAAATAGTGAATAAATAAACCCCTTCGGACCACTTTTCTAACGTTTCTACACGTATTGCATTATTTACCATAGCCATGCGCAAAATTTGGATAGAACGTTTATCCTCCTGTTTTTCTTCGCGCAATAGCTGAACTTCAGATCGCAAAAGCTTTATTTCAACAAGAGCGCTTGCGAGATCCTTCATTGTTACAAAGTCGGACATTTTAATTAAAAGATTTTAGAGAAACAAAAGCTAAAATAGAACAATTTATTAATAAAATAATAACAATTAAATTTTATGAGAAAACAATTAAAAATTCAAGGAAAATAAAAATTAAAAACATAAATGAAATATATTTAAAAATAATAAAGTATAAAATATTAAATAAAAATATCAACTAAAATTCATCGAGAAATAAATATTTCAATGTTTTTGACCATTCTTTATATATATTCTCCACCCATTTGCCAAGCGTTGCTAATCTGCTAAAAATAATATAAGATCTGCATTTACTCAAAAAACTATAACTTTCAATTCTCAAAACAAACGGTGAATTGTTTATTTGCCAAGACTTTTTTCTACAATTGCGCAATCATTTACTGAATAATATCTCTCTTTAGGATAAAAGGAGTAAAAATAGTGGACAGAATTTTTATAAGTGTCAAGATCTAATATAAATTTCTAGACCGGCAATAATTAATCTAAGAGGAAAGAAAAGGATTAGAGATTTTTTTAAATAGCGTAAACAAAATTTATATATTTATTTACCAAATAGTAAAATTAAACAAAATTGGAAAAGAAAAAGCAAAAAATTAATTTTAATTATCAATTTTAATTATATCCGTTTTATCTTCAACTTTTCTATACTTCCTTTTTGTCTTATTTGATAGCAAATCTGTTGCTTCGCAGTTATCTAATGCACATTTTTCACAAAATTCAATTTTAAGAATTATTTTATCCCCTTGACGAATTATTTTATCTTGAGAGTTAAAAAGACGTTTCTGACAATCTGTAATAAAAAATATTAAAAAGTTTTTTCGAATTTAAAAAATTACCATAACATAGATGGTATTGTAAAACTGTTTTTCCCTTAGTTAACTTCCAGAGGTGAGTTGCGGTTTTTGATGTTTCTTTGCTAGATTTTGGAAACAATTTTTTCTCATTAGATTTATTTGGCAATTCTTTGATAATTTTAGGAGAATCTTTCATTTCTAATGATTTATTTAGTTCTAAGACAGGAGGAGGAATGAGAGGATTGAATTCAGGGATTTCGAGATTGTCCATTTTTTGAAAATTTTTAAAAATGATTTTAGAAAATGAACGGGAATGAAAAATATCAACCCTTCCACCATTTTCATCGAATTTTCAATTCATTCTAAATATTTTAAAGAAATCTTTAATATCCAACTATTCATTTCTAACATTCATTCATAAAATATAATTTTTTAAAATGGTACTTCTAATCGATGAGGTTGCAAAAATATTAAAATGCAATGTTAAATCTCTAAGAGACGAGCTTAATCATCCCTCTAATCGTGAACTTATTTTGAACAAATTAAAAGGAAAAAAGCTTAGAACAACTTATAAAGACAATAATGGATTTTCTAAAACAATTTTCTTTGACGATCTTAGCAATAAAGGTGCAAACAATCTTCAAGCATATGGCCGTCTTTCTAAACACTTTAATGTTACCGTAGCGGCACATTTTTATGCACGCCACAGAATTAGATTATTTCATCCCTTTCTTCATTGCGTCATTGAGTCCTTTCATCGAGGAGAAAACCGGTTTTATCCGCTGGAATTGCTTGAACTTATTGAGGAAAAGGAAAATCAAAAAATATTTATGAATATTTTTAAAAGTGACACTTCAGAGAATCTAAACAAAACTCTCATCCGAGAGAAGAAAAAATCAACGACTCTTTCAGATATCGAAGAGGAGGATGAAGATGAAACCTATCTAGAATTTGTTAATGGATGGTAATGTGTTTCAGAATAAATTACAATTCAAACACCTATTTTGTTAATTATTCCTAAATTGTATCTTCTCATCACTAATTTTGCTATTTTTCCTCTAAAAATACTATCTTCCTAACATTAATATTTTATAAATTGACTCTTTAAAATAAATTTATTTGTAATAAATATTATGAAATGGTAAAACAATTTGAAAAATAATTAAAGAGATAAACTCTTAACAAAACCAAAGTCTAAAACAGAAAAATCACTAGGACGAATTATTCCTTTTCCAACAAAAGGTTTATAAATTTTAGTTAATGGTTGAGAGATGACACAACCTTTTTTGACAGATGGACGAAGAAAATTAGGATATATTAAAGGTATTGAGATAGGATTACAGGTTTGAACATATTGTAAAATTGAATTTTTGAATGTTTGATATCTTAGTCCTTGATTATTTATGACGTCATAATTTAGTGTTATTCCCCGTACCTTTAAGACATATTCTGGCTCTTCATTATGTACAAATTTTCGTTTAAGTTTCAGACCATACTGCTTTGCACCACCGCTACAATACTCAAGTATTTCATGATTAGGGTATTCATCTGTAAGATCTCCAAGGTGAGGTCCAAGTTCCAGAGGATTATTATCTTCAGGGTGTGAAAAAATCAAAGAATCTGTATCAGTATAAAGGAGGGTGCAGTCTGGAGTTCGTGCCACTTTTTGCATAAGGCGAAGGAGATGGAGTCTTGCAGCAGAAGTAGTCCATAAGGATATCACTACATTTGAACACTCGTGTTCCTCTATCCATTCCTTCTTCTTCAGATATCTCAGCATAATTGCTTCCTTTGTTAATTCATCAATTGATACCATCTCTATAGAACGATTATCTAGGAAATCAGCTAACTCAGATGGATCATCAGTTATATAAGTTTGTGTTAATCCTTGGTTTCTAAGTGAAAAACGTCCCCATAAATTATTAACAGCTAATTTAGCTATTGCCCTTTTTCCCTTATTCGGAATCATCTTTTCTCTCTCGATCTTCATTCCAAATTTTTCCCAACATTCTTTAACAAACTTTTCTTCTTCAATGGCATTTCCTTTAATTTTATCATCAAATCCTGTGGCATGGATTTTTTGAGCTAAAAATTCTCTCATATATGGACGAAAAAGCTCATTATCTGACTTTGTATATTCCAGAACGCGATAAACTTTTTTAACTTTATATCCTTCTTCCAAAGCAGCATTTAATTCTATAGATGTACAACTGCTCACCCACCCTCGTTGTCTTTCTGTATGAGTACAACTGTAATTCTCAATTATATTTCCTTTTGGGTTTAATTTTGAACACTCGGCGCATAGGGGAAAAAGCAACCTTTCTTCATCAAATTTAGCTGGCAGAACTGGAATGTCAATCTTCTTCGGAGGAATAACGAATACTTTCAGTAATGCTAGTTTGTAAGGATTGTCTGCTGCGCAAGTCCAATGGACTTCTTCATTTAAAGTATGTACAATAGGGTGACCGATTGGGTAATTGGTGTTAAAATTTGTAAAGGGATAAAGCGAAGTCACGTCAAAGTAAGAGATTTTCTCGCCGGGCCTTGCTTCATGTATTAATTTTAATGGTCCCGTCCTTCCACCAAAAAAGCAAGCTCTTATTTCCAAAGGTCCTTCATCAAGATAATTGTTGAATTTTTCCTTCATATCACGGTCATTTTCAAGCATTTCCCTAATCTCGCACTCCCAAAAAATTTTTAAATCTATTCCTTGTTCCAAAATAAATTTTTTTCTTTCGTAGTCTTTAAGTCTTCTTTTTCCAGCTGTCATTCCATTAGGTAACATCATATTATCATCAGGATAGCAACTCTTTTTTGGGCATCCATGCCATGCACACCCATTTACTTCAATACCAAGATTTCGTTCCTCAACCCATCCATCTAACTTAAAATTTCCAACTTTTTTCTCTCCACCAACTGAATGTGCTGTCTGGATTTTTATATTATTTTTTTCAGAATACCATTTTAAGAATTTAAGTGCCAATAGACTCTGGTTATCGACATTTTCATAACCGCGCTCTGGAACAATAGAAAGATGTTTTTCTTTTAAATGGTTAGTGCGATAATGCTTCATGCACGCACTAGCTATAGTCATGCATTCTTTCAAAACATCGATACCTTCGTGATTAGATCGTTTAGTTGTTTCAAAAAATTCGTTCCTAAATGCCACAAGAGCACACATCAAAATCTCAACATCGTTAGTGCAATAACTAGCGAGAGCTTCATCTAATAGAAAGGGATTTTCTTTATTCTTCTCAAACCATGCATCAAATTCCTTTCTTTTTGTGGGCATCATACCAGAGGCCATATAATCTTCCTTAGACAAGTATATCTTTTTCCCATAATTTTCCGGACGATTGGCAAGATGGGGAAAGAAAGGTTTGTCATCAATATCAAGACCAAAAGTAGGAACAAGTGCAGCTAATGCCATTGGCATTAGATTGAATGAATCACGAAATATAATATTCGAATTGTAATTTGGCCTTTTCATTATTTTCATTTCATATAGCTTGTTTCCTTTCATGAGTACTTGTGGATTGATACCTTCAGAGTATAATTGGCTCGCTACTATTACCATGTCGAACCGACCTCCAAAATGTGAATATGCAACTGTATCATAATCTTTTGGTAATTTATAAAGAAGCCAATAAACGAAGGCTTTTAATGGATCTTTATCTATAACTTGTTTATCAACTCTTGTCTTATTAAAAGGTTGTTGGGAGAATGTGATAAGACGGTTTTGACCACAAACTTTACAATTGTATTTTTTCAAGCTTTTTCGCCATTCTCCATTAATTATACAATCAGGACAAGCTACCTTTGCAGCAATAAAATTAGGTTCATGAATCCTTTTATCGGGTGAGACTGAATTAACTTTCTTATATTGAGTTGTTTCCAGATCAAAAGAGATAAGTCGATAAGGGAGTTGTCTCTTTGGATTGAGTATTCTGATAAAACATCCTCTTTTGGGATCATGGAAGTCCCCACATCTACCACAGTATTTTTCCAGACATATATGACCACTACGCCCATTTCTTTTGTTATCATATACATTCCATATTTCACCACATTTATCACACTGCTTGGAATTGTTACAAAATCTACTAATTAAATGATGATTATAACAATTGTAGCTGTCAAATATTTTGTTGCATCCAATGCATTTTTTATTATAATTATCCTTAGATTTGCAAGGAAAACCAACACCTACTTGAGAACACTTTGAACACCGTGAACGACACTTAATTGAGTGATTTTGCGATCTATTATAAATTTTTTCACAAGAAAGACAGTATGGTTGACCAAATAATCCACCAATTTTCTGTACCCCATCAAAATGTTTGTTGTTATAATAGAGAACGATAGGGATATTAAATTCCTCAGGACCAAATTTAAACAAAGGTTTATAATGTCCTGAAGATCCAAAAATGTAGACTTTAAAAATAAACTGCCCTGTGAAGAGAAAATTGTTCCAGTACTCAACGATTTTTGGCACCCATATTTCTGCATCGTACTCCTTTAAACGAGTTGGAGCCCCAACTTTTCGCATTAATATCTCTGTATTTTTCTGTAGTTCACCTTTTTGTCCTTTACGATTGTGTATGTAATCAAAATATTTCCACCGTGGCCATTTTTTAATTTTATCCATAAGTGAGGCTTGAAGGGCATAGAAGAGACAATAATTACTCGAGTTATTTACCTAAAATTTTTTTAAATTATTAAAAATTAAAATTAAAATTACCTTAATTAAACACTGACTATCGATTCGGTGATGAACTGGAGCAAGTTTTCGATTTCTAGAAGATCCACCAGTAATTTTTCTCTTTTCTGGAAGAGCACTGCGATCTACCGTTGTCAATGTTACAGTAAATGGTTTACCCCAAAGTGTAATATCCTGTTGTTTTTTACTCTGGCCCACTTGTAGAAATCGATTAAGTATTGCGTCAACTGTATTGTCGTTCATCTCACGCACTGGAATCCAAACATCTGGATCAAGCAATTCACTACTAATTATACATCCAAGTTTAAGCGGATTTACACCCTCATGATCACTTTGGTCTACCGCTTCATCAATGCAATATTGAAAAATACCTTAAATATTAGTAATATTATTATAATTCTATATAAATATACCAGCTAGTAAACCTTCAGGATCAGCAGGCAAGTCTTTAATTTGAAATTTTATACGTTTCTTGAAGAGTTGGAACTTTGGATTGTGGAGAGAAATATTTTCTAACTGTTCAACATATTTTTCAGGGTTAGGGATACCTGTACCATGTTGAGTAATACCAAAATTAGGCGAAAATTGAGGTATTTCTTGAGAATTAGGGAAAAATGGATTTAATATATTTTCAATATAAAATTTATTGGAATATTTTGATCGTTTTGTTTTCGGCGATGATGACCGAGATGAGCTCATTTTTTTTATAAATATTCAAGAATGATTTCCAATATAGCTTTTCTATCCTATATATATATATATATCTTTTCACATAAATGAAAATATTTGAACTCATTTTTTATAAAGCAAACACCAGCTCAATTTGAGCAAATACAAAAATTTTAACAACAGGTTTTTTAGCGGCATTTAAAACGAACTTTTCTCTTTATTTGTCTTCCATTATATTAAAAAATAACTAAATCTCGTTTGAAATTCCTTTAAAAAGATGCGGCCAGGACTAATACGGATGAATAAAAATCTCGGCGAATTCAAATATAGAATAATATTCTTTTTATTTAACATATTAAGTAAACATTTGCAGCATATAAAAACTCTTATTTATCACTTTTATTTTTATTACTTATATTTTTTTGTTACTTATATTTTTTATACTTAAGTCTTTTAAAAATAAAAATATTTTCGAATTTTAATGGAAGAAACTTTCTCGTCTTTGAACATTAGAGATGTTGAGCAAAAAACTGTAGAGGTCGATTTTTAAAATTTTATTGTTATCTAATTTTATTTAATAAATTTATTTTTAGGGAACGGCTGAATTTTGGGATTGCCCATGGCATCCAGCAATCAAAGAAATAAATCAAGTGATCAAAAATGGGAAGAAATTGGATTTGTCTTCGTTCTGGATCTTTTTGGATCATAATTACGAACTTTCTACGTGGTGTTGCCAATGTCGCGAAACAGTCTTTGATATGGATCAAGAAGAAATAATTAAGCTTTTAGAAGGGAACACTTATTCTTATAAATTTTTTGTCTGTTCTGAGTGTGCTCAGATCATTAAATACGCTACATTTCATTATTAAAAATTTTTTATCATTTTATTTACAAATGTTTCAACAAATAAATCTGGGGTGTGAGTATTTTCTAATATATTTAAAAAATGTTCATATTTCAGACCTAAAGATAAAAAATAGATAAAGCAGATAGCATGTTGACCACATGTGTTCGAAGAATAGGATTGATAAGCTCTTCTATTTCTTACAATTGCTGGAAATTGTTTTAGAAAATTTGAAATCTGACATTTTTTATTAAGATTTTCGAATGAAAATAGGGCTAGACTATCGTAGTAAAGAACTTCTTTATCAATTTTTTCAGCAAAAATGGCAACCCAGTGTGATCCTTCCATTCTTTTTGGGTCAAAATTCATTATAAAAGATACTGGGTAGTTGAGTGTTGATGGGCTAGGTAGACTATCGCATGGCAGACATCCCAGAAAATTGTTTTTTGTCTGGAGATTTGAGTTCAAAATTCTTTCTATCTGCAAGCTGATCATCATCAATTGATATAGAGCATAAATTTACTCTTTGAACACTATTTTTATTATTAGGAATTGTAGATTTTAGCCAAATAATTGAACGTAACTGATATATAATAAGACTTAGAATGAGTAAAGCGTAAAGAGCAAGCATCACCCAGCAATATATATTAGTGTAGTAACCTTGACTTGAGGTGGGTGCATCCTTGCATAATTGAATCGAAGGGAAATTAGCAAAATGAGCAATAGGTGATTCCATCTTTTTAACTTTAGGTTCCTTTGTTGTCTTTATATCTTTCCCTATTATATCTCTAGTTTTGTTATAACCTATTCTTCTTAAATATTCCGAATATTCAGGAAGACTTTTGAGATTTGAATCTTCACTAAGTACTAAGGCAGAGGTTGGAAAAATTATATGAATAAATAATATATTTTGAATAATTGTTTTGGAATACATTTTCTAAAGTATTTAAATTAATAAAAATATTTTTTGAAAAAAATTACAAGACTTAATTACTTTTATTTTATTTTCCAATAATAATAATAATGAAAATATTTATTACGAAATATAAATGATTTATAATTTACAATTATGAGTTTATTAAATGGTTGTATCACTGGTTATTGTTCGATTCTTATCCAACATTATAAGTGAATCTGCTTCTCCCATTACAATTAGCATCACACCTCCATCGGGAACTGGCTTGCTGAATTTAATATTGACCGCTGTTGTTCCGTTTCTAATTAGATCGAAAAGCCCCCCTTGATCTTCCCCACTGTTTGTTAAATTAAAAACGTATATTGCATGAGTATATCCATACTGTTCGAAAGTAATACCATTACTTTCCATAGAATTACCAAATCCAATAGCTTCATTCATATCATTGAATGCCCTAACAAATTTTCCGTTACTATAATCAAAATCATATGGTGCTTGAGGGTAGCTTCGTCCATTAGCAATTATATTTATCTCTCTGACATTAAAATGTTGAAAATTAAAAGGACTTCGTGATATATTGCCTACATAATCACTATTTGCAACAAGCCCTAGTATTACTCTTCTTGGGATTTGGTCCATAAACAAATTTGCATTGAACTCATAGCGGCCCTGACTTATAAAAAGCGGCTTCATCATAGTTTTGCGAATAGCATATCGAGCAGGGCTTATTTCTAATTTTTTCGCGATATCCAATGCTAGTCCATCCATTAAATCGACTTTTTTAACGTAAAGTTTACAATTTAAAATCTCAAATTGGTAACGGTTGGCTTGTGGGACCACCCCGACTGGAGGAGCAATCAAAACAAATCTGCTGTCATTTGGCAATATTTCTATGTCCACTTCACAGTGATTAATAAGATATAGGGGTTGATTAAAAAGATCAGCATCTATTTTTGCAATAAACTGTGCTGTGTTACTTGATCCAAATCGTACCTTTCTTGAATTAAACCCTGCTCCTGATTCTAGACTTAATCCAACATCTCCATAATATCCTGCTGCATTGAGATGAGAACTTTTAGCTGCTAGTGAGAAACTAAGCTCGTGGGAAAGATAGGATTTGTAAGCCATAAGGGAATTCGAGTTAAATACTTCTCTGCCATTTATACTAATCCTCATATTATTTATAAAAGTATGCCCAATAAGCTGAATT